TAGAGATATAGTAGCATCTCGAGCGGCACGATCAGCAGCCCTTTTAGATTGAACGTCTCTACGAATACGTTCCATTCGAGTTCGTTCTGCTCGATCATGAGCATCAGAGTCATTCTTGATACGTTGCTCTTCCGAGTTGACAGATAGAGCACGGGCCTTTTCTTCCTTATCTCGTTGGACTGCGACAGCCATGACACGTCTCATTTGCTCTTGACGTCGTAACTTTTCACTAGCATCACTTTCCGAGCTAGCTTTCAGATCCCGTAACTGTCGTCGAGCAGTTTCGAGTTCTTGTAAACGACGTGACTCTGCTAGGCGGGCTTCTTCTTGAGCTTTAAATTCTGCTTCCTGTTTAGATTTGAGTGCAGCGGCAATAGCTAGACGTTCTGCCTCTAGTTTAGCCAGACGGTCGGATTCTAATCTAGCTAAACGATCGGCTTCTGCTTTAGCAATACGGTCAGCTTCCAACTTGGCTAGACGTTCAGCTTCAAGCTTGGCCTCTCGAGCTTGACGTTCTGCACTTAATTTAGCAAGACGTTCATTTTCTATTCTCTCCAATCGATTGACTTCTTCTCTAGCTGCTCTGCGTTCGGCTTCTATAATGGCTAATCGTTCAGCTTCTGCTTTAGCATCAGCTTCTTCCTTGGCTCGACGACGTTGGTCAGCTAATTGACGTTCTAATTCGGCCTTCATCCGAGCCTCCTCTGCAAGACGACGTCGTTCAGCTTCATATTTTACTCGTGCTTCTTCTTCTAATCTACGTCGAGTAGCTGCTATCCGGGCTTGTCGTTCTTCTTCATCGGTTTTAGCTCTGGCAACAAGATCCAATTCACGAGGCTTTTGAAGACCACGACCTGCTTCATCAGCTTGTTTTCTAGCCTTCTCAGCTAATTCCTGCTGCCTGACTCGCTCGGCTTCTTGTGCTTCTCGTCTGGCCTTCTCTGCTAGATCGAGCTGCTTTTTACGTTCTGCTTCTTCAGCCAATTTACGTTGACGCTCTAATTCATCGAGCCGAAGCTTTTCTACTCGTTCTTCTTGAAGCTTTGCAAGTCTTTCTTGCTCAGCCTTTACGAGTCGTTCCTGCTCGAGCTTAGCAAGTCGTTCCTGCTCAAGCTTTGCAAGTCGATTTTGCTCTAATCTAGCTAATCGTTCCTTCTCTAGTTTAGCTAGTCGTTCTGCTTCAAGACGTTGAGCTTCAGCCTGTCTAGATTCCAGCTCTCGTTGAGCGTTAAGTGCTTCACGAGCACTCTGTTCCTCCTTGAGCTGTTTTTCACGATACTCACGAGCTATCCTTATACTACGATGCTCGGCAGCTTGTCTCTCTAGCTCAAGACGTGAAGCTTCTTCCTTTTCTAATCGAGATTTTGCATCACGTTCGGTAGCAAGTCGAGCTGCAATAAGAGGGTCTACAAAGTTTGGTTGCCGCAAGTTTGCACTGCGAGATTCATGGGGCTTCAAGAGATGTTGAACCGAGCTGAGACTGACTTCAGCAGGTTCATGAGGTGCATATGTTACAGGAGGAGTAGCAGCAATTATATCTCTAGCCGAAGCACCACTACTATTCGTAAATACAGGTTTTCTTAAATCCACACTACGTGACTGAAGGGGCTTTACGAAGGCTAGTACATCATTTAAATTAACTTCAGCAGGTTCGGTTGGAGTGTTGGCGATAATTTTTGATGGCGGTGAAGCAGCAGGTGTTGATACACTACTATTCAGATTCGGGGATGTCGAACCTGATTTATCAGACAATTCCATACTGCCATCCTTCTTGCCACCTCTCGTAATCCATGATGTCAAAACTGATGCCACAGTTTTGGCGGGAGGCGTTGTGCTTAAAGCAGCAGCATTGGTAGGTTCAGATGGTGGAGTTACTGAACCTCTATCTCTGCGAACACTAGTTTCAAGAGCTACTGCTGAATCCTGTTTCATAAGCGGTGTCGACGAGTTAAATGTAGACGAGCTAATTACGGGTTGTTGGACTGGCAGAACGGCCACTGGGGTAACGTTGCGCGGTATCTGTTTGAAGGACAGGTCAGCCAAGAGTTTTAGACAAAAGAAAACGAGAAAAAATCGCTTCACCTCTGGTGGAACTCTGCTCGAAGTTCTATATACAGTCACTTTACCACGGTTGGTTGATCTCACCGATTGCTTCATAGCATCTATTCCATCTGAATTGATCCGCAAAAAGTTCATTAGCAAGGAAGTATTAGGAAAGACTGATCTCGAGTTTTTATTTTTACCTCCAAGAGGCACCCATTCAAATGCGTCGTTCTGATATTCTAATCCCATCTTTGTCCAATCTACACAACCAGGGAATGCTGCATCATATTCTCGGCGCACACGATCTCGAAGAAGTTCTGAAGTTCGTAACACTTGAACGTGTACTTTGTTCCCCTGCCATAGACCGACCTCGATCCCTGGAGTTGGCGAGCGTTCAGGTGATTTCGTGGCTATGGAGGGAGCTGCAGAACGTTCTACTGCTACAGACGGAGCTGGCGTACGTTCAGGTGCAGCTACTGATGTAGTTCGAGTGGGGAGTTCGTTTTCAACCACCACCCTTGTTGTCTATAAAACAGGATCTTAGATTCAAGGATATCAAACCCACTAGGCATAGCTACCAATACCTTGAACGTAATAGTTCCGTTTGGGTTCTTAATCACCTCAGTCGACGAAGAATTGGGTGTGACTGGCGCGTTTCCTGGACTTCCTACTGCGGGCTGCGGAGAAGACAACACGGGCGATCCCTTTGTAACCGTTTTTTGTGGCTGCTGCTTCTCGTTGCGTGGCTTGTAATGATCTGAGCGGTAAACAGTGGTGTGGTGGTTTTAGTTCGGTGTGCTTTGTGATTTTCGGCCAGTAGGCAGCCAAACAACCCTCCGTAGGGAAAGAAAGACGAGATATGTGCGTCAGCACCTGTAATGAGTAGAGCCTGTGTGTCTTTAGGCAGTTCTTTCCAAAGCTCATCCGTAATGCCAAGTTCATCTACAAACCCAAAGATCACAAAAGCTGTAAATGTTGTGCTTGGAATCAGGCACGGAACGATACGGGCATACCGAGGAACTCCTTGAACTCTCTGTTTGGCGGATCCATCTTGCTGGCCTCTTATCAAGAGAACTAGAGATGTGTAAGTTTTCGAAACGAACCGTGTGGTTTGTTATGGACTTCGAACACAACAGATGCAAACAAGGTCCGGTCCGTATAAATGGCAACTTCTACTCACCGGTCAGCCAAAATGATCCCTTTCCACTGTCGGATTGTCCAATTGACAGCCTCCAGAAACAACTGATCTGTGTTGGTGTGAGCGAGAAAGGAGAAAAGTTATGTTTCCACCACCAAAGTTGGCTTAGAGTTCCGGTAGGAGCTACCATACTTGCTACCAATAAATAATTACTAAAAATCATATTTGGATGTTGATAGTTTACTAGAGGTGTAATGTTGTAACCACCATGCATTAGCACCATGCGCAGGACTTCGAACAGTTGATTCAACAACAAACGCGTACTCCATATAGCTTCCTTATAAATAACTTTGATTCGAATTATCATTGGCATCAATTCAAGCAGTCTGAAAGAGCGAGAACGAAACACCAATGCATCAAAAAAATCACAAGATTGCACTGAATTTGCAGCTTCATGTAGCACGCTAATAACACAAATTCATTGGGAAAATCGCCAAACGCTCCTCTCCTTTTACCTGCGGTCATCTTGTCGACTCAAAGTGTCAATTGCGTATCTCAGACTTTTGACAACAGCATGCCACAAAGAACCTTGTTTGCGTGTCTTAGTAGTTACGACAGGCTAATAGAGGGTCATTTCATATCAAGTAAATTCATTCCGACTTATTTGCTATTCCTCTATCGGGTTGTTTGCTTTGGCTACTGTTTAAGTGTTTTATTTTTTTATTTGGAGAGGTAAAGATGTGCGTTCGGTCTAATCCAGTGCGCGTAAAACTGAACGATCAGCTTATTAGATATTGTGGAATGGAGCAATGGCACGTATTACACTTACCACACGAACCTGTCTTATCTAATCTTAGTAATTTACTTTGGGGTACGTGTGAGAAGTACATGAGATGACAATTAGCAGATGCTTTTACTTTATCTATTTAGACCATAACGCTCAAGTCAATCCATTTCATTTGGAAGTCGAATCGAAGAAGAATGATGTTGGATCAACAATTCTCGTTCGAACCTCGCACTGAGGACTTGGCACGGCATTGTGGAAAGCCTAGTTTTCTTGTATGGATTTTGTTTAGCATAGCAATGCAGAATGCCTTATTCTTAGATCTTACTGCATGGTTTGTGCTACCAAGATGTAAGTTCTGAACAAGACGTCAAAAAGAAACTATGTCGATTGTTCTTTGGGTAGACTCCGAGTGGATGGATGGTCATACAATAACGTATTCGGGTGTTCAAGTGCATGGGGTCAACACAATTCAGGTATTGCCTCTATAGTGATTGTTTTTGATCCTTTTGTGGTAGTAGGTTATCCAGTGTTGTCTGATTACTTTCACTCTTCTCACCAGATGATTTTGGAGGTCCTACTTGGTCTGATCCCCATAGTTTTCTTCAACATGTAACCCATGTCAAACGAGTAGGACTTTGCCATTTTTCACTCAGAGATTCGGCTTTTGTTTCAGAGTCTGGACTTCGATCTTTACCCTACTCTACATGTTCTTCATGTGGATCTACTGGGCCAAGACTCAAATCTGGATATACCCATTTGCGGTCTGGCAAAGTCACTTGTCATGGCTGATCTACCTGGGTGTCTGTGGCTTGTTCTTGATTTCTTGGTTGTTTTGGTGGTGTTTGGGTAAACTGCGAGATTTTCTTCCACTTGCTAAATGGAAGAAACATGGCGGCGACAGAACAAGTCAGCCAGATGTTCCTTTGTCCAATATAGAGTTGAATTGAGACCCAAAATGATGGCAATGCGTATCATGCATGTAATGTATTAAGTTAAAATACAAGTGCTGTCGTTTGGCCGAGATAGCCTTTTCTACTCTGTCCTTCTCTCGGTTCCGGTTTCTTCATCTCCTAGAGACGTGTCTAGTCCACCCAGTTGCTGCTCTACCAAAGCCCTGAAACGTCCGTTCTTGGTGTTGTTGATTAAATCGACAAAAGTGCCTTGTTCAGCTACAATTCCATCCTCAATCATAATGACCCAGTCTGATTTTGAGATTGTTGAGAGGCGCTAGAGTTTTGGAAACCACGTGTGAGACCAACACAAAGTTCACAGTTTGAACGGGTGACCTACATGAGCGATAGTCACAACAGTTCTGCCATGCACCAATTTATCCAGCGCATCTTGTACTAGATGCTCAGAGGCAGCTAATAATGTGAGTTAAGAAGAGTATGTAAGTAAAGGTGTACACAAACGGGATCCATTGACTTGTACTGATTCTACCATCAAGAGCACCTAAGAAAACTTGGCGTTAGTTGTGCAAGCGCAAACCGACCAATACAAACAATTTCTTACTCGTGGCTTCATCCAAGATGAGCAATTTTGGATTCTTCAAAAGCGCGCGAGCTATAGCTATTCTCTAAGTTCACGAATCACAAAATTTGTTTAGTGCGTGAGGACGTTAGATGTGGAGCATCTGAATTTGAAAATCTTACTTGTTTCTAATGATGAGAAGAAAAAACACGTTAATAATGTCAACACTGCAAAACTGCACAATGAAACTCCTATACCTGTCCTCCACTGATAGCAGCTCCCTTTTCACCAACAAACACATCGAAACCTCCAATGTCTTCGATGAAATCCAACGCATTAGCTTGAGCCGCTGCGTCCCGAATTTCTGCTTCAGTAGCATTAGGACTTCCATATGCAATATTTTCGCCTATTGTAGCGGCAAACAAGACAGGCTGTAAATCAAAAAAGCGAAGAAGTCAGCCGATGAGGAGGTTTCCCAATCAATGAAATGAAGAAAGTTGAAACGAACCTCTTGCGAAACTAAACCAACTACATTCTCTCGCAACCATGTGGGATTCAAGGTCTTCATATCAACACCATCAAGGTAAACAGAACCTTGATCAGGATCATAAAACCTCAGTAACAGCTGGGCCACACTACTTTTCCCTGATCCACTTCTACCCACAATTGCAACATGACCACCAGATGGGACTGTGAATGTTAAACCATTAAAAATATTGACATCTGTTCTGGTAGGATACTTAAAGTGAACCTCTTTAAACTCTATACGTCCTTGTGCAGACGGTAATGTCGCTCCCTCTACCACAAAAAACCGTGTCAGATCATGGAACATAAGACCACGGTATCTTCTGTATGCTTTACGTTTGCTTTCAATTACAGCCTTGGAATCCAAAAATGCAAATAGTCTACTAGATGCTCCAAGACCTTTCATGAGTTCGCTGTAAAAACTGCTCATGCCCACTAAACTTGATCCAACATAGGCAGTGTATCTGTTGTGGTTGTAGAATAAGTGAGAAACAACGCTCCGAGACTAAGAGCGGCGCCTCTTTGTCACACTACGAGCGGCGCATTGTTGTCAAACTTACAAAAAGAAGGACGTCAGCTCTCCAATGGTAATCGACCCAGCTGTCACCATCGCGCCTCCATAGTACAAAAGGGCGAGAATAACGATGTTTCCAGAGAGGCCAGCTCCTCCAAAAAACACACCAGACGCATACGCCTCTTTCTTGGCCAGATCCAGAATCGATTGAGCCCGTTGGGCGTACCTAGTAATTTCTTTGCTTTCTTGAGCAAAGGCTCGAACCGTTCTTAGATTGCCGAGTTTCTCTTCAGCGACTTTGGTGGTTTCCGAAACAGCATCCTGGGTTCTGGTTGACAAGTCTCTGACCATTCTCCCGTATATTACAGCTCCAATCGCTAATGGTGGCACGATAGAGAGCATAATTAAAGTCAACTGCTGATTCATATACAGCATCATTGATACGCCGACCCCTGACATGGCCAAAGATCGAAGGCCGTCCGACACATTATTGGTTATTGTCTTTCCGACAATTTGAGTATCTGACGAAAGGCGGGAGACAAGATCTCCCGTCCGGTTCATATCAAAGAATTTGACATCTTAATAGGTGTCGGTATGAGTTTCTCGCAACACGATAGATTGCTGTAGTTTTCTCACCTTGTCTCATGAAATTCGCAAACAGAGAATTTCTCAACCGAGTGACAATACGCTCTCCAGCAATCCGTATCAGTATAACACGTCCAGTATTAGCTAAAGCTCCAAGCGAGAAAACTCCAATAAGTATGGCAAAGATGGCAGACAACGGCAGGCCAGCTCCAAGAGAAGACATTGCGGAAGCAGATTCAGTAGTGCCTGTTTTTGCCCCTAGAGATGCCATAACTATATCTAGTATCCTTCCCATCGAGAAGGGAACGCTCATCGTCACAGCTGAGCTGATAATGAGCAAGACAATGGCACCGGCCAGCATTGCGTATTCAGGTCTAGCAAGAGCAGCGAGCCGAGAGACTTCCTGAAAATTGAATAAAGGTAAGAGCTTCTGGTAGTAAAATCTCTCGCAAACTATTACACGCGGTTATACCTTGACAGCCGGGACCTTTGCCTCCTTTGACGTGTTTCCTTCTTTTTCGACAGGTTGAGACACGAGCTGATGCGTTATTAATGGTTCTTTCTTTATTATGGGTGTGGTCGATGTAAGTGTTTGTGATTTTGACGAGGTTGTTGTTGATGTCGAATTAGAGCGCCGCTGAGTTGAATTTAACGAGACTGTCAGGCGTGGATTCAGCATATGATGCGGTAATGGGTCCTTCCTTGATGTTATCCATGACTTCGTCGTATGGATTTCCTTGGTTGCGGAAAACAAACGATTCTGCGTCGAAAAAACTGCTAGTCGATTTATCTGTGATTGTCCATGCAAAGTTATAGGAGGCGGTAGTCCTGCATGCAGGGAGATCCTGCCTGTCCTTATAATCATCTTCGAAGAACACGAAAGAAGTGATTGACACGTCATTTCCCCAAATTTGGTTGGACGCTGAAACCGAAGACTATTGTTGGGGTTTCAGCTTGTCTTCATGGAACTGTAAACTGTATGTTTCGCGCTCAAACCAAAATTCTTTGACGAGTTCTGTAAGAATTACGCGACTACTTGATCTTTGAGTCAAGTAATTTCTAGCACACTAGTTGACCATTAGCACTGCGGCTCGACCAACCCGGAGGTCATATTTGAATCTTTGATGATAAACAAAGATGTTTTTTATGATTAGAAACACGTCTCTCCACTAGTCTCTTCCCCAAGCTTATAACTGGTGTATGGCGACTTTTAAAACGAGTGTTTTGGAACAGACATTGTTCCGGTTGGAGTCGTACTCTTGCAGTATCTGCATGGTCTTGTCCAAGAGAGATCTACAATTAACAGGTGAATGATGTAAGATGCATCTTCATGAGGACCAAGTTTAGAAGAACAACAGAAAGGCAACTACAAGGTCCAACTCAAACAGCCAAACCAATCTAAAAGACGTTTTCACGTACCAGGGAGTCACCCCTGCAATATCCAAACCTAAGAACGACGTACTTGAAGACCCGTGTATACCACACACAGTGAGGTGCATTTGAGGTATGCTGCACATCAACGTCCGAGGAGAGTCAGCTAGTGCGAGCAGGATCTGTAGTGCTTCTCTCACAAGCACCGCCTTTTTACCCAAGGCCTTTGCTATGTCTGCATTGCTACAGTCCCGGCAGGCGGGGGTGGAGTTTCGTGAGAACTGGCGACAGTGTGTCCGACCAAAGACCTATCAGCATTGTAGCGAAGCCGCTATTACACCTGCTAGAGGGCATCCGATTGCGTAGCGCTTCGGGATCGAGCGTCTCTACTTTACCCACCCACTGGATTTCTCGAGTGGGCAGATCCGCGAGCGATCAACGGGGGTCTAATATCGTTCTTGAAAGTGGGTAGTTGCCATAACTTGATGTGAGAATCTTGGGGTCTTGTTCTACATATGAGGAGATAAGATCTTTGAGTCAGTATGTTTGTTAAAAAGAAATATACCATTCGATTGATGACAGGTAGGCTCCTTGATCATCCGCCTCCTTTCTCCGTCAACGCACACAAAACCGAAATGCTGCCAAGTGCATCTGATGTCGAAATGCAGTCTTAAGCCGCCCAGTCCAGTGAGAGTCCAGTCCAGAGAACGCCCTTGCCAGCGAGTGCTGTACATGGCTATTTCACATAGGACGCGGTTAGTGACGAAACGTACAGAATCCCATAATTTAGATATGCGGCAAGTTTGGATTTTGACCATTTAACTGGATTGTAGCACCTCGTAGACTCTTAGATACAGAATAATAGCACAATGGCGTGCAGTTCGAGCTCCAAATACAACGTCCGGGTGTCTGTCTTCACTCCTTTATCGAGAACGTTGTTGCAAAGGTTGTTACAAGTGTAAATTGACTAAGGGGATAGCCAGAGGCGCAGAAATGAGTGAGGGGAATGAAAAGGAAGGGCGTCGCGAACTTACGTATTGACCAGTAAATGCTGTTTTGTAATAGTCTGCGGTTCCAAACACTTGCATCGAAGCATCATCAAAGATATTTGACTAACAGGCAGGATGCAAGGGACAAACACGTTACTTGCTGGCTGACCGAGTCTTTGATAACTTACATTGTCCTTCGGATTAAAAACCCTCTCACAAATCATCCCACGAATAACATTTGTATATCGAGTGGCATCAACGTTTCTTCTCCGTTTCACTGGTCGTTCAATTTTGGGATGATCTTCTTCTTCATCACGAGCAGTCTTGGGCAACGTAGGAAACGGAAGCAGCGATCGGCAAAATTAAACTCTTCTTGTAGCGTCTTGTATCGCCACTTGCGCTTGACTCTCTTCAATCCACCACCCTTCTCCAACTGTTCCATCCAAGCTTCTAACGCAACCAACTTGTGTGATGACGATTTTGACAATTCAGCATGTTCAATTTCCAAAGCTCTAATCTTTTGTTGTGACGAGCGAACGTAAGCATCAAATTCCTGTCATAGTTTGCCAACAGCTGTTTGGTATCCTTGATGTTGATCGAAGCTTTCCTGAATGAAATACGGAGTTGAAGGAAATCAGTCAAAATATGTACATTTCAAAGAAAAAAAGGCAGAACAATATATTATTGCATCTTACATACCTGTTCAGAAGTCGAACGACTTGAAACTGGAGTCAATATCTCACAAGATGATAGTGATGTTCGTTTCTGCTGTCCTCGAAGAAGCCAACCTCTTCCAAGGTTACGAACTGGATATTCTGGTGCCTCACCGTGACTTGAAGTTGCTCCATCCATCGTTGAAGCTAGGTATAAGTGGTTTCGAAACTCCAGAGCTTCAGATTATTTTACAAACAAAACGATTGCACAGAAACAACCAGCGCAGACGGAAGACCAAGTGGAAAACGTATGAGACATACTCTGGCTGGGACATACTGGATGACATTTGGCGAATCTATTGTTTCGAACTTCAAAACTTCAAAATACTATTGTGTGTGTATTACTGGTGTTTACTTTTTTTTACCCTTCGCCTTTTTAGACTTGGGCGATTCAGCTGGATCTGAAGTTGGGCGTTTGGCAACACCGTTTCCAGCAGGAGCAGCTCCATTTCCAGTAGCAGCAATACCGTTTTCTGCGGCATTCTTATCGTATGCGAACTCATGCACTTTCTGAGCACGACCAGATGGATCTTCAGCACAACCTATGATATAAACAAAGCAGAGTTTAGCTTTTGAGCGTACTGTTCGTGAACCGTCATTTGACTGGATCAAGATCAATTCAAATCAGCTTACCCCAATCTTTACGTGGAATCCAGCGCACTACTGATTCCAAACAAGCTTTGGATGGGAAGTGTTTTTCAAATACCTCTCGATACCAATATCCTTCCTTGGTAGTTGGTGGATCATGAGGGAAGCGTTCAGCAACAGCAGCTAGTTGCTCATCAGTGACCATCTTTTCAGCATGGTCTTTTAGAGAGTCAATCCAAGTGTATCCAACACCATCAGAGAATTGTTCCTTTTGTCGCCACAAGATATCATGAGGCAGGTATGGATCCTCCTTTATGTCAAATGCCCTACGAATTACATACTTTTCCATATAGTGGTTGTATGGTGCACGTTTAGATAGTTTATGGTTTGCGGGTACTTGTAACATGGATGTATCCAAGAAGGCTCGATCCAAGAAGGGCACACGAGCTTCCAATCCCCAAGCCATCGTTGCCTTGTTGGCTCGTAAACAATCTGAAGTATGCAAGTTTTGAATACGGGAGATACATTCGTGGTGGAGAGCTTGTGCTGATGGGGATTGATGGAAGTAGAGGTATCCAGCAAAGATTTCATCTGAACCTTCACCAGACAAGACCATCTTAACACCAATAGCCTTAATTTTTCGAGACATCAAATACATGGGTGTACTAGCACGGACGGTGGTGACATCATATGTTTCTAGATGGTAGATTACGTCTTCTATGGCATCGATACCTTCAGCTACAGTAAAGGTGAATTCGTGATGGGCACTCTTTAAAAATGTGGCAACACGTTGAGCAGCTACAAGGTCGGGTGCGTTGGGAAGTCCAATGGAGAAGGTGTGTAATCGTGGCCATGCGGACGATTGAGAGATAGCGGCTGCGTTGAGATGACGGTGTTAATTCAAGTGATGAGTAATAAGACGACGATAGTTACTCATGAAAGTGTCGTCGACAAAACCTCATGATATGGCACTTACATCGAGTATCATCATCATCGTTAACGTTTCCAGCACTAGCACCCCTTTCAGCTCGTAAATCTTCTTCAGCCTGACTACGTTTAATACGGGAAGCAATAGCGGCAATCAAACTAGAATCCAGACCACCAGATAACAAGACACCATAAGGCACCTCCGTCATCAATCGTTTCTTTACAGCCTTTTCTAGCTTTTCTCGTAGGGCGACATACATGGCAGCATCTTCTTCTTCAGTTTGTACTGTTTGCTCTTCTGCTAGCGGTGGTAGATTGTTTTTCACATCATCATACCATTTAGGGTGATACCATTGATGCAAGGCAGCATCTGATGAAGTGTAGTAATGGCCAGGAGGGAAGGCAATGATTCGATCACAGTCTTCACTCAATGACTTCATCTCAGAGGCAAACCACACCGATTTATCTGAATGGCGCCATCCTTGATATAATGTTGTAATACCGACGTGATCACGAGCACATAAATATGTCTTTTTCACAGTGTCGTATAAGATGAAGGAGAACATGCCGTCGAGATGTGGCACCAAGTCAGCTCCCATCTCTTCGTACTGTTTCGTTGAGGAGAGTAGAGTGATGAGTGGATACAGGCAAGCGTGATTTGTATGTCAACGAGAGATCACTTACCAGATGTAGAATGATTTCACAGTCAGAGTGTGTTTTGAATGTATGAGGCTTCTTCAACAGTTTTCGTAATGTGACGTGGTTGTATATTTCTCCGTTGACTGACAACAATAGTGTGCCATCTTCGTTAGAAAGTGGTTGAGCTCCACTGTCTGCATTAGTATGAATCAGATTTTAGTTGGAGATGAGTTGGCGACAGAAAACGAATAAAGCTCTCAGTATTGACGTACCAACACCAACGATAGCCAGACGTTCATGACATAGAATGTTGTTCTCAGATATGGCAACACCGCTCCAATCTGGTCCTCGATGACGGACCCTATTTCATGAGATGAGTTGGTCAGCTCATTGTTAGCACATGCACGAGACCTCGATGTGATTCCAAGGCATTTTTCAACTCTTGTGTAGCAAAACTAAGAAGCCAATAGATCGTATTGACAGCTCTAACGTCCGCTTAGGTTGGAACGCGTTCATCCTTCGAGCTCCAAACTTGATGTCGAGCTCCACAAAATTTTGGCCAACGTTCAACCAGTGTTTAAGATTACAAGCCAGCAATTACCTCTTGGCGCAGGCTACTGCCAATGGTCGCATTGTTTGGATATCACCTCCATATCCGAATATAGCAAAGATTCCACACTGAATGACGAAAAAGGAGTGAGCGAAAAAAAGTTGCCAACAACGAGAGCTCTCGAGCTGACAAAAGAATCAGTTGTACGTACCATCTCAACCTAATCCAATCGATTCAGAACTGAATGTGAACTATGTGATAGGTATAATAGCTCCCCTTCCAGTTTTGTTATGCGATGAGTCGTTTTGAAACGAAATGTCGGAGTTGGTCAAGTTTTTTGATGACGAACTCGCTAGGAGCAGAAGACGACGAGGACGCGCATTCTGTATTGTAAGAAATAATTTGGAATCTTTCGACGTGTCTCAGAGGGCGTGATGCACGGAAAGGAGCTGACGTTTCTTTGCGTTTAGAACGACAAAAACAGCACATTTGCGTATAAGACGTAACTTCGTCGATTCAAGTAATTCAAGTTTTCACATAATTTGTTATTTCTTGCAAATGGGTCAAGACCAGCACAAAACGGGTACATTTTTCGCTCATTCTTCAGCCTTGGATTTCAATGCTTGTAAATCTTTCAACATCTTTTCTGGTCCTGAAACCTTGTAGTTCTACAGTCGAATGAGGTTTGTTAGCTTTTCATGTCCTCTTTGAGTGATGTTTCACTCGATATTACCGTTGGCCCAGGTTCGTCAATGTTAAGGACCTGGATCACTCCATTGTCAGCAAACAAAGAGTATCGCAATGCACGTTCACCAAGACCTAAGCAAGTAGAGACGTCAATTTCGTGCCTGGTGGATCCACTTGATTGCATCGTTATCATACCCTTCACAAATTGCGTCAATCCGACATATGACTTTGACGTTAGTGACTCGACTCTAGTTTCTATCATCAAACTGCATCGTTCCCGTACCCAAAGTCTTGTGGAAGGTACCATATCCATCAGCCAACATCAAGATACTGGGTTGAGTAGTTGGAATCGTCAGCCATTCTGCCCATTGTGACATCTGTCGACCAAAAACGGTAAGCGTCGGAAGGACAACTACAGCGTACGCTTCTTCAAAGAACTCACAACCCATGGATCATTGACGCTCGTACAGCCCACCGTGTCAACACCCAAATCTCGAAGTGCAGTGTACTTTTCGACGTATTGAGGTACTTGTTTCTGCAAAGAATTGAAGCAGGCGTCAGTATCACTACTGCAAGGTGTGATAGCTTATCATGATGCATACTTGAGAACAGACACTTGTGAATGCACCTAAACAGACGTAGATGAAATGTCATTTTGACACATTTAATGACATTGTTGTTTTCCGACTACCAAAACAAGCACATTATCATAAAGTACAAAACGAAGTCAATTATATCCCGTCTTCCGATCTTACCTGGAAGACCATACAATACGACCTTCTTCCCTTCAAAGGTTCGCGCGACAGCAATTTCAGACGGCGTGGTGTCCCCCGCATTCATACATGTGAAGTTGACAACACCGGCGCGGGCAACGATATTTTCGGCTGTTTGTAATGGTACAGCCATGTTTGCGATAAAATTGTTTCTATTCTCTTTGGAATTGAACTTTTGGGATGCCAACACCTGGTCCGCGAGATAAGACAAGTAAATTCCATCGAAACCCACAATTTCACGTGTAATAACACTCAGCAGGACACCACGTCGTCACCTCCACAACAAACGAGTCGAACAAGGTCAACAATCAAGTTCTGTTTGTGCTCTATATATCTTTCGAAATCACTGACCCGATTGAACAATCACCAGCTCATCAATTGACGAGTCCCTTCCACCAGTATTAAAAACTTCCCCTCCAAGACTGGCCTCACTCGGCCGTTCACTGCCTCCCAAAAACTCACTCATCTGTATCTCATCTTGGAAATTGTTCACTCGTTCATCCTTGATTTCAAGCTCAATATCATGTAATGGAGCAGGAGTTTGGGGCGACACGATTACTTCAGCTTCAGCTCCATCAGAAGTTGGTAGATTTGCTAAATTATTGAGTGATGCTAATGGCGTCGAGTTACTTGACATGACTGGCCGATGATTTTTGCCTGCCAAACCGGCTACGCAACGTGGTAGCCATGGACGTGGCAATGACTGAGAAAGGATGGGATTGACGTAGCTCAAGGCTCTTGAATCTCGTTTATGTTGCTCGTGACTGTATACTGCGTCATCACTAGCTGCTGGTGCTTCTCCTCTATTCAGCTTTACTAGCCCTTCAGGAGATTTCAAATTCTTTGGTCCTGGTTCGACCTTCTTCCTTGATTTTGGTGATTTGATGTCGGGTGATGGCGGTAGTTCCATTTGAGGATCTAGTAAAGTATCTAGTGGTGGATGTGCGGCGTCAGATGGAGCTATAGCCGATGGTGGATGATGCATATCTAGAGGAATATGCGTCGTTCTCCTTTCGAATGTTCTTGTGCAATACACGTAGAAGATGATCGTCAATGGAATGAGAGGGATACACATAGATGAGGCTGCTGCCGCCCTCTTGAGTGACAACATTCCGACCAGAGTAACTTGAGCAGTTAAAAGTCCAAAAATACAGCGATTGAAGGCTAGAATCCAGTGGCGACCATTAGCTTCATATTTCTGGACAAAAACGGAAAGTTAGGAAGCCGCGAGAAGCATCACTTGGACTCAACAATACCTTGACGAAAACGAAAAGCACTTGGTTCCTCATGTACACATATGCTATTGCAAAATACTAGGAGAAGAAATCCTGTAAGATTGCGAATTCCCATGCCTTTCGGTTTTGTCACAAAGACTCACAGTTGTCCCTACTACCAGTATCAGAGGGGAAATGATTGCATAGACAAGCACAATCACAAAACTGAGCAGGAATGGAGGGTAAACGGTCCCATAGTCTACATAACTTGTAAATAGATTGAGGTCATGGACCTGTGGTGGTGTCGACGAAGACGATCAATAAACAGGATAAGAGAAAGACTGGAAACGGTTATGGACCTGTCGTGGTGTCCTGACAATCATCTTGCGAATAAAGTGGAAGAAAAATGTGAAGAATCGGATCAGTTCGAATTGTAGACCTACAAAGCAAGCGCCCGTAAAAGCAATTAGCGGAAACGTTTCAGTAACGCCATCATATTGAGCATTTACCTATAATTCCGAGGATGGTATAATTGATGAAGAAAGTAGATCCGGTCGGTAAGGTGGCTGCTACATTATTGAGAATAGAGACAGGCGACTAAACACCGTAATAGTTAGTCTTTTCTCAAACATAAGAAGTGGCGAGACTTCTTACGTTTATGATGGTAGTAATCAACTCGAACACAGCCGTGGTCAACGTAAACACGAACAACACATTGAGCATCAAATGTGTGAAGTATTTCGCTAAGACACTGGTTTCCTGATCAGAGTACGATGGCAGACCTTCATATGAAGTCAGATCTAGAGTAGCAATTAAAGTTATACAAGCAACAAAAATTAAATATAATCGCAATGTCCAAGAACTTGCACTCTAAAATGTAAGGAACCATCGACCCTAGCATCTTGGTGAGCAGAGGTGGCAATACGTTCTGCACAAGAAAAAGCGTTTCGGGCCTTTGGGATAGAGATGCTGCCAAATCAGCAAACCCAGGAAGTTTTGCAAGTGTTGAAATGTCTTTTAGCGAAGATACAGCAGCCGAAGGAATGAAGAAAAAGAAGGTCCTGTGATGAGGTACATATGAAATCAAAAATGGAATTTCCAATCAGTCCAGCTTATTTCTTACATGGCAAATGCTGCAGCCTGTACAATCCAGTATTGTACCCTCTGTCGGTACCAAGGAATCGAAACAGAGTGCCAATCTACGTCCGGAGGTGAAGGGGCCAGCGCTACCGACAACGAGAACGGATTTTCTGAGCCATGCACAAGCACTTGTGATACTATATGAGCAGCTCTCTGTGTCTTGAATGTAACGAAACCAGATGATGTACAAATCGAGGTTTCTAAGCATCAAGTATTACGTCGGCAAAAGACTTTCTCAAGACAATTTTTGATTCAAGCGTACCTGGATATTTGACCAACAGCCGTTGTTGTCGAATTTGAGACGTTGCCGATACCAGCTTTTGCGTCCAGTGATCAATTGAATCAACATATTTAGGAGGAAACTGCTTGTTATCCAGGATACGAGGTCTTAATCGTTCCAGAACTTCTGGCGCGATTCCGCTTTCATCCCAATCGGCTGGTGCTGTATGCAAATCAATCAAATCACGGCGAGTATGGAAGACAGCCTTTGACCGTTTTCCCATTCTTCGCCAGCGTTCACTATCTACTGCAATGACCCACTCCATATATGCCGATTCAAGTTTCCGAACCAAGGTTCTTCTTTCAGTGGCTAACTTAGCTAGTTTTGCACCAGCGATTCTGTCCATGATTGCAGTTTCTACTTCTCCGATATGTAGTGATGTAAAGTAGGCTCTTAATCCTTCATCAGAGCGCAAACTATGATATAGTGAAAGGTGTCAGTACTACTGTAATGACTATGTTAACAAAATACTACCTCTTGGGAACATGCTGCACCAGAATGGTCCTATATCTCAACGCTTCAGATCGTGGTAACCGATACACAGCATCTGGTGCGCCTCCGTCACGTAGAGCATCACAGGTAAGGATGGCGTATTGTTGATATTGCTTGTAAAGCAGGAAGCAAGTCAATCCCGTCATAATCCAACAATACACGGCAAATGCAAACAATACGTTGGAAGTATTCGGCACATTGGATATCGAAAATTGAGCCATGACCAACGGCTGAAAGCTGATTTGAGTGGTTGAGGAGTTGACTGTTGTGGAGTTGCTTGATATGTCTTGAGGGTCTGAGTAGAATGATAACGGCACCAGTATTGGCACCATCGTTAATGTCAATATCGCTGATACGATAAATGCCATTCTTAGAAATCTCAAGAGCCTATGGCGTGAAAACGTTAGACTCTTTCAGACGATTTTAAGAGATGATCTCCACAATTACATGGTTCCATCGAGACCGACGTTCTCTATTATGTATTTCTCGTCCGTTGAAAGAACAACACCGACCCATCCAAAAAAGCCAGTTGGAATATCCGGCGCTGCTTGAGTGTCGGTTTCGCATCTGGTGTATAGTACTCGACGGGCGAATTTTCTCGTTCTGATTAGCTCGAAACCTAGCACCACTGCGAAAGCTATACCCACAGCCACACCAAACCACAGCCAGACCCCGTCCGCACTAGAATCGCCCACTTCGAAGTACTGTGTGGGTGAAGGTGAAGCCATTTGTGACAAGTCTTACTGTTGGGACGACTAATGTTGTGATTGTGACAACAAATGTTAATGTTGGGAAGACAATTCGTCGTTCCAAGTTAGATCCTCGAGTGGAGTATATCACACAGTTAGATCATGACTTGGATGATCTATATTCCAGTCTTCCGGGGTGGCCTCCTGCGTTTCCCTCTTCTCGATCTTGGTTGATACACGAACGTTTGTTTTCCTTTGGCGTTTGAACTTTATGAAAGTTTACCAGAGTTCAGGAAGATATCAATAGTTCTGACTTCAAAAATCTACTTGATCGGCCTTTTGAAGTCTTGTGGGTTCGTTTGCAAACAGTTGAGTCGAATGTCAACAAAGGTTGACTTCAACGACAGCCCTACGACAGCCAAAATTCCAGCAAATTCCAACAACCATAATTGAAATTGGAATCAAGAAGCAACAAGAGATTCTTGATTAATGTTGCGGAAGGTATGTCATTAATATACGTGTGTGAAGAGTGTGAAATTCAAACTTATGATATATTAAGGAATGATGAACACCAATAAAATTGTCTAATATCTACATTCTGTCTATTGAGGCCCTGCTTCATACCTGGGTTTTTGTAGAAACATGGTAACCTGTGCCCACGTGTTTTTCGCTGTTTATTCCAAAGTATATATGGAATCTGCTACTTACTGCTGAATTGAGCGTGTAATATCGACTCGAAAGCACGTATACAATCGACTCGGACATTTGGAACTCGTCTTTTACGAACTCACGCCTCCTTGTTGCGTTGGAGCTATGAACAACGATACCGAGAACGGCAGTTCAGCCCAATGAAGTCATCGCGATGTTATATTAGAAGCGATATGGTGGCCGGTGAATTCTCTAGCTTTTCGTCTACCCTGGTCGTCTACACAAGCTTCCCCTTCCATCCTTCTGCCAGGAAAGCATTTCCATCTTTGCGAACACCCAACTGAGTTTAGGTAACTTTCCTCCCCGGCCTCGTCTATTGTTTAGGAGATCCTCTACATCTCACAAGGCACATTTGAATCTCATTTTTTCTTTGTCGTAAGTTATAATTATTTGTTGTTTCATCGTCAAGATCGGTTTTACTCGACCATTTCTTTTCAACCCCGAGACTTTGATTACAGCCTATCAGGGTATCTTTTGATGACGATATGAAAATTCATTTGTTTTCTGTGCCATTGACCCGTACAATCTCACTACTATATCGATTTGTAGGAGTGCTTCTGGTTTTTTTGCTCAAAAATGTCGTATTCAAACACAAATAACAACAACCATAACAGGCCTCCGCCAGAATACAATTTATCATTGCCACCACCGCCATCTGCTCCGTATAATAACTATCAATTTCCACCCCCTCCTGGATATCAATTCCAACCTCCATCAGTCCCTCATATGCCTCAGATGAATCAACCCTATATGTATCCTCCTCCACCAGTTCCTGGATTTCATCCTGCCTTCCAGCAGCCACCTCCTCCGTCATTAAATAATGATGCATTTATACAGCCACCACCAATCCAAAACCCGCCTCCTCATCAAAGGCAAATGCTCTTTGATCATGACCGCTATCATCCTCCAGCAAGGCAATCTACTGCTCAGCCCAACAACATAGATAGGAAACGGAAATATAGTGATGACGAGGGAGGCTCAGATATGGCTTCAGAAGGGAGAAGTGTCGACGCAAGGCAATTTGGCAGTGGTGGGCCTCAGTCCCCTAGATTATCAAAGGCGGCGCTGAGGAAGCAGGTGATGGGACAGCAAAAGAAGCAACCGAAACAAACACAACAGCAGCAACAAAAATCACTTCAATCATCGAAAAAGCTCAAACAACCACCACAGCCTTCCAGACAAGTCTCTGAAGCTGAATTGGCAAAGAGGGCTAGGAAACGATTAGCTAGATTACAAAAAAGAACGTCTCGAAGGTTAAAGCGAGAGGCTCTAGCTCTAGAACAGCAACAGCAACAACAAGGAGCAACAGGTCACATTGGCCCTACTACTCATGGAGGATTCTTGCCATTCGCGCCAGCACCTGGACTGTCGACTCGATCAACACATACTCAAGGAAGCCCTCCACAACCGACTGTAAGCGTTGATGACTCGCTTGAACGTCCGAGAACCCAACGTATACCGCGAACTGCAATTCCTCGGTTTGCAGCTAGCGAAGCTCGACAAAATATCAAGGAAAGTACACAGGAACACCCTACTCCTACACAAACAGCAACCGCAGGTCACGTTGTAAATGTTGCCCGGCCCATAGACTCGGATAGTGATGACTCTGACTACGAATCTGACGATGACATGGGCGATGCTGAGCCTGTAGTCTCGGGTCCAAATCATAAGAAACCACAACCAATCGATCTCAAGAAACCACTACCAGTCGATCTTAAGAAACCACAGCCAATCGATCTGGATGCTGTAATTGTGATAGATATGGGAGAAGATGAAACATCTCGTGGCAAGAGTCGAATGCAAGAATCAAATGAAAATGTGACACCGCTTCCAGAACAAAGTCCCGAAGACGTTGATTTCATACCATTTGATTTGGGCCGCGACCCCTGGCTTATCAAAGACGAGGCCGTCCAACACGTAGGCAATGGCCATACACCTCGCGCTAAACCTCTGATTCCTGTATCAAGGAGTGCGCCTCCAGCTCGAAGCTCTCATAATAACAGTGTTCGGTCTGAAGATCCATTGATGCCAGTTGCAATTCCAGCTTGGGTGCCTCCTGGAAAGGTCTATCATCGTCATCCTATGGAAGCTCTCAAGGAAGAAATCAAAGATTTTACAGCATTCATGTCACCCTCACGAGCAGAACATGAAATGCGACGAATATGTATAGAACGTATTCGAGAGTGTGTGGTCAAGGTTTGGCCTAAAGCTGAAGTCCATGCTTTTGGCTCATATGAAACTCAATTGTACCTGCCATCAAGGTAAGTTTAGTCAGTCCTGTGCCATATCCTGTCAATGTTCTGCATCGTTTTGCCACGCTTGCTATAAATGATATATACCAATGTAACCTTCAATGTGTTTTAGTGACTTGGACTTGGTAGTGTTGTGTAGAGATGCGAACCCTCCACGTTGTCTGCACATGTTGGCTGACGAGCTCAGACGCTCTGGCACAAATAAGATTACAGTTGTCGCCAAAGCCAAGGTTTGTTCAATTTCATGTTTAATCATTTCCAGAAACCGAATCGTACTCAATTACACTCTCGCTTCTAGGTTCCCATTATCAAAGTGGTTGACGAATTGACCAGATTCAGTGTCGACGTCTCCTTCAATGGTACCAATGGACTTGCTAGTGCAGAAATAGTGAAGGAATTTGTCAACGATCCAGAGATTGGCAGTGCCTTAAAGTCCCTGGTCTTGATATTGAAGCAATTCTTGGTGCAGAGAAACCTCAATGAACCCTTTATGGGCGGATTGGGTAGTTATGCTCTCATCACTATGGTTGCAGCATTCTTGAAGGTATGTGAATTCGTACGTTTTCGCATTTTTTGCTGTTTGTATTCTATGATTTCTGAAAATTCATCGAACATTTCGCTGACCACCCTCCCTTTACTCTCTTGTCTAGCTTCATCCAAAGGTGTCGTCCCGAGCCATCAAGGCGGAGGACAATCTTGGAGCGCTGCTGATTGAATTCTTTGAATTTTACGGTCGCTTCTTGGTCAGTAGCGAGGTTGGAGTTGGTGTCCATGTTGAATATGGCGCCTGGCTCTTCAATCGTCGCGAACGAGGCCAGAAGTGGACGAATGATAGGAATGAAAGCATATCAGTCGTTGATCCTCAGGATTCGGAGAACGACATTGCAAAATCGGCATTCGCATATCGGATGGTACGTGCGGAATTTTTCCGTGCCTTCAACCGGCTCACTTCCATGGTTGGTTTTTGGTACCACAAGGAAAGTATCTACCAAGAATATATGTATATGAGTTCAAATGAACGACAGGGCCGATTGCCGCCACAAAGACCTCCTCGAGCTCATACGATTCTGGGAGTTCTTATGAATGCCCAGAAAAGTATGTTGGCGCAGAGAGAGTTTGTGGAGGAAGTATATAGTACTTTAAATGGCAATGGCTTAGTAGGGTTATCAACAGCCGCCATCAACTTGTCGAATGGAAATACTCGATTTGACAAGAAGCCACCACATTCTGGTGCAGACGAGGTGGGAAAGGAGGTAGTATATGTGGAGTATGATACAAATGATGAAGATGATGGTGAGGAGCGAGGGAAGGCGAAAGGAAAAGGAAGAGTTAACGTGGATTATTCTGCTCCCATGCCAACACATGGCAAGAAGAGGCAAGACGAGGTGTTGGATTATGAGGATGGTGACGAGGATTTGGTTGAAATGTTGAGGAGGACCAAGAGGTCAAACAAATAGTCATTGGTCTCTTGTATGTGACCCACATGTAAAGCTGTAGAAGCCACTCATATATAAAAACTACATGTTGCCATATTCGAGGTTTTCCTCTTTCCTTCGTTTCTTAAACTTGCGTCCAAAACCTCCTTCCACTCTTTTGAAATCCTTTGCACTTCGGAAAATCGTCAAACGAGACATGCCGATAGGAGACAGGTTTAAGGTATCATCGTCGTTGAATGTACTAAAACTACTCTTATTCGGGCTCGCCTTGTCGACGCTAGCCTTCTACGGCTTGCAATCGTACATTGCTAACAAGAAATATGTCTTTACACCTGAAGAGATTGAATTCGTTACAAACAATGCAAGATGTAAGAGGATTCATTTGTATTTTATAATTTGTAATTTAATGTCTTGCAACAATCAGTGGCACATCCAAAGGATCTGAAAGCAATGTTTACCAATGTGACGGAGGAATTGAGGGTCAGACATCCTGGCAAGATTTTGGAGGTTGACTTTGACAAGGATTTTGTTTTTATTACTGCTGGCTCTTGGATGGTGGGCTTTCTATGTTGCTGAGCTGCATTAAATCAGGATTTTTGAATCTTGACTTTCCGTTAGGGAGCTTTCTTGTTGCTGCATGCTTCTCTAACTGAATACGTGCTAATTTTTGGGTACTCCTACGCATTTTTCAAAGTTTGCCTTGAAATGCCAAGGCTTATGGTTCCGTTTATCAACAGGACGGCCATCAACACATCTGGCCACTCTGGTCGTTACTGGGTAACTCAACCAACTTTTCTCCTGCTCAACAATACCAAGATGACTCATTTGAACTCAATTTTGAAGGCAGATATATGGGACACAATCTTGACCGGCGAGTTTCGACAATGGAGTGAGGGTGGTTTTGAATCCACTATTCATAAACCTGGAACTACAGTCTTTCATGCCAAATGGGAAGCAACAGCCGTGCAATGGACACCTGGTACATACATGGTTGAGTATGCGAGAGGAGTTATACCTTCAACGTTAGGATTTGCATTGGCAGACAGTTTCTCGTCCACTTTGGATATGTTGACCGTGTACAGGTACGAACTCGTTAATTTCATTTTATACGAGACGCATATGAGCTGATCAAAAGCTCTTTCGTGATTGTAGGTCAATATCAGTGTATGCCAAGGCCATATTACCAGGAATCCTCGCAGGAAACTTTTGAAAAAATGTATGTTATGAAAATGAATCCAAATATAATTTCGCTCTACGTGCATGTATATCACAATTCTACTTCTTTTTGTGCTTTCCTCGTTTACCTTCTTTAGAAATGTACAATGGCTTTATCAGCTGATGTGGTTGCGATGCATCAATGCATCGCGAAATCCAATCCTGCCGGAGGGAGGTTCTTTCGAACGAACCACCAAACGGGTAAACCCGACAGACTAGCAGAGGAGAGATGAATGTTGGAGCAGTGAAATGTGTTTTGAAATTGGAATGACAAGACTTACGTCAGTATCACACCAACGAAGGGTGGGAGCCAGTATGGGTACGGCTCGACTGCTGGAACCCAAGGGAAGACACACTATACGTTTTGAAAGGGTTGAGAAAGTCAGTTTTCAGTGCTTAACGAATACTTGAATTTTGAGGTGTTTCTTTACCAAGAAGATAGAAACTAAGCGATTGATGGAACAGAGTTAGCATCGTTTTTTTGAAGTATGAACGAACGTTTCTTTTTTTGACTCTTTGATATTCAACTCTTTACCTAAAATGAAAATCCAGGCCATGATGGTCCAAGCTTTGAAAGGACGAGAATACGTTCCCCGTTTCCTCAACATTAACAAACCAACTACCGAAAGACCATAAAATGCCTAAGTAGTGGATGTGACAAGAAGACGTTAGACGATTCAAGTTTGATTTCTGGTGAGTTGGGCCTTCTTCTTACCCAAGTTGGATAGCCTAATGCATCGACCAAAAAGTTGTAAGCTGCTCCCGGAGGTGGTGCCAAGATCAAGATACAAGCCTATGTTACGAGAAACGTTAACAGAATGAATAAACTCCTACGAGAAGTCAAACGGCATACCATAACCCAGTTCAAAATCAAGGCATTGACGGGTGTTTTCGTAACTGGATGGACTCGTTTGAAGAGGAAAGAAAAGGGTAGAATTCCAGCAACAGCACCAGCCTGTATAACCCGTGATACAGAATAGACCTGAAGAAAGCAACATTCAGTTTAACTTACGATTTATCGGAAGTGTCAACCTTTCAAACTAATCTGTCACGACGTTTACCATAGCACAGACAGCTCCAAATCCAGAAAAGGCGACCAAAATGGGAAAGACTATTCCACCAGCACTAGATTTTTGAGGTACAGATGAGTTTTGAAAATGAAGATCTTATTGCCATAAATATTGAGCAGCTTGACAACTCACAGGTCACCAGCAATCCGTTTGAAGAATACACCAGCTACGAGCTCTTCAGCGGCAATCATTTCAGCCTGTGGAAGTACAAGCAGGTACGACGTATTCGCCACTAGATTCGACATGATAAACGTTAACAGGATCTTTCGCTTCTATTTCAAATTTCGCAAGGCACTCACGCATATAGAGGATGACCACTGTTGATACACCAAAAGAGGTCGCTCTCGGAAGAGTCTTTACTGGATCCTTCAGTTCACCCAACGAATAGTTGAGATTGTTCCCTAGTGTCAAAAAGATGGGTTCAGATCAGAATGCCAAAAAATCAAGATTTTCAGGATCCAGCTATATTGAACCACTTCTCTCTTTACTTACAGCCATCGAAAGCCCAAAAGATTTTGAAGAGTGCAAGAGCAAGAGATCCAGGTGTAATTGAATCACCAGTAGTACTGAAAAAGCTTTGCCAATTCTCTTTGGCTAAAGGAACTGAAGTCACTCCAGTAGCGACCACAATACCTGATATTCCTACAGCCAAAAGCATTCCAACCTAGAAAGTCATGATTTGAGAGTTTATGGTCAAAAGGCACAGAGGACAAAAAATACCACACCAACAAAATGCACTACCTTTACCATGCACAAAACATCGTGCATCCTGACTGCCCATTTTGCTGAAAAGATATTTAAAATGGTGATGCTACTAATACAACTCACTGCCAAAGCAGCTTTTGGCCATCGTGGGACAAGGTCAACAGAGCCATAAATTGGGTAGAGTAGATATTGACCAAAGATGGTAGAATCAAGAGCTTCTCCAGCAGGCCGAATCAGAAAGATCATTGACCAACTAATGAGAAAGTTGAAAAGGAAGAGATGAGTCATCTGATTTGCCTTGTAGACTGGACACATCGAGGAATATTTACCAAAAAAGAAAAGACACCAAAGCTCTTGGCTTCCTGAATTGGACATCTAAATATGCTTGTTCACCACCTGACTGTGGCAGCATGCAACCAAGCTCAATATATAACCTGGAAACAGCAAGATAGATTGAAACTCAGTGGCTTCGTTCTAGAAACAGGCAAAGTAAAATGCAAACGCTTACATTGCACCAAACAAACTGATCATTCCACCAAACGCCCAGACGAGAAGAGCCATCGCAGGACTTCCAGCATATTTTACCACTTTTCCTGGTCTGAAAGGATGATTTGCAATTTATCAGCACAAGTTTTACATTATGGGGCACGCTCATCTGAGACTACTTACGTTGCAAAGATACCTGATCCAACCATCAATCCTATACATTGATTGGCGCCTGACAACCATCCCATAGTTGGTTTCAAAGTGTTCGAGTCTTCAGCATTGTCATTCTCGACTTCACAATCACTACCTCCCGAAACATCACCGCCACCCCTACCCGCCTTTTCGAAATCACCAGTTTTAACTCGTAAAGGAATGAATTCAGCAGGAGTAGGAGGATGCTCCTCAATCAAATCTGGTTCAGCAGACCAGTTGACATGTCCCTTGGGTTTCGAGACCGAGGACTCTCTCTCTGCAACTGGATGCGATGGAGATGCTGGATGGTAGCTTGGAGCTTCTGAAGCATCAGACGTAGCAGAATCTTGTCGTAACAGCCAGCGTCGTGACAGGGATGAATTTGTTGGGCTGAATGGAGGCAGAGTGTCATCACTCATTTCACTTGGACGACGATAGCGGGGCGGTAGTTCTGACATAGTGCTAATCAAAAAAATAGCTTTAAATTGATATTAATTTGTATCAGAGGTTGCTGTGCACGTGTTTTGGAAACGCAGGACGTGTTTCAAACCTAATCTGGTAGGCACACACACCTGTTCCAAGTTTTTAAGAGGTGTTTCAGAGTGATGCGCCGTGATTTCAATAGATAAAATGTTTTGAAGACGTGATGATATATAAGAGCAAGAGATGCGACACGGGGGATTCAACCTTGACTCCTGTTATCTTGACAGGTTGTTTGACTTTGACAGGCGCGATCCACGATAGCGCGAAAATCCCTCACTTACAAAAAGATCGACCATATGTCGCTTCGAGAGGCCTCTGGCCAGTTCTGACAGGTAAGAAGATAGCTCAAATATGTCATAATATGGTGGCAATCAACGCGACACAAATGAATTTATCACACGATTTTGCTTATGCGGTCGCTCAAAATTCTTGTTGAAAATAGCTTTTCATCGTTGAATAGAGGGTTTGATCTCCTTTTGCCTTGTAAAAGTGCCATAGAGGAGCCATTTACACAGTTGAGTCCATTTTGAGATCAGACAACAGTGTCGTCACATTCCACCGATCTCTTGGTCGAATATTTGTAATCTGCCACGAAAAACTCAGTCAGATTAAACAGAGACCTTGTCTCAATTTGAAAGTTTCCTGTCCTCAAGAACCTTTGAAAGTGACGACGAACAGAAAATCGTTCAAGGTGAACCGCCATCGAAGAAGCAATATTCCCTTTGCGCTTTTTAGATACCTTTAAGGTTGGCTTGCGAAATGCGATATGAAAATATCGTCGCAAACACTACTGCTTATGGAGTCCGAAGTTTCTGGAGTCACTCAAACGATTATGTTATATCCTCTTTTATAAGTTACATGTTACGATGAGTGAGATGACGAGGGCAGATGCTCAACGCATCTCAAAGTCTAGTCCAGTTGGAGAAAGATTTTTGCGAATCATCCACCAAACAGGTACTCCTGACAGACTGAAGAGGAATCACAGACAAAAGCATATCAGAACAGCAAACTTACTGCACGCTTAAATGGAATAATCTTACGTCAGTATTACGCCAAGAAATGGTGGAAGCCAGTAGGGATACGGCTCTTCTGCTGGCAACCAAGGAAAGACGGTCTGCAAGATTTGAAAGCCTGGTCAGTTTTCTTTTTTGAACAATTGTATGTCAAGTTGATTTTGGAGGAATGTTGATGTTTTTACCAAGAAAATGCACACTATGGGGGTTGACGGAATCAAGTTAAGTTCGTCATTTCGGAAAGAAGGGGTTACAATACTTGTTTCGAGATAACACTTTGTTACCTGCAAGGAAGATATAAGCCATAATGGTCGATGCTTTAAACGGACGAGGAAAAGTTCCGCGTTTTCTCAATATTAGCAATCCCAGTACGGTAAGACCATAAAATATCTACATGGTGGATGTGACAAGTATACGTGTGAGAGAAATTCAAAGCTTGTCTTTCGATGAATACAAATGAAAGAAGCGGCTGTGCTTTCGTTTACCCAAGTCGGGTAGCTGACAGCATCAACCACAAAGCTACAAATATGATCCCCGGTCAGGATTGGATTGAAAGGTAAAACTCGTGTACTACTCATTACTTGTACGCTGCTCCAGGTGGTGGAGCTAAGATCATGATACAAGTCTAACGATATTTTAACAACGAAAACGTCAGTGCCAACGGACAGCATATTCGAAAATTGAAGGATACAATACACACCACAAACCAATTGAATATCAAGGCATTGACGGGTGTCTTGGTCACTGGATGTACTCGTTTCAAGAACCGAGAAAACGGGAGAACTCCAGCAACACCAGCAGCCTGTATAACTCGGGATGCAGAGTACACCTGAAGAAAATGTTGGTGTTGGCTGTCAAAGTTCCTCTTTGCAATCGGTCACGAGGTTACCATGGCACAGACGCCTCCAAAGGCAGAGAAAGCCACTAGAATTGGAAACACTATACCCCCAGCACTACGAGTTTGATGTTGAGATTAGTATTATACGGTCTCGCTGCTTTGAACATCAGGTTTGTACTCTTTGACTCTTACATGTTACCGGCTATGCGTTTGAAGAAGACACCACCTACGAGCTCTTCGGCTGCAATCATGTCCGCCTGTGGCAAGACAAGCAAATACGATGTGTTTGCAACTAGAGAATGACATAGTGCGTCAATTGAGAATGAAACCGTTCGATCAGCCGAAATTTCGAAAGCCCTTACACATGTAGAGAATGACTACCATTGACACTCCAAAAGTTGTAGCTCTGGGCAGATTCTTGACTGGATCTTTCAACTCGCCCAATGAATAGTTGAGATTGTTCCCTGCGTGACGAGTTACGTTAGCATGCATTCAGCTACAATGCTGGATGAACGAACGGATGTACAGCCATCAAATGTCCAAAGAGTTTTGAAGAGTGCAAGAGCAAGAGACTGGGGCGTTATGAAGTCACCAGGAGTGAAAAACCTTTCCCAATTATCTTTAGCTACTGGAACTGAGGTCAATCCAGTAGCGACAACAATACCGGCAAATATTACAGCCAACAACATTCCAATCTATCAGGAATTACAAAATGAGAATTACAAGCCTTCGAGAGACAAAACCGAATCTCAGCAATACCTTGACAAAAGTCAAACAATCGTGAATTCGAATAGCCCATTTTGCTGAAAGGATATTCAAAACGGTGATAATTGTAATAACAGTGATAGCCAATGCCAATTTTAGCAATCGAGGAACAAGTTCCATGGAACCGTAGGCTGGGAACAGCAAGTATTGACCAAACATCATACAGTCAAGAGATTCTCCACCAGGTCGATTCAGTAAGATCATGCCCCAACTGATGTGATTGGAAAGTATTTGACTCAACTTGCTAAAATTGGGAAGGATAAATTGACGCATATACCAGAAAATGAAAGACACCAAAGCTCTTGGCTTCCTGTATTGAACATCCAGATACGCTTGTTCACCACCTGATTGTGGAAGCATGCAACCGAGTTCAATATACAACCTAGAGTATGAAGTTAAATCTATTCTCTGTATTATTCAGCTTGCAAGTAAAAGACAACTGTTCGTACATAGCTCCAAACAGGCTAACTATGCCACCAAACGCCCAGACGACGAGAGCCATAGCAGGGCTTCCAGTATATCGAACTACTTTTCCTGGTCTACGACGAGGCTGAAATCGTAAATAAACTATTAAAACACCCACCAAATCCATAATGTTGAAAGGTCTCAAAGTACTAAAAGTGTACTTACGTTGCAAAGATGCCCGATCCAACCATCAGCCCAATACATTGATTGGCGCCTGACAGCCATCCCATGGTTGGTTTCAAGGTGTTTGGATCCTCAGAATTGTCATCTTCTACATCCCAAGCACTAGCTCCAGACCCACCACCACCACTACCTGCCTTTTCAAAATCACCTGTTTTAACGCGTAGAGATATAAACCCCACAGGAATAGGAGGATTCTCTTCAATCAAATCTGGTTCAGCCGACCAGTTGACATGTGCACTGGGTTTTGTCACAGATGGCACTCGATCTGCAACTAGATCAGTTGCTAGCGGTGGATGGTAGCTTGGTGCTGGCTCTGATGATGAATCAGCGGCGGAATCTTGTCGTAAAATCCAACGGCGTGATAGCGATGCATGTGATGGACTGAACGGAGGTAGAGTGTCGTCACTCAGTTCGCTTGGACGACGGTAGCAAGGCGGCGGCTCCGACATTGTGTCTCTAAATTTAACACAGGAAAATGAGGTTTTGCCATCGTGATTCGTGTTTTGCTTGAATATTGTAAAAAATGTCAACTGTTTGAAACATAGAAGAAAGGTGCCTGTTTCGAGTCTTACAACGTGCTTTTGGCTAGACACTCGATAGATTTAGATGATTTACTGCTATGAGAACAGCCTGACGTATACCGGTCCTGATGGAAAATCGACACTATCACTTGTGTGAAATGACTTTGACATGGCCGCCACACTTAATACGCAATACCACCGTAGTCATATGGAATTCAATTAGACTTTTTATCGTAGGCGACTGCATTGGACAGCCTGTCATGAGTTCTTGACGCATAGACAGGGTGGTAAGAAATAAGAAACCCCGTGGATTAATGTTCATTCTGCACATAACACCAAGTTCACTTACACGGTCGCTCCTCGTCCTTCTGTCCGAAGTTTCGAAGCGCTTATAAAGAGACATTCAGCGTGATTTCAGCTCTTATTTCCCTCGCCAGGAGGCGATCTCTTCAATTGAGTCCATTTCTTGATCAGCGAAGATTGTAGTCACATTTGGACGATACATCTGTCAACAATTTCGTGTCTAATGGTATAAACGGAGGAACGAATTGTTAATTCTCTTCATTTGAAACTTTTAACCGTTCATTGTTTACATTGTGCATGTTTGGTGACAAAACGTTGTGAATTGACGGATGTCAAACGTATCAGAACGGTAGAGACTAAAAATAAGCCGAATAGAAAAATTCAGTCTGTCCATACTGACAGTTACCCTTAGTTACCTTCAGTTGTTAACATCATCGACTCCAAACAAGAAATATCTTGCAAAGCAAAATGAACGAGAGCAAGCACCAGCTGGATGACGATGATGACGACGTGCAGACAGTGCGTATAGTAGAACGTACTCCACCATTTGCCACACCCGATGCCAGGTTGCCAGGAGCTCTTACTCCATCACCGACTCGATCGAACAAATTCAATACCAATAGAGACCGGGTAGGATCATACTAAATTTCCATTCCTCGTATTTAATTTAAAGTATTCATATATTTCTGATGTCCGAGTTATCTTCTTCTACACGTCGCTATAGCGCAAGATCAACATCCCCAGAAACCAGGACAACGACAAGCTACTTGAAAGCTTAAAGAGAGTCAAAGGCATGCAAAAGGAAGTGGGCCAGTGGTGTTCAGACATGTAGAGTGACATTCTCAGAGTGCTTCCAATCAACTTACTTACACTGAACGGTTCTCTGTAGGGAGGCAAAGCTGAATCGTATATGTGTAGCTTTTGCTCCTATACGAGATGAAGAGTCTTCGAGCAGTGCTTCAGACGATGATGTGTACGATACTATCGAGATATCACCAAAACAAATCACCACGATAATAATCGACGATGATGAACCAACGTTGGTTGACGAGAATGAAGATAAACATCTCATCCATGACGATCAGGACTCAGTTACCCCCGACCCGTCAAATTATCTATGCTTCTCAGATGCCTTGCTGAAGCTGGCTTGTGAGACTGAACTATACCCAAACACAAATACATTGTATGAGCAAGCTTCTGTGACTGTGTTTGGAAATGCAGAGAGATATTGGAAATCATACAAGACTTTAAATGTAAGAATATCGCAGAGTTTTGACGTGGAGAAAGTTCACAAAAGGCTTGGATTTCAAACTAAACCATCCTTCTTCTCTCTTCGTGCAATAGCTCGAAAAGACGATCATCAAATTACGAACACATATTGCCCGTTTTGTAATAGACAACTTCCGTCAGATTTTGGGAATAGCTCTCAAGGGCTCCTTGGAGTTGGTGTGCAAACAATTGAGAGCAAATCGATTTCATCTCGACGATGACGGAAAGGTATGCCAAGAAAAAGAGTGCGAGAGAGCGACAAACGAAAACGAACAAAGTGATTATAACAAACAATTTATTCTGTAGAAGTATCAGTCTCCAGTCCTTGAACGAGCGCTGTCTCTTCTTTTCCGTGGTGTGGGTGGACTTGCAACTTCTTGGAATATGACAAGTTACGGCCTCGCCGTTGTTTCTTTTGTGATTGGTGTGGTAAGCTCTGCTTTCGATGGTTCCAACCACCTTTAGCACGAAACTTGAAATACTGACTTTAGCACGAAAATTGACATACTAACTGTATATGGTTCCCATTGGTTTGTTAGCTCGACTTTTGTATGGAGAAGCCAGATTCGAAAGACATCGAGGACAATGAAGCCCAAGAACGTTACCAAACAGCTAAAACGGAGCTTGAGAACTACCAGGTTTCCAATCCTGAACAGTTCAATCAGGCAATGCACTGGTTGTTTGACTTTGGAGCGTCTTACGAGCAGCTGCAGACGACCTTCCATCATCGGGCAACGAGAAGTAGAAAGCATATAAGTGTTGAATCGGCTTGACTTGGTGCTGGACTTGTAGGGTAGTCTTTGATAGCTTTGGTGAATAAGGAGATAGGACGTAGGAGGACGGAGGAATTCTAGCATATCTTGTATAAAAAGCTTTAAAAATATAGAAACTAGCATCGTCGACGAAAGCACTGTAGCATATTTCGAGGTTGCTGTGTTGCTGGTTGTGGGTGTACGGCTCTTGAGAAAATTTGAATTTTACAATGTTGACGGCAGAGGATAGGATTGAAACATCTGAAACAGATAGCAAGCCTTCCTCATCGTCTAAACCTGCTCTTGGTCGACGCTGGTTGAAAAAACTGAAGTTATCGACTACAGGAACTCAGACAGATGTGAGCAAAAAACAAGTCGTTTTATTAATTCAACCAAGTGAATTGATATAAAAATCACTAATTCGTCTCGTTCCTTTAGACTCTTGTTAGTGCTGAAGAGCCTGAGGCACAAATCACATCAACACCCTCAACAACGGATACAAGCACCGAACTAGTCGAAACAACAACAACCAACAAGAAGGATCCCGACGATCCATTACTTAATGCGTTGAACCTCCTATCTACCAAAGTCGATCTGTATGCAAACAATTCGTAAGTGACTGCTGGGTGACAGGTCACAACTTCCTTCTTTTTAACCATCCCATCAAAGGTTCAAGCAAATAGACGATCTGAGACGTCGAGTCCATTCATTGCAGACTGCAATATCTGAAAATGGTCCACTCTTTATGGATGAGCAGCAAATTCAACAACTGAAGGAACAACAACTACTGCAACAAGAGCGACAGCAGCAACAACAAGAAGAAGAACGACAACAAGGACCCAATATACCTCAGCATGCAATGATTAAAAGAGAAGAATCACCATTTTCATTGACAGAACGTCCTGGCAAGAGGAAGAGGAAGCGACGTCAACGCATGGAAACTTCCGATGAGATTACTGATCACTACATCGAATCGGACGCAATACAACAATCGCCAAGAAGCGTGACTTTGACTAGAACAAACACTGAAAGTTTGAAGTGGCGAGAAGCATTGTGGAAACAAATGGCTACACATGGTTATTATTTAGAGACGGTGAGTGATTTGATTATAGATATGCTCTATGGGAAGCATCTCGAATAGCATCATTGATTCCGGCCCCCTGACGCTCATCTTGAATAAAATCTTATCTCCAGGACATTGTCACGTATGAAGAAGCTTCGCTTGAAGCGTTTGGGAACAGACAACAATACAAGAAGCTCTTTTCTCTTTCTACTGTGAGTTTAATGAATAAGTCGTTATCAGAAAAAGTCATTTCCTCATTCCTATGATCTTTTCCCGTGGATTCCTCAGGTGAAGCAACATGTCAAAGGCTATAGACACTTTCTTCGAAAGTTTGTTCACGCCAATATCGCCGAGATTGTCAACTTACCCGCTGGCCATTCTCTGGAGGAGACCTGTAGGCAACTTGTGGTAAATGATAGACATCTGCATCATTCAGACGACCAAGTGAGTGCAAAATTTGGACACATATTTTTCTTGTTGCTAAAAAAAGCTGTCTGAGTGCGATGCATAACCAACATTCCTCTGGTTTTCTCAATGCAGAGGTTTTCTTCTCAAGTTCTCGGACGAGCTCTCGCAATTGTCTTTTCAGACGATATACCAATACGATGGAGGATGGACACGTATTCAATACCATCAATCTCATTTGTCGCTTCATTGGTAAAGTTTATTTGTTTAAGTGTACTGGTGTCCTACTCGTAGCTTATACTATACTTGTGTTCAGGTCGATGTTAGTGTCCGTCACTTGAACGATACGTCAAACGTCCCCGTGCAAGGCTTATGCAAGAGAATCGCAACAGAACTCGAAGCTGCTAAACGTGCTGCACCAGAGCAATATGCTCGTAATGTTAAAGAGTTGTGGGACTTTGGAAGGAACTATAATAGTGAGGAAAACGACGGACAAACTCATCAACCTTTGGATGTGTCCGTACAAGAAGATACCACTGGTCGTGATGACGATGACACTGAAGGAGAAGAAGAAGAAAACGCATCTGCTGGATCAGAGTGGGCAGAAGATTGAAGGGACACTTTGTAATTATATTTATCTTGTAGAGTAAAACATTATATGTATAGACAAACAAGAGTATAGATGTTCAAGATTTGCAGTAAGAGCATTCGACCTGCGCAAGCATTATTATTGCGAATTATGAATATCTACACATCTGTGTTCACCTCTTCTGTCACAACAACCATTTCTCTACAAGCTATGCCGATGGATTCTCTGCGAGTGGTTCCCTCAATATGTATTCCGACAGAACCAATAGCCAAGCTCGTACCAACAACCGAAGGACGACCAGCCGATTCTATTGAATCCGTTCCAGCATCAAGCGAGTTTTTGCGACTTTGATTCTCTGCTTTCAAGCAAGGGAAGAAGGAACAAATCCTGTTCTTGATGGGCGCTGATGTATAGACCATGAGAAACGACTATGCCAATCGTCTTTTAACAGTATGAGTGAGTTTTGCTATCACTGCTGCCAGCAGCTCGAAAGTTTCTTCCCCAGTCGGTGTATTCAAGCAGATGCTTACTTGTCAATAAATTCATTTTATCTTGACTTCATGTATGCTGCAAACCCCTCCCTTTCGGTTGCCCGAGTTTGCGTGCTTTTGTGAGTTCTGTTGCGGTCGGCATTGGTTGGAGGTCTAGGTGACGCAAATACAGGTCCAACATAGGCTTCATATGTATCGGAATGTATCTGGGAGTCACTACACTTTTAATTTTTCCAGAACTCCCTTAAACCACGATATAATTGCAAATATCGAATAAACCAGGCTGCATTGGTACAATAATGATCTCCACGTATCTTTATTCAATAAACATATCTACTTCAATGAAAGTCCCTGACCTTCACCACTTTACGTACAGCATTCGAGACACCCTCATTATATCTGAATCGAACTTTCATCACTTCCATAGGTGCATCATCCATCATGTTGTCCACTATATGAATGATGAGAATTAGAACTTGATATTGTTGTTATTCTAAAGAACTCTGCCAACTTACGATCCATTGGTAACGAGATAAGTACACGACCGAAAAAGTCTGTGGTCTGCCAAACGACCAAAAAAAGCCGTTCAATGTACTGAAGAATTTCCGATTTGAACCAACCCAAGCTCGTTACTTACCGGCGCAATAGCTGCGGCAGCAGCCAAAGTGGCTTCCTTCCTCTGCCTGGAATATGTCTTTGGAAGCACAGGTGGCAAGCCCGCTTGAGGAGAGAATCCAGGTTGAGGAGCTCGTAACCTCACAAGTGCCTTTTCAATCTAAGTGATGGGGGAAACAAAAATTATTCAGGAAATTTTAAGGATGTTTGCCAAAAGCCACTACCTCAATATTTGCAAGGGTACGCATAGCCGAAGATCCAGTTAGCAATCGTTTGCTAGAGTCATTAGCAACAGCTCTTTGTGAGTCATGTGAGGGTAAAGCCAAAATGTCTATAGGCCTAAAAACAAAAGGTAGCCCATATTTAGCAACACACCAAAAATGCAACTTCTTTCGAGATTATGACAAACTTACGGTTCCAATCGATTCACGAGACCACCATGATCATCCAGTTTCTCGGCAGCAAACCTCAACCCAAATGAAGCACAAATATCAGCCACACGAGGAATACCATTCTTGTCACCAATATTTAAGATGGACGTGAGCATTGGTCGCAGCAATAGTGCAATATCATGTGTAGAGTGCCACATTTGTCTAAAATTTGGAGGTAGAGCACCTTCAAACGCTCTGATAATGTCTGTATGGGTTCTGCGTGCGATATAGTTCTATATCAAAGCGAGTGTTAGCAAAAACCAAACCATAGCCTCGACCATAGCCATTCAACACTTTCTCATAGTAACTCACATCATAATCACGTTTGGGAAACGTGAGTTCCAATCCTCGTGCATTTGCAAACAGTCGATGAAACATCACAGCTGGATACGGTAGATATGCAGATAATTCCCATTGTTGCCTTCTATTAACACGGTGCTCCATTGTATCGTAAAAGGACATCCATTCGAGAGCTTCTTCAATCTTGGATCGCGGAGCTCCAACAGTATCTGCTGATGATGTGGTATCGAGAATACGTGTTCGTAAATAATTCTCAAAGATTCCTAAAATTGTGTGAAGGAAATAGTCAGCAACTCTGCACGCTGCTTTTGAACTTGAAAATGAAATGATTTTATTTACCCTCCATTATCTTGTCATAATCGCCGTTAGACCGAATATTTGCGATGAGATGATGTGTCTGCTGACTGTCAATCAAATCTAATGCACATTAACAGAGTCAGCGAAAAGGCCCTCCTAATTTACAAAACAATGCGTGACTTACTGGCAGTATTCGACACACCCTCAGCACCAACTCCTTCTTCCCTCATTGTCATTCCCAAATCATGCCCAGTAGTTTTAGAACGTCCTCCTCCAAGCTTTTGTTTACCAACATTCTTGCAAAAGACTTCATCCCAGACTTGGAAGAGTCCCTTCCGAATATCTTTATGACCGACATCTAATCCTTGAATATCCATAACAGTAATCTTGTCTTTGTTATGTTGTTCTTGCTGAGCTAGTTTTTGATATTGCAAGAATTGTAGAGTATGAAGACATGATCTAATATCTCCTTCTGATGTATCAACGAGTAAATTCAGGGCTCGTGTATCAATCTTGATGATTTCCCACCGACAGATATCTGTCAATCGACGTGCGATGGGTTTGACTGGTGGTACAGGTAGCATAACCATATGAGCAATCATTCGTAATGGTCTCAAGACTGCCGAAAACCTAGCAAATTCTAGCGTCAACAAACTGCAAAAATGGACTGATTCTAACCCCTATTCCGCGTACATATCATTGCAGATACAAATTATTGGTCGCTGCAGTACCCAGGGCTTCGCACTCTTCTTCTTCTTGAATGCTAAGACGAAAATTTGATCAACGACAGAAAACCCAACCAAATTTCGTTTACAGCTGCGGGTACCTTGCTTTTTGGGACCTTCCGTCGAAGTAACCAGATCAGTCAGGAACGACATGAAAGTCTAATTTAATATCGATGTTATGCCTTCTGACTCTATGACATGGACAAAAAAAAGAGTCAAATGCAATAACAACGTACCGCATCGCCAGCACTAGCTTGACTAGCTCCATCAATCTCATCAATAACAACCAAATTAGGTCTGCGGTCTCCCATAACAGATTGTGAGTCAATCGAATGTAGCAGTTTATTTCTCAAAGCACCTTCAGTTCGAGTATCACTATTATATAGATCGTGAGCACCTTCTCGGATCTTCGAAGAAGCACAGAAGTCTCCATATTCGAGAAGAAATGTATCTTCTATTTTACCTGGCATTGATCTCCACACATCGATACCCACAATGCTCTGCAACCACATGAGCCAATGTGGTTTTGCCTAGACCAGGAGGTCCCGATAACAGCAAAATCTATCAGCGGGGAGAAGTTGTTTAACCATGCAAACGATACGCAAGCGCGAAGACCCAGTACCTTTTTACGTGGTCGTTTGAGTCGATCTGGAGGCTATGGCAAAAGTAAGAATAGATATTCTTAAAGCATTTGATAAACGTCTGACTTCAGCACAAAGCACTCACTTCCTCAAACTTTTGAAACTGAGCAGCAGAGCGTCCACCAAACTTGTTGCCATCCTTTGCTGCATCTCGATTTCGTACAGGTTTACCAAACACACAAAACTCCCAATCCTTGACCCACATCAACACTTCTCGATTAGCACGCTAATTTGAAAACACGGATGATGAGAATCCACAAAATAGGCCCTATTGAAACAGTGTATTGTCTTTGCAATAGTGCTTACCTCGTCACCAACAAGGTCTATATACTTCTTTGGTGCATACTTATCCACCCACAACGTTCCCGCATCCGGTTTGAGTGGAGGCTTCTTTACAACCACAGGCAGTTGCAACGATTCTTCCAAAGCTTGAGCCTTTTGTTCTGCCTCAATCTCATCCATAAGACGATATATATTGGATGACAGTAATGGTCCCACACGACCGCCTGTTTTACTAGGACCAACATTGTGTGCTGTAGTAGTTGTTGTGGTCGAATACGCCAAGGCTTCAGACATCGTCTTTCGTGGAAAGTATAATCGTCGTCCTGATGTAGCGTTACCACCCACATATGATACAATATTAGCTGGTAAATATGTATAGTCTTTACGTAATATCGTATTAATAGTATTCGACTTTGTAGAAGCGACAGGTAGTGTAGTTGTCTTTGGTTTATATTTTGATTTCGTGAGTCTGGTTGGGAGTCGTTGTAGTGCTGCAGGTTTTTGAGCAGTTGGTTCATCGGGGATACCGAGTAGCTCATCGTCATATTCCTCTTGGATGACCCGTGGGCGTTTTGGAGGAGGAGGAGGAGCAGGTTCGTCGAGATCTTCTTCATTGAATCCGTCCATATCAAAGTCTGGTGGTTCATCTTCTGGCACTATACTTCTTATATTCTGACGCCGAGGTATGGGCTCTTCATCTTCGTCTTCATGATATTGTAGTCTGCTGCTATTGTGTATCAATGCTCCTTGTTTCGGTATCTTCTGATCGAACTGTACTTGCATCTTTACATCATCCTCTTCATCATCATCGGTAAACTGAAGTCTAGGTTTCGATGCAGTTGGTAGCTCCTCCTGCATATCATCATCATTGAACTGTAGTCTTGGTCTCGATGCAGTCGGTAACTCCTCCTGTCTATCATCTACGTTCATATGATGTGTTTCGTTTCGTATAGTCGATTCCAAATCATCATCAGCGAGTTCCCGAGTTTCATTATTTCGATCTATTATATCATCGCCACTTGTAGACAATGGTGGAGTGGGTTGATCTGGGTGACTGGATGTTCTGACACGTTTACTGCGACTTTCAACAGTAGCTTGTTGCTCCTCATTGTCATCATGACGATCGCAATTGTCTAGTCCCCGTTTGCCCAATTTCACAGCAGATGCAGAATAGTATTGATCAAACAAGTCGTCTGAAGCTTGTCCATCTGCTTCGCTGGAATGTTTCATTTGGGAATGATGTTTCTGTAAATTGTGATGCAGAAGCTCTATAACGTGGAAAAGGACAAAAGTTAAGGCATTGATAATGCTTGGAAATGGATGTAATCATTTGCCTTCCATAGCGAGATCGTCATTGGGTGGTTCTTGTGCTAAAAGTAGAAGCAAAGTCAGGTCGCTGTACGTGATTGCGAATGAACAGGCAATGATAACATACGAGCGGCGTCGTCATCGTTATAATTACGTAGATCCAAAGCTTCTTCCATTTTTACAATAATAGTTCTTCCTCTACTCGCCTCGTAATTTGGCTAAAGTGCTCTGCGATGATGATTTTGATCTGGCGATGACAGATGAAGCTTCAAGACGAACTAACGTGATGAAACTTGGTGAAACCCATCATAAAGATGCGCCGTTATCATAATTGCTATCATTCACGTGAAAATGGTTGGGTCCTGTAAGTGACTTGGCGAATCGAGGAACAGTCTCAATTGGACGACTCCAACAATTTCGCCACGCGTATAACGAGAAGCAGAATCAAATCCAAAGCCAGAAATTCACGTAAATCACACCTTCACGTGGTGGAGTAAAACTAAAGTTCATCGAAACTTTCGACATCCAAACTTTACAATCAGAGAGACAGAATCAAGTACAGAGCTATGGCCAGGTTTATGAAGCAGTACGATTTGATCTTGAACAAATACCCCATCCTGGTGCAATCTTTAACTACTGGTCTGTAGCGTGTCATGCCGATCAAATTGTCAAAATCACCACACTCAACAACTTGCAAAACTAGGTGGCTTCTTTGCTCTCGGTGACGTAGTTGCTCAACATCTAGTAGAGCATCAAAGTAAACATGATTTCGGTCGTACGGCCAGAATGACCTTTTACGGTTCTGTTATTGCTGTAAGATCTCATGTATCTAAGTTCGCGTCTTTTTGGGTTGGGAAGCTCAGTACGACAAGTTGATCATGTAGGGACCTGCCGTTGCCGTTTGGTATCGATATTTGTTTGCTAGAACTAGTCACATTCAGAGTGCCATTCAAGGTATATGACCTGTCAGTTTAAGATGTTAGGATTTTTGCCACTCTGAACCTAAACACATATTGTCAACAGCCACCTTAACTCGTGTCGCTGCCGATCAGCTTCTATTTGCTCCTCCATTCATTGCTGTCTTTTTTACCGGAACGGGCATCTTGGAGCAACGATCATTCGAAGAAATCAAAAGCAAGCTAAAGTTTGGTTACAAGGATGCTCTACTTGCAAACTGGCAGACTTGGCCTGCTTTCCAAGCGGTAAATTCTTGTGGTGCTCTGGTGTCGTACGCGTTACAGACATGGTTAAGCTAAACACGTTAATTTCACTAGTTCAACTTTTACGTCGTGCCGCCATTGTATCGTTCTATGGCAGTCAGTGTAGTATCTACGGGCTGGAACTCGTATCTCTCTTGGAAGAACAATTCAAGTTTGAATAAGGCCGTACTCGCCAATGCCTAGTTGTTTCTATGGAGGCCAATCATTCTTGTACCATACTGTACACTTTCACGACACTAAAACACCCACACAATGTCTCATAGTTAAATATATTCCATCACATCAACAACAAAAACCCTTTCAAAGCATTTCTGGACACATTTTTATTTACGGGGTTTATGTGATATGGTTTCTTACGAATTTAGCAGGCAGTTTTAACACCTCTAGATACCTAAAGACTTGGTTTACTATCATACGGTTAACAGACATCCATCATTTGGGGACAAACACTCTCAGCTGGTGACGGCAAGTTCTCAAGCCCAACCCAATAGGCGACAGCCATCGGTTTAACAATCATAAGGTTTGAAGCTGAAGCACTAAACGGATATTTATCAAGCCTGCTCTTCTCAAACCTCGGCACGGCCTCATTATACAAGTTGACTTGAGAATGACTTTTCCCAGCTTGGAATGCCAAACACGCCTGTTCGAATCTCTGTGCTGCTACATCTACCATCATACTATCATTAACGGTGGTGCTATTCTGGATGGATATAGCCTGGAAGATGGATTTAGACGAAGCCGGTTTGGTATCTATTACGATTCCACCTAGTCGTTCGGTAAGTTCGTTGAGCACGTTCATCTGGTTGGACTGTTGCTGGGCTACTTGGAATACGTGGGTGAGCTCATTCATTATCGGGTTGTGGGTGTCGGATTGGATTCGTTTGCTAGGTGATCTGTTTTGATATGAAGATGTGGTGGATGTAGATACGTCCATGTCGTCGTCGTAGTTAGTCAAGTCGGGTGCTGAGGAGGAGTATGACATCTTTCTTTTGTTGAGAGAGGCGTCTGATCTTGAATGTTGTAGTTGTGACATTTCTCTCGGTTTACTCGATATTTAGCACCTGGTGTTTGACTATAGTTGGGGAGCTTTCGTCGTAAGCGGAATGTAACCTTAAAGCACCCAACTGTAGTCGTGAAGATTTGAGAGGAAAAGATTTCGAGATCTTGTGGTCTTGAGTCTATTCTTATCTGGAAAGTTATCAGGATGTGGGTTGTGACCTTGGATGAAACTGCCGGTTTCCACCTAGCAAATTAGAGTTCTTCAATCTTCAGGTAGAGCTATAGTCTGCTCCTTGCATAGAGCGATCGCTGGGGTTTTATGATGACAATGGGCTTCTGGAAAGTTTGTGTAAAATATGTCAAGGACACGAACAAAGCGCCTGTTTGGAAAGCGTTCTCACAGTTCCTGATAGTTTTGTACAATTTAGAGGATATTCCTTCTATATTCGTGCATTATTGATCTAGTCAGCGCCTCACGGTACTATTGTTGATGGTCAAACTGAAATCCAAAACGACTTTGAAAGTGTTTCAAACTAAACCACCAGCGAGAGATTTTGTAGATAAGAATTTTATTGATAAGAACGCATTAGATGCAAACAGTTTCAAAAGGGCCAATTGTTTCGGAATTTTTGGCAGGTGCGGTCAATGCCTTGGCACTCTCGATAAACAAGCAAATTGTTGCACACTCATGTCAAATGCGTTTCGGGAACCGCAAGGGATCCATTTGAACCATTACAACGGATATATTCACCGCCTCATACCATGCTAAGTTTGCCTCGTACTCAACAGACCTGGGCCTCGCAAACGACGAGCTATTCAATGCTCCATTCTGCAAGAGTTGTTGATGTAGAAAAGAGAGATGACGGTAGATACTGGTATGTAAACCGCATGTTTTTCGTTGAAGTTGAGATCTACTCTGGAACTTTCTTTTCGTTGGTCAGAGAACTCACAGCCAAACATTTGGAATGTAGGTATGTTATTCAAGTGCAGCTCAGGAGTGATGATGGCAGGAACGATATGGCGTTTATTCCTATGTCAAAGGGTGCCAACTACAATGTATTACGCAAATATGAAGATTTTGTTGATACGCACTCGGATATCATCGATGTGGTCAGGCATCAACAACCCAGCGAACTTGATTTGGTGCCAATCCTACCGAAAAGAAAAGTGCGTTTTGCTGCTATTGATATAGATATTGCTTTCCCTATGCATGAATGTCCCGAGTCTCACCAATATCTAACCTAATTATCAGCTCTTTGTAACGAAAGCTGTTGCAGAAGAACGCATTCAGGTCTTATCAGACTATTGTCAGGCTCTAGTCAGATTATCAAATCAATTACGATCACCCCAAATCATACAGAACTTTTTCGAGGTGGATCAACATGGCATAAAACAATCCATGCCTAATAATAAACAAGCATCAAGCACTTCGATGCCACGACCGCCTCCACCTCCATATGAGGCTGTAGAATACCATAATTCGGCATCAAGACCTCATAGATCCAGACCAGTTGAGCAGCAACCGAGACAACAGAGTCCTACGGGACCTACCATATGGAATATTTCAGGCCCACTGCCAAGTCAGATGGCTGAACAGTTGATGGCAAGGCATCCTACTATGAAAACTAATGAAATAAAACCTGCAAACGAAAATAGATCTCCTGGAAGGTCAGGAACCCGATCCAGATCTGGACGTCGTGCCACGCCATCACCAACACGCTCAGCAGATGATATCTCTTCCCCATCGTCAACCGCCAAAGCATTTCTAAGCACGTTTGTCAGAGACGGTAATAGTGGTTCCGGATCTGGTAGCGGATCTGGCAGTAACTCGGATCCTTTGTTGGGTTCTGTAGAAGAAGTAGAGACAAGTCAGGGGACGACAACACCTCCTGAATCAAAGAATGTATCTAGAAATGTTACTCCGTCTTCTACCCCTAGACGTAAATTACCGCCTATGCCACCTAGTGAGTCAAGGCCTAAACGATCTGCATCGAGTAAACAACCAGCTACAACGAGAAATATTGATGATAGTGTGCATCGAGGTGTCAGTACGTTTCCGAGGACGGTCCCGCCATCGTATGATAGACAGAAAGGAATTGACTCTGGGTGAGTGTGACTCGATATCTGCAACGGTTGTTTTGCTGATTGCTCCCTGTTTTTAGGTCACTCTCATTCCTGCAACAGGAATCTCTAGCAAATTCTCTGGGACTAAACAACATTAGTCGAGGCCAAACGAAAAGTCTGGATCGCAACACGTCAGCAGCTAGAGCCAAGTTCGATACCAACACGCTTGAAAGAGCACGAACTAGAAACGAACCAGTACCAGACAAATACAATGTAGCAAATCGACAAGATGTTGCTCGAAGACCTCAAACTCTGGAGAGGTATCCGAAACCTCCACTGAACGAACGATTGAGGTCTACCATTGAGAGAAACCAACGAGCACATCATAATCTGGCCGTAGACGTTGACAGAGGACGATATGACGAGTTTATAGATGACGATCTACCCTTATCAGCATCAACTTCTGAAGTCTCTGGAAATTTCCCGGATCGAAGCACACCCACGAAATATATGGATGCTGATACAGGATCATACTTGCAATCTGATACTCAGTCGACTCGTCGTATGTCTAGTGTATCGTTGGCACGGTCACGATCAGCTGGCGAAATGCAGCAATTGAGACGGGACAATTATAGTGATGAGGATTTGTTATCCTACTATGCAAACCCCAGATCGACATCAATACCGCCTCAAGCAGAAACCAAAACTGTGGCAGCAACACAGAAAAATCAAGCTGTAAACACTTTGCTACGATTCATGATGGGTAATAATAGTATTAGTAGTGCTGGTGCAAGTGCCAAACCAACAAACATGGGTAGTTTGTCACGAAGACGGGACCTATCACCACCATCCCTTCAGAAGTCGTTTTCAAGTCCCGCTGGCGGTGACAGTCAACGACCACCACGCCAATCAGAATATAAGAATAATAATTCAGAACTACTGCTAAATCAAGCACCAGTCTCACTAGCTGCTGAACCAGACGATCTCCCTCAGACTGTCGCCTCATCTACAAAGAAACGACCTACACTATTACGCAGTTTGTCTCGCCGAGACAAGAAGGAGGGTGGTTTGCCTCATCCACCGTGGAATCCAGTATCTTCTGGTCTTAATAATAATAATTCATTAGGACGACGTCAAGCATCAGCAGATTCACGACCACGAGAATCATCCCCTACTGGTAAATTCTCATTTGATGAAACTCGGGATGAAATGTTTATAGTGTCGACGACTACACCAGGAGTAGATACCGACAATGGACGTCGTGGACGACCACGTGAAAAGCAATTACCGAATCTACCCAGCAATAGTAATAGATCACCACCGACATCTCCACCCCGATTACTACAAAACGCTGTATCAGTGAACCGTACTGAATCAGATAGCAGCCAACACTACCAACACAATCGATCTAGCATTGGAGTTAAAATCGTACTAGGGCCTCATGATATCGTGGTTGTCCGGGTCCCTGAAGATGCTACATTAGCTGATGTCTATAAGCGGGCTGATAAAAAGCTGGAGACGCTGGGAAGACTGCCTCTCAAACATTCTGGAAACCTGTCATGGGTGGATTCTGATCAGCATAGAGTGCTTGTTAAGGATGAAGAGGACTGGAATATCGCTTTGACGGAAATGGGAGGCGATAAGAAGGTGGTTTTGTACCTGAATGAGGCTTCTTCACAACGGCGCTGAGTTTGGCTGAGACATTGATATCTCTGGATTCTTTTTAAATCGCTCTTAGTCATGGTATTTTTCTGTTTGTCATTCATCTTTTGTAAATATTCACATCTATAGAATTTGATTTCAGTGCCTCACAAACAAAAGTTGTTTCGCAATTTGAGCAAACAGTGTAACTGCTTTTTTTGGGCTTCACCATTCCATATATTAGTATATGTCAGAAGACACGTTATACTTCCGTCTCAGCCTCGATTACGCTTTATTCACCAAGCTCGAACATGACTTCCGATTTGTACGTCCAAAAAGGTTTGGACGCAACTTTAAAATGTGGGTTGACGCTTTCGTCAACAATGGAGTTCTTCCGTACATTCCACACGTGGGACACGCGTTCTTTATTCGTTATCCATATTAATTTCACCATTGAATTTCAATCTGACCAAAACCTTCTAGTTTTCACCATGAGTGGATCACAACAACCACAAGAGAGCAATCCGTTCGACCTCTTGTTAGAAGATATATCAGCAACGATATGGATACTCTCCACGTACGATGAAATTGCAGATGATGTGGAGCAGTCTGCACTTGCCGAAGCACAAGACACCAACACGTCAAGTGGTGCAACAACCATTTTGGAGACTCCTGAATCCCCGCACCAAAACCAACCTGCACTCTCACTTGAATTTACAGTATCATCACCCACTGAGCAACTTCAGACTCCCTCCGTCATCCATATCGCTTCAGCACAATCACGGAACGCGTCCATCATCAACGAAATCGAACGTCGTGTTGATATCATGGCCCGCAGACGTTCAAGTCTTACTATGCCTGCAGCAACACGTCATAATGTTGCTACGGCTCACAAATTGGCGTCTTTGCTTGGTAGTGTGCCGGATGCTGTGCTGCAAAAGGCTGCTAATGGAATTGCTGTTGATGCAACCAAGAAGACCAAGAGGAGTAATATAGATAAGGCGTGGAGGATTCTGTCGTTGTTTGCAAAGTGAGTTTGGAAGTAGTGCAGGACAACTGGGTCGATGTGTCATTTATCGTATGAGAGTTTTGTTAACGTATTTTTCTTTATTATAGGAAACCTGAAGAATCCGATGACACCAACGACGACATCCTATTTAACCCCCCGACAGCAGATCAGCTTCGTCGTGTGAGCGCATCGCTACTCTCTCATCAGCTTCCTCAACCCAACGGTCAACTCAACGCAGCTTCTGTATTATCAGACAAGGATGAACCCACTCGCACGAAAATCCGTGAATCTTGGATTGCAGAACTTTCAGCACTTTCGAATGCTATATATACTATGCCTGTAATATCCAACCGTCCATCAATGGCTACACTGCCCCCAAAGTTAACTAATGTCACCGAAGAATTCAAGGGATTCCACAGCAAGGACTCGAATGCTAGTATCACGCTACAACAAGATGAGATGACTCCTACAACTGCTGTTGATCCATCATTGAAGGAATCTATGAATGGCGTGGATGCCAACAACAAGCCTATCACTATGGATGAGAAGTTCCGATTGTCACTCGTAACGGGATCTCCACCGACATATGCACCACCCACACCACCAGCCAAAGCGTCTGTTCCTGAAGAACGTCCGCGTATAATCCTAAAACGCCATACGAGTCGCTCGCTGAGTAAAGCAAGCAAGTGTGCTCCTGTGGATTTAAATGCAGATATTGGAGCACCTCCAGCTATGCCACTGCCCACACCATCATCGCTGTCTGCACCGTCGTCGCCAGTGTCTCCAAATTCAGCTGCACGTACCCCTCGTGGAAATATTGTCTTGAAGGGTTTATCACAGCAGGCAGTTAGTCAGGAAAGTTTGAAAGTTAAACCCAATGATGAGCAACCACACCAGCCATCACGACAACCGGAGACACGAATTACTCCCATTACTCCCTCCTCGTATAGCACAACTCCCGCTGGATATCGACCTGTAGCAACCCTCCAACCTACTGATGAAACACCTACTCCAGAATCATCTCGACCTCACTCACTGCTATCAAGTGACGAGGCAATAGTGCCTGTCGCTTCACCACTATCTTCCTCTATATCGTCGTCTATTGGTTCAATGTCGCCTATAGCGTCTCCTGTAGTAAAAGTGATGATGGCACCCGACCTGAAGCATGTAGCTTTGAAAAGGACTGTTACGAAATGTAGTCGTTTGAGTAGGACTGATTTTGATGAGAGCACCTAGGATACCGGATTTATTTAACTACTCATTTGGACGAGAAATACATTAATAATAGATCAATAACAAGACCTAGAAATTGTTCGCGTTTACAGTTTACAGGTCTTCTGAAAGAATCAGTAGAGTTTTTTTGTGAATTACGTTGCTGCAAGTTGCGACAGGCGTCTTTCCGCAACACACAAAGCACCCCAACCACTTCTTCACTAGCAATCGCCTATAAGGAGATGCCATCTGCAGACGATGACTGGGCTACAAAGCGACTAGAACAGCTTCTCTCCTCGCAGTTTGACTTTGATTCCATACCGACAGCTGCACCAACACTCAAGAAAAGAAAACGTGAAGACGACAATGAGGAGACAGAAGACGTAGATCAAGACATAGATTCAAGTCTGGAAGACACTTATGATGATGAGATAGACGACGATGTGGTAGTAGATACTCGCCCAGAAGTAGAAACGATTGTTTTTCAACAAGCATCAAGTACGAAATCAACACCACATTCGAGGGCTGCTTGGAAGCAGTTTATGGTAAAGATCGATTATTTTCATGTTTGGAAATGATGCTGACAGTCATTTTACTAGTCATCGGACGTCTCAAAATTAAGCAAAGCTGATAAACAGGCGAAACCTGTAACTAAAGAAGAGGCTGATCAAGATCGTCAAGACGATTTACATGACACTGAACTGATGGATTTGCTCAAGACTACAAAACTTGTGGAGCAATACAGTTAGTAGTTGATCTTTGGAGACTGTGACGATATTTTTTTTTGCTGACACGTTTCCGTAAACTAGCTTCTGGAGAACTTACAGGTCGCGATCGTCGAGATTATATGAAGAAGAAGCTGCTAGAACTTGGTGCCAAGGTACTCTTCGCCCTTTCAAGATCGTACCAGCAAGAAACAAGAAAAAGCTCACGTTCGATTGATGAATAGGGCGAGAAACAAGACAGACACCCCCTAAATATCCGTCTCGGCATGCACAAAGCATCAACAGACCGTGCCGAGAAACGTATTAAGGACGCCAAAGAAACATCCATGTATCACAAATCAATCAAGAATGTCTTTTCTAATGATTTAGAATTGTTGGGCAAGACGAAACGACATCGTCCGTTACGAAAGATTGAAAAGGGGCTGAAACCTACCATTGGGAAGTTCAAGGATGGCGTGCTGCATTTGAATGAGAGGGATATTCGTGGTGGTGGCAGTAGTAGAGGGTCTGGTAGCAGCAGGGGAGGTGGACGAGGTGGCTCGCGTGCCGGAAGAGGTTCGTCTTCTGGCAGAGGAAGGGGTGGCAAGAAGAGGTGATGTATAGAAACAACTTCTCTAATTTATAGATATAAATCGTTTTTATTGAGTATATATCACTATGAGTTTTATAATCGAGGTGAAGCTGCTTTACGTCTTGCAGCTTCTCGTTCAGGGAATGGACCCAAGTACTCCTTCTTCATATGGAATGCAAGTCGTTCCATCACGTCAGACCCAAAGAAGGACATTGTTTTTCCTTCATCGTTCACTGCGGCGGTCCAAGGAGCACCAAAGGCTCCATATGTGTCTACAGCCTGGTGAGTGACGGTGGTGTTAGACGATGGTTATCCGGAGTCCGAATATAGGTTTTTTTTTTACCTCGTTGGTGATGGCAATCAGCTCATCCTTGATTTCCTTTGTGATATCTTCTGCCAATATCTTTTTCACAGTGTCTTGGCCAAGAACACGACCCAGCTAAGAAAAATCCATAAGATTTACGAATACTTATACATAATCATCGAAAAGCAGTCCTACATGAATAATCAAATCTTCGTCCTTCTCTGGGTTACGACCCTCCTCCCAATAGCATCTCCAGCATTCTCGTGAGCATTCAACCAAAGTATCACGCGTGTAGCGATGCTTGATTACTCGTAGGGCTCTCATTTCTACATTAATGATAGATCAGCGTCTGGGTTTGAACGATATGTTTAGTACATCTCACCTTTCATAGTAACAGCAGGGAAGAAAGCTGGTCCCTTGAGCTTCATCTCGTACATTCCTCTTGCAACATCCAAGATCTGGAGAGGCGCGTCTTCATCAGTCTCATGTAAGCACATATTTAGAGAGTCGGCAACACACCTTGTTCATGTAAGCACCCTTGAATGGATTTGTGCCTGGAGGTACCTAAATGATGGTAATATTATTGAGCCTCTGGACTATCGAAATCGTCAAAACAAAATCAACAAATGTTTGCTGAGTGAGCATTTTTTAGTCACGCACATTTCCAGTCTTGTTGTTTACACCGCCAAGGAAGAAGGGCTCCAAGACAAGTTCGACATTCCAGAATTTCTCATATCGAAGCAATACTAGAAAAGATGTGGTGCAAACAAGTGTGGGGTTAGCCAATAATCATCAATTCACATTAGTGAAAGTGGCAGAGATTGTAAGCACGCGTTGTCCAACCTTCCATCTGAATCCAGCTCCATGGAGACACGCAGTCATAAAATAAGGTCATCTTGGGCGGCATCTTGTGTTGTTTGTTTTGTCGAGTTAGTGCAAACTGTTCAACAAAGTGGTTCTGTAGTTTTGCACGCAGAGTGACATCATCAGGCATGGAACGCACGGCAGGGACCGACGAAAGCATTTTTATACGTGTTTTACGCGTTTCCTGATTTGTGAAATTCGCATCAAACCGGTACGGTGCCTTCAAAGTCAACCACATTGAAACCGACCAACTAAGAAGGTGATAAAAACACAGCACGGGTCTTGCAAGACCATCATATTTATTCAACTTGCACCAGTGTGCCAGGATTCAGAGCATTTCAGAGTCGAATGTTTTACAGTTTGGCTTTTTGAGCAGCCTGATCTTCCTCCCACGTTGGATAATCAACATATCCAACACTAAAGTCATTCGGTACATTTGGTCCGTAAAATGTCTTGCGGTTGTAATGTGCTAGAGGCAGTCCACGTTGCATACGTGATACTATATCCGGGTTGCTGATATAGTGTCTAGAAAAGTGGTGTTGGGATTGTTATTCTATTGGCTCATGAGTCAATTCGACATTTCAGGCTCGAAAGACACACCTTCCATATGCAACCATGTCATACGTGCCGTCCTTGATGACTTGGTTGCCAGAAGCTGGTGTATAGCCACCAGCAATCATTGTTTTTCCAGCCGTGTAAAGGCCTTGGAAGCATTTTAAAGATACAATGTCCTTGTTGTATCTTTTAGAGGTTTCTCCTTCGCTGAATCCGGCTCTGGCTTCCTCCGAATCGTCACCGGCAAGCCTCGGCTCGACTATTTATGACGTGACCAAAGGCGTTGGTTGATGAAGTGAAAGTCGACACAAATAGCAAACATACTAAAGTGAACAAACCCGATCTTGTACTTGTTCATCTCCTTCAGTATGTATGTATACGTCTCAATAGGACTCTCATCAAACATGTCGTTAAAGAATCCGAATGGCGACAATCTCACACCAATACGACTAGGTGGGAACTCTTTACTGCATTCAGCTACGATTTCAAATAAGAAACGAGCACGCTTCTCTATAGAGCCTCCATACTCGTCATCTCGCTTGTTTGTTGATGACTCAGTGAATTGATCTAGATGAGCAATGGGATTGTTAATGTATTAAATCACATTTGGCGAATAACGAGCCACATACGAGGTAAATAGCCATTAGCACCATGTATTTCAACCTAGCGAATGTCAAAGTGTCAGGTACTACGCAAAAGCAAAGACACGGGAAAAACTGCAACTCCAAATGTTGTAAAACTCACACCATCGAAGCCGGCTTCTCGAGCAAGTCGAGCAGCCCGCCTGTAATCCTGTATATACTGCTTGACCTCTTGTGTTGTAAGCGCTCTCGCGACATCACCAGCTTTACCCAAATCACCTCCAGCGCCGACCCTTGTAGCAGATGCACTAACCGGAGCTTGCCCATTGGGCTAACAAAAGAGTGAATCGGTCATTTGAGAAAGCGTAATCTCCAACTAACAAGTCCAAACACAATGCACTCGAATATACCTGCAACCGTTTCCTCGAAACCCTCCCAGCATGCCACAGCTGCAGATATATGAAAGATCCCTTCTCATGAACAGCCTGGCAAACAGGTTTCCAAGAGTCACAGTGCTCCTGCGTATACATTTTCGGCACGAATCTGTATGGTTCACCAGTTTCATTAACTACCGTGGCTTCTTGAATCAGTAGCGAGCCCGGTGACGATCTTTGAGCATAGTGTAGGACGTGGAGAGGACCAGCCAGGCCGCCTTTAGCTCTCATTCGAGTTAGAGGGGCCATGATTATTCTGTTTGAAAGCTGCAAGTCGCCCAAGAGTATGGGAGAGAAGAGGTCTGGCATTGTGTCAGAGATTGAGATGCTTCAGTAACAGAATAGTCGAGATGTATTACGGGATTCAGGGCAGTTCTGCTATAATGAGGTCAAAAATTGTTGCACAAATTTGGTGTGACTGTTGGCGATGAGAGCAGGATGATGGCCGTTCCCAACCATTTCTAGTATCAGATTGCGTTGCTTTATGCGTCGTTGATTGATGGATGATATGACTACATGACCAGATCGCGTGTAATTCGACAAGAGCACAATTTGCGGCCATTTGGAAAGTGGCCCGCTACACGCTTAAAAAGCTGTAGAAGTCGCGACAGACATCACTACAATATTTAAATTCGTTCTGCAGACCAGTTTCAACAGATAACAGTGCGCCAATGTATAGCATTATCCCGTGTTGTCGTGATACCTCACAAACGCAACACGCATTTCTAAGCAAGGCAAGCCGAACTTATCAGAACAAGCAAGAATGAACACTCAAGTAGTACTAGCCAAGAGACCAGGTATGCATTCTCTCACTTGTTGCTCTCCTCTTGTAATTTGTCGTGACACGATGTTGTTTCTCCTCACGCCCAAGTTCACCTTCTTTTGTACATCATAGGTCCAGTCGCAGGCCTCCCAAAACCATACGAAACATTCAAGATCGAAAAGGTCCCAAAACCATCATGTCCTGCCGGTGGAGTTGTAATTCAAGTCACTTACTTGGGACTTGATCCTGCTGCTCGAGGATGGATTAACGATGGTACTATACTGCTTACCATATATGGAAACTATTGCTTTCTGTACTCATACGGCATTCCTTTTCAGAACGAAGCTACATGCCCCCTGTCGCCATCGGTGAAGTTATGCGTGGAGCTGCTGCTGGTGTCGTCGTTGAATCCAAAGCTGCAGGATTCACTAAAGGAGACCGTGTTTTTGGGTTCTTCGGTTGGACGACCTTCTGGGCTGGCCCAGGTACAATCCATTACAGACCAAAAGCCTGATAAAAGTCACCTTGGCTTACGATACTTTGACTTAGCAAACCAACTGTCCAAGATCGCGTGAGTTTATGATATGGAATACGTAGAGAGGCCTGAAAGCAACAGAAAATAAGAGATTGACGAGACAATGTATGAATTTAGAGACGGCGTAAGCTTACAAGATGCTCTGGGTCTCCTTGGAATCACTGGCCTAACAGCATATTTTGGAGTCTTGCGAATTGGACGAGCAAAAGCTGGAAAGACTGTCGTTGGTATGAACGTGAAAATCTGCAAACATGGAGAACTCAACCGACCCTTATTCATCAACTCTTTTGCAAAACTAGTTTCTGGAGCTGCAGGAGCCACCGGCAGCGTAGCTCTTCAAATATACAAACTGAAGGGTTGCAGAGTCATTGCTATAGCCGGTGACAAGGACAAACTAGACTGGTGTAAATCTATTGGAGCTGACGTAGGAATTAACTACAAGGACTCAAACTGGAAGGAGCAGTTGGTTAAAGCTGCACCCCAGTATATCGATGAATACTTTGACAATGTTGGAGGTATTTGTTTTGTCGCTGTTGAATGCCTCCTTCGAATCCCAGTAACGAAGCCTCAACCTCTCCAATCAGGTGAAATCCTCGACACAGTCTTGGGCCACCTCGCCCAAAACGCAACCATCGTCCTATGCGGTGGAATATCTTCAGGGTACGGTGGTGGAGGAGGAGCTGTCCCATATGGCCTCAAAAACCACATGAATCTAATCATTCAACGAGGTCGAGCTGAAGGGTTTATTTTAACTGACTATACCCCAGAGTTTGATGCTGCTCGTGCCGAACTCATCAAATGGTTGAAAGAAGGCAAGATTGTGTCCCGAGACACTGTTTTGAATGGGCTCGACCAGGCGCCAGCTGGGTTGGATATGTTGTTCAAGGGGAAGAATGTGGGCAAGTTGATGGTTAAGCTTTGAGTGGTGTGAGCAAAAATTTGGAATCTAGTTTCAAATAAAAGCTACTACATCATCATGATACGACTTTCCTTTCAGTTGAACAGTGGCTGCTCGCAGTAATATTTCGAGTCCCTGTGTTTTTCGCCGCGGCGCAAACCCGATGCCGTTATCATCATCATCATCATCATCTGAAATGAAGTCAAAACGCCAGGAATGTGCGTAATTGATCTATTGCTAATACGGCCTTTTTATTGCTGAATGAATAACGACACTAATATAGACAGCTCTGACATGGATTGCTTGTGATTTATATCCCAGTCTACCAAGGAACGATGCTACCATCATAAGCAAAGAACTTCCCGTTGTCTCCAGCAGTGAGCTTATTCATGACACCCACAATCCCTTCAGCAGAGGCTCTTCCAGTAATCGAGAAGGATTTTAAAGCTTCGACAACCTGATCATCAAACCCCTGTGTACCTAGATCAGACATTACGACGTCGGGACTATAGTATATTGTATGTTAGACAGCCAGTATTTCAAATCGTCATATTGACAATCGGGGAGTACTCACTGCATAGCAATAATGATAAAGTTATCCTTCGCATACGTTTGCGATGAAGTGACGGTGAGCATGTTGAGAGCTGCTTTGGAGGCACGGTATGGAGATAGTGGGCCGACAAAATCGAATCCGAATGGGACTGATGCGATGGAGCCGCCTCGGCTTGAGATGTTGAGCACGGTTCTAGTGTTTCGTTTCTTGAGAGCAGGGATCAGCGCGACGGTCATGTAGTATGCAGCCAATGCATTGGTGTTGAAGGCAGCAATAAAGTCAGAGCGAGGTCTACAATGCACAATTTAGTTAGAGACGTTTTGGAGGGAAACAAAAATCAACAAGCGAATGAGTTTATCAAGCTGAATGAAAAGTTGCAAAATATGATTCCAAGCCATCAAATTGAAATGGCCAACTCGACAGCAAGCACTCACATCTGCTCTGGTGCCAGAACGGGAGTGTTCATGCCAGCATTGTTCAGCAGCTGATCCAGTCCTTCAGGAAATATTTTATCTACCTCCACAGCAAATTGCCGGATTGATGCGTCGTCGTCTACATCCAGAGCAACGACATGAAGCTGTGTCGGATACGTGGCAGCCAGTTGTTGAAGATCAGTGGCGTTCGAGACTTGTCTAGCGGTGGCAATAACGTTGCATCCGGTCTCCAGTAGGAAGGTTACAATGGCAAATCCAATGCCCTAAGTGTGGAGAATGTCTTTAGCTAGAACGTTGAAAGAGTTGATTCGAATGCCAGCTCAATACAGAGAAATGTACATTAGGACGATTTGCACCAGTCACGACAACATTCTTGGCCATTTTTCTCAGTTTATGAATATGATCAAGTGTAAAACGTTGAAGCTTTGTGTGCTTTTGGTTCTGGGGGTGAATTGTTTCCTAGGGTGAATTGTTTCGTGCCAAAACGAAAAGACGCAAATTCGAAATTGCCACCCAAAATTAACATGTAGTGCGACGTATCAATAGTAAAAATGAAGAAAATACGACGTATCATCTTTGGCACACCTTTGAGCTTACTCTTTCATATTTACCAGCCCAGGAGTGGGAATTGGCGCTGAAAACTTTCCTTCTTTTGATGCAGCTGGTAAACTTATATCTCACTCTTATCGCGTATAGCAAGGACTCTGTCATTTAGCAAACGCGTCTATGATTGCGTGAGTTTGATGACTTGTGTGTAAATCCATCGGAGTTGATGTCGGCATTCAATCAAGAAGATTCCAGCTGGAAGGAAGAACTGACTAAACCTGGTCCCAACCAACTTTGATTAACACTATGGCAAAGTTGGAAGCGAGATTTTGGTTTGTGGCAACCACGAAACATTTGGTATTTATAAAAGGCATCTTTGGATCCCAGACTCGCTCCACTTTGACATTCGAATGAAGTGACACATTAACTGTGCTATCTCTAGGCGCACGAAACGCTACAGTAGTGTTGTGCGGCGAAATCTCTACCGGATCCAGGGACAAGTCAGAATCTGTACGATAAGGCATCAAAAGCTCATCATGAAACGAGCGCGATACAGGCTTTCATTTTGGACGACCGTGCTTGAGAGCCTGAGGGTTCACTGTGAGATTTTGTCCACTGGAAGGAAGGATTGCCTCGCGAGACACTGTTCTGACTAGTCTCGACCAGGCTCCAACTGGTTTAGATATCCTGTTCAACGGAAGAACTGATTTAGAACTGCAAAGGCCACAAAAGTTGTAAAAGTGATTTGTGTGGTTCAAATGTGTTTAGTTTTTCAACTATGAGACCTACTACATTATTTTTTTGATTCGGAACATTCGTTCCTTTATTACGAGAGCAAACTACTAGCATAGCGGTTTACATCATGGCTTTAGTTGATTAGAAGAGACCAAGGACCTTGTGGAGAATTCCGTAGACGGAGACTCCCAGTAGCCCAATATCTCCAATGTGAAGAATACCAGCACCGATACCGCGGCCATTGGCACCAGAGGAAGTGTAGCCTGCGTGAAGGGGATAGGTTCAGTTCATCAATCAAACAATCAATGGTATAAGAGCTCTGCTCTGCGAAGTCGATCTACGTGAACTGACCGGTAGAATACACGTAACGTCCAACAATGTAGGTGACACCAAGGCCTGCAGAGACAAGAGGATAGAACAAGCCTCCAGTCAAGAGCAAGACAGTGACAGGAGTGATGTTCTCGACATAGTTGTAATGTGCTCGTTGGTAGTTGTTGAATTCAGTCCAAGCAGCTTCAGTGAGCTTTGCAGCGTGACGACCAGAGCCCATGTCTGGGTACTATATTGTGAAATCATTGGTTAGTAAGATGGTATAGTTGCATCGTTCGTTTTTCGTTCGTCTGGATTAAATGTGATGTTGCTGACCTTGACGCCGTGCTTCTTTCGTTGAGAACCAATGGCTGCACCAGTGAGGATCATTTGTATTTGCATCGTGATGGCAGTAAGCAAGACCTAGGATAATATATAGATTTAGTTGGACTGCTTGTTGAAACATTATTGCTGCAAAACCACCATTTAAATCACATACATATCCATACTCCTTGCCTAGAGTGACGGTAAAGACTTCAGTGGACATCTTGAGGCTAATTTACGTTATAGAATTGGATGGATTCGTGGGGTTGCTCAAAGTCAAGTGGTGGAAGTCCTAAATTGACTTCTTGCTGCCACGTCGCAACGGGCGTGCTGGAGCTGGAAAGCGAAGAAGGATGAATCAGCAAGAAAATGATGAAAATGTATATTTAGAGCAAGGAAATGATGAGCTTGTATTATCAGCCGTACATCTCTCCCCAACAAATCCATCACCATATTCTAGAAATTTGCAGACTACAATATTCAGCTCCATAGACCACTCCATAAATATCTCCATTAATCACAAGCTCGGCACCACAATCGAACTGGTTGGATTGCAAGTATGGGGAGGGTGTCTATTGCTACTGGACTATCTACATAATTGCAACAGCGTCAAAGGCAGCTGCATTCTCGAAATTGGCTCTGGTACGGGATTGGCATCTATATATGCAGCCCTGCTAGGGTGTACACGTGTGTATTCCACCGATATTGATACTTCTGATGCTGATAGCTCGGATGGAACTAGTTTGTTTGAGCTACAGACACTCAATATTAAAGCCAACCACATAGACAATATAGTCGTAGTCAGGGAACTAGATCTGACTGATGGATCACATCCTATATACAAATCTCAAAGCATTGAAACTGATTCTGTATCGACAGAATCTAGTGACTATAAATGGACGCCAATAGACTTGACGGACGTGGCAGAGAATTGCAAGCTGATTATAGCTGCAGATATAATATATGACGACTCTCTGACCTTTCAGTTTGTATGTCGACTGCCTGACTTACTGGTCAATGGGAGACAATTAATCCTGGCTCTGGAAAAACGAGTAAACTTCACCCTGGAAGACATGGAAGCAAGAGCACATGCGAGAGACTTCTTACGCCATACCTTACAAGCTTTAAACGCTGATCGGGAAGAGGAAAAGTTGGCGGTGGTTGGTTTTGAAGTTGTGGATCTAGAGACAATCCCACAAGTCTTTGAATATGAAAGAAGTCAAGACTTGGAGTTGTATCGCTTCTGGCTGTAAATGATAAATCAAACGTAGATATCGTTGTAGATTCGTATATTTGAATTGCATATTGGTTGTAATATAGTTGGCTAGATCAGATACAATCAACTTGTGATGCTCGGTGCCACCAATTCATACAAGCTGAAAAGTTTCAAACTGGGATCTTGGCACTGCTATGGTAATGAGTAACTGGACAAGATATCGAATTGAGTCCAGAGCTTCTTTACGGTGTGTGTCCGACTGGTGTCTTGGTAAGCTAGAAAAAAATTAAACTGAGCCAAAAAAGTGCCTCCCACAAAATCACAAAGAACTCGCCAACACCTTTCAGACATCTTGACTAGCCAAATCCGACGATCGCTTCGACATCAACGCAACTCCTTGCCTCGTACATCACGGTCAACTACTTGCGGTGAGTTGTTCGCCGCGCGAAGGCGCTCTAATTCATTGTTTTGCTGTGTTTCGTACACAAGTTTGCGAAGTAAATGACAACCGCTCAACATGTTATTTTTAATAATTTCACGTAGTAATATCTTTTGATTATCTGCATTATATCTGCTGCCACGGAAATCTGCCTCGACAAACATGCTTCTGTCCGCTTTAATCACGATTTCTGCACTTGTTCCAAATGTGTTGGGAAATCCAGTTGCAAACTGTGATACTACTTATACTGTAAAGAGTGGAGACTATTGTTATAAGGTATGTTCCTCACGATTTGGAACGATCCATTGGGGGTACAAAGCTTGTTTCCATATGCATCACAAAACTTCAATGAATTTTGTGTCTGTTTTTGTGATAATCTGGCCTAGTTCTCTTTTCAACCTTTGTTTTCGACTCTGTCAGAAATCATATCTTGTTCATAATCGCTGATATATCTCCTTCTTAGATCGCTCAAAACTTTGGAATGGCCGATTACCATACGTTAGTGCCCTTTCGGACACCTTCACTACTGTAGTTTTTTTGTTCCCACGGTGGGATCTAACCGATCATGTTTCCTCTAGTTTGGATACATACAATTCAGCTGCTCCCAATCCTCTGAAATGTGATGTAACTATATTAGCTATTGGACAAGTGCTGTGTGTTCATACTGCTGCTGCACTTACCCCCACGCCAAGGTAAGAAAAAAATCATGGCAGTGGAACTTGTTTGATTTCAATTTCATGAGTTTTAGTGTCTGCTTTTCAAATATTGCTGTTCGCTACAAGCTTCCAGTGAAGCTCGTTGTGCGCTAACTCCCAAACCCATTCAATAGTGTAAAGGCCAGCCCGGCAGCTAGCATCAAGGCCAGCCCAGCACCCAGCATCAAGGCCAGCCCAGCAAAAAGCGTAACTCCAAGTCCAGCACCAAGCATTAAAGCCAGTCCAGCAAAATCTCCAGCACCAAGTATCAAAGCATCACCAGCACCATCCATAAAAGCATCTCCAACACCATCAAAGAAGGCTAGCCCAGCTCCCTCTCCCACCGTCGCAACGAACCTAACACCGTTACAGATCGCTCAAAACCCGGCTGATACGTACATGCCAATCGCTGGTCGTGCTACGTATTTCACTGATACGCAAACGCTGTGTTTGGGTTATGGAGCCATACCGCAGTATGCAGTGGCACTGAACTGGATGACTGGGATGAGTTCTGTGAGCTATGATCCCAACTTTTGTTGGAAATGTGTTTGTAAGTGTTTGTGTGCTTGAATTTGTTCAAAACAGAAGGAGGCAGATTTTTGTTATTGACGCTTGCTTATTTCTGCCTGCATAGATGTGTGGACGGCAAAAGGCTCCTTTACCGCCAAAGTTGTTGATGTTTGTGATAAGGCTAACTGGTAAGACTGTTGTTTCGACATTTCACGAATGTGAATTTCCGTGTTTTTTGGTTATTGTTTTCTAACTTTTGTTCAACTTGCACAGTGGAATCAACGATCCCTCTCATTTGGACATTCACGGTACTGCCGCTTTCTCTGTTGTTGGTAACGTCGTTGACGGCCTCATCCCAATCAACTGGTATGTTGGCAGTCACAACAATAATCACGCCCTTTTCTCTCTTTTTTTGGCTCACGAGTTGATGCTTCAATAGGGAATGGGTACCATGCTAATTTGTTCTGAAATGACCTCGCATACTTCCAATGTGCTGGACACACTATCTATTTCATGGTCTTCTGATCCTCATACCACAATGGCACTATAAAAATACCACAGCAAAACAAGAGCGATACCAGCTTTTCAAGTTAAATAGTCAGTTTACAATAGTCAGTCAGTCAGTCAGTCAGTTAAAAAAATACATGTGAAGTATCTGCAAAAGATGTGCTTTACTTCTATTGCTATGGCTACAGTTGAGCTTTACATATTGGTGCAAGTTTAAATTAGGATTTACTTTGGTTTGCGCTTTCATACTTTTTCTACTCTTGAAGCAAGTGATACTAAGCAATCGCAAGACATATGTTTAGAGAGCAGAACATGGAAGATATACTCGGAGCGTCCTGCATCTAGCGAAGGATGTGACAACGCATAAGTAGCAAAAGCAACAAAGAGCTTGGATATACAAGAGACTCAGGCATTATCCTCTGATGTATTCTCATAATCTGACTCAGCATCATCGTTGTCTTGGCCTTGAATAGCAGATGATTCTTTGTCTACGACGTATCCAAAGTATAGAGGCTCCTTCAACTATTTCACCCTATGGGGAAAAAGTCCTGCTTCAATCCCAAGGACACACTTCGATTAGCACCACTACCCAACAGAGGCTTTATATTCTTTGCAAGATAAAAGTCTTTTGCACGTCATTTCATGTATATTTTCAATAAAAGCCCTTTGGGAGTGTGTCGTTTTGACGATGGAACCAATGGCCGTTCAGATCGACTTTAGCAAGAAAAACCATCAGAACTGATTCTCCTGAGTGAAAAATGTGAAATCAAAAGTGATCGACGTGTCTCTTGTCAAGATGTATCTATATGAACATGGCTACAACATACAACAGGCGTTTGAGTTCCTTCAAATGTTGTGTCTTTCTTCCAAAACAATGGTTCCTTCGGAAGTCTATCACTAATCCTCCAAATCATCAGATGGATAATCATCTGCAGCATCATTTTCCACCAATTCATTGTCAGACTGTGGTTCACATATACGACGATTCGCAAGGAGTCGACTTTTAATCCAAAGACAACCATCCCACTGATTGCCGTATTCCCACAGGACATCTACTATCGTGCTGAACTGCATGCGTGGGAGTTTTCTGAGTGCATTCACCGTATCTTCGTATACAGGTTGGATCTCGTTTGCGAGCCGTTGCTGATCTGGGAATTTTAGGCGAGTCGTCAGCTAAGACCACGAGAGATAAAGATGAGCGACCAAGACCTCATGACAGCAACACAAACAATCCTTGCTGTCGACAAAAAGTCCTCTCGGTTTCATACCAGAGCAGATACAAAGGCAACCGTGTGTAAGGGATACGCTTTGTTCCATTTATATCTCTGCGATGGCGATTTGTGGCCTCTGAATAAGACACCAAGGGCTCTTCCAAGTACAGGAGACTGATAGAGCTATGAAATGAGAAGCGGTATTTAGCAAGACTACAAGTGATCTGAATTGGAACTGGTGAATGAATTCACAATCCCCAGTAGGGAAACAGGGCAAAGGAAAGTAATCAACCTTGTTTCCATCATGCAGATGCTGATCACGAATGAGGAGTAGACGACATTTGGCGTATAATTCGTCTGCAGGACAGGAGATTGGCGAGGCAACAATCTCACGAAAATTCCATGTTACTATAAGCTTCAGTTGTGAGCGCCAAATCCGACAAACAGAAGTTAACTATACGAAGAAGCGGGGTTTGGAGTGAGTGCGTGGGTTCTTTCTCGTTTCATTGTAGCACACAATAATTTTACCCATTTGGCATCGAATCTTGTTCGAAATTCAGATTCATTTCCAAATAACTGGAGCGATGCATATTCAAAAACAACACTCTAATCCCGCAAGAAGGGAAGTCGTTAGCGAATCAAACACACGAAACACAAGCATGTGAAAGATGACAATGAAGTTTCTCCAAACCAAAGGAAGCGAAAAGCTCTCACATTTTCAAGAGGGTAAAAATCAGTTTCGCACATCTTGTCCTGCAAGAATTCAGCAAAAGCGGGCCTGAGCTTCTTGGGAAGATGGGCAGACAACCTGACACTAGATCGCCCCGCACGCGGCGGTGTTTCTACAACACGCCTTTTCCGAGGCATCTCTTCTTCATCAAGTAAATCACTATGAAAGGGCCTCTTTGATGCCTCCAATTCAGATATTCTATGTACAAGATCAGCGATCTGCGTTGCCGAGTGACGTTTATGGTCTGCGAATTCCTTGAGCAGAGCTTCATGCTTCCGAAGCGATACAGTAAAATCGTTTCGTAGTGCGGTTAAAGCATCTGCGATATCTTCTTTGATGTTGACAGTTTTGGGCGTGTGTGATGATGGTGTTGATGGCGATGATACCTCCACCATCTCAACCTCCTAAAGGCAAAATACAGGGTCAGATCAGCTGAAATCAAAGGCTGGAATTGAAGGCACAACAAGACGCAACCACACTATAGTGGATGTTACGTTTTCTGGACAATGTGTTGAAGCTGGAGTCAACTTTGCAACTAGTGAGGACGATGCACGTCGTTCTTTCTCTCTATCGAGCCAACCTCTACCAAGACTCTTGGCTGACGGCTTGTTATCGCTCGCTCCGAGCATCATGTCAAATTGCATGTGGTGAAATGTGGTGGTGACGCCTGATCAGAATCAAGATAACAAGACCTTTGAAATGAGAAATATATGTCTTTTGTATTATGTGAAAATGGTGCGATCTACCTTGTACTAGTTGAAACTCATCCACGCCAACGGTCTGTTTGGATATTTGTCCAAAGTGACCCCAACCTCAACAATAGCGTCTCTCAAATCGCCGCAAGTTCAACCACCAACGCTAGCATGTTCGAATGAGGTAATGGTAAAGCACAAGTACTCTGGAACCATTGTGTTGTAGTTAGTGGTCAAAAAGTCTATCGATAAAATAGCTGCCAACAGCACTCGCGAGGCCTGGTGTAAGCTATGCGATGGGGCAAGGTGATTCTATTACTATTTTGTGTAACAGAACAACATTGAGCAGATGCGAACAGGTCTATACAAGCGATCGAGTATTTATAACACGAACATCGAGACACGGTAAAGGCGGCACCACTTGATCAGATTCCGGGAAGGGTCGAGTCCAATCGACTCTATACCCAGAATCACCCCAAAATACGGCATCAGACTGCCAGTCTTTGTCGGCAAGTTCAGTCACGAATTTGGGAAAATTGGCTTCCGTCCATTCGTGAGACGATTTTAAAGCTATTCTGTCGTGGAATGAGCTGAACATCATTTGGTTGGGCTCACGAGATGCGTTCACTGAGAGATCGTGTTGAAACCGGATCGAGTTCAGCACTGCTTTGATGACGTCCATTTCAGTTGCGTCGGTATGAAAGACCACACAGATCCTGCCGTCTGATTTCCTTGATATTAGGTAATTCTCTTTCTAGAAGATGAGCATTTGGATGAGCTTATTGGCTTAACAAAGACGAGGGATCAAAGCAGTCATCAAGCTTTCACAGGATCATCTTGTTGCTCAACTCACTCTCAACAGATCTAATGCGAGTTGCACTTGAGCAACGCTATCAAAAGCTTTCCGAACCGCATCTCCCAAGACAACAGTCGGCACTTTCTCACCCAACCGTATTGACTCCCCAAACCAACTTTCTCGAGGCTTTAGCTCCTTCATAGACGGCACCCGATTTGTACGCAGAAATGTATCCGAAATTAAGACGAGCTTCGAGCCGTTAAGCACCTCGAATTGGGCTTCCCACACTATCGCGGAGGAAAAGATGTGGTAAGCTCAAAAATATGGACATGAAATCTTGAGCTGCGTTTATTGTCGGACATACCAAGCCTCAACGTGGAAAAGTAATGCAGAGATCCCAAGATAAAAAACATGATGAATAAAGCAGTCGTACTGTATGGGAGCGATATCAGGCCTACGCCAGACACCAACCCAAACAGATCAGCAACCGTCATTTGACTGTCGTCTTTAGCTACAAGACTGTTTGTGGTGTTATTTGTGAGTGATTCTTAACGTACTTGATGACAGAAAACACACACCACATACTCGCCAACATTCCCTTGTAAAGCAAAGTTTCGAGTGAATGTCATATGTCTAGTATTCCAGAGGTGGTGTAAGAAAGAGGAAGATAACAGCAAAAACGAATTATAGCTCTTACGTTGCAGCCCAGATCGAGAAATGTATTGAGCGACAAGCATATCCGAATGAAGCAAGTGGTAGAAATGCCGATGCTGGAGCAACAACCGTCAGAAGCTGTACGAATGATCCAAACAGCGAGGAAGCTTCGCCCACTATCTTCCAGCTCTTCGGATGTCTGTAAATGAGCAAAATGTCAGTATACATCATTGCATAAGTATTCGAAAAACTTACGAATCAAACGATTTGGCAAAGCGTTGAATGAAAAACAGCTTTCCGATTTCACCAAATCCGTCCTTCAGCACCCATTCTATAGCAACTGCACCGCCCGCTGCAGCTGATGCTTCGACACCTAATGAGGTCAACATGGCTTCAGTGCAAAGGACACCGACCTAGCGCCGCGACAAAGCAAACCGTTAATTTTCTTTATACAGGACAATTTCCATTTTGCTTACCATGCTACCGACGTATGTCTCGAGAAACTGCCAAAAGTGAACTTTAGCATCTACAAGCAAAAATCCCATCAGAAAAAAATCGAGCTATGTCTCAACGAAGGATCTCTTCACTTACAGGTAGGATGCACAGATTCAGGATATCCAACGGGAAGAAACAAGGCCCTCAAATAAGCTGCCAAACGTCTCGGCAGTATTTTCTCAAAGAATGATAGTCCAGTCGATGGAATCCAATCCCAAATCAGAGTCGTACTGTTTGGCAAATGCTTGTATACTCTGATCCTTCCATGGACGATTTCTGTCAGTAATGTGGTTGATTTGTTGTCTGCGTCTATATTCTTTGGGTGCACGGTATTTGTACTCGGTGGTTGGTTTGGGGAGGAGTGTCGACGAGATACTGTGTAAGGATGCATTATTATACACGCCCCGGTATAGTCTACCTCTTTCTATAGCCGTGCGGAGCCTAGTCGTGCAGGCCTGTCGTGATTAGCAGCTTTGTGGAAAAGGAAAAAGGTGAACAAAGGTTATTTCAGTGTTTAGTGTCACAGGGTGGCAGTGTCAATCAGATATGGATGAATCACGTCCAGCCCGCATGAGTAAGAGATTTTGTTGATAGAGACTTCACGCGTCACCACTTGGACCCCTTCGCCGTATTTAAAACGCGTCGAAACAGGGTGGATTTATCGATGAAAGGACACCTCAAATAATTTACAAATAATGGGTTTTTTTTCTTGTGTCTACAATACCAAGTTAAAAGATGCAGATCTATGATGTATTTCCTCTTGTATGTATTCTCGATCTCTCTCCTCACCCTCTCCCTCCTGTTGTGCTTCACCATCCTCCTCATCCTATTCATCCTTATGTACAGTAGGAGTTCCTGGCCGCATACTCAAGCACTCGCGGTATTACACCCGATCTTTCAATAGACCAAGATCGTTCATCGTAGTTGTTTCCGGCCTCATGCAAGCCTAGAACAGGCTCAAGTCCATCGCTGCCTTCTTTGTCAAAGGCCAGTAAGTAAATGTATTGACAAATTAAAGCCATGAATGCGGAAAATAAGTATTCAAGTTGGTATTCTTCTTCAGACGTCCGACGACGTGAAACCGGAGTCGAGATGCCTGATTGTTGATGTGATCGCTACCGTTTGTGCTGTTTTCGGAGAAGCCAACCGCGTCCAAGAGGTCAAATTATCCTGCCTGATTCCTGGATCTGGCTTGAGTTTGCTTGCTGCGTCCCCCGTGGCTCTTTGCTTTCAGCCGAACTTCGCACTCACTACCACAAGAAACACGATGGAGCTTGCGAAGAGCTTGCGAAGGACAGAATGTCTATTCGTTTTAGGGAGATTAATTTAGAAGTGAAGAATATCCCTGATAAGTGTTACAAATACGACTAAAAATCCTCCACATCCTAATCAACAAACAACCTTAAAAAAGCAAACTGTCTTGATATAAGCTAGCTTGATTTAAAACCTGCATCTTGCTTCTTGTGCTGAATTGCTAATATTCGAGCCATAATCCTTTTCTTATACCCAATGATACCCTGTTTCTTCAACAGCTTGGTTAAACAACCACTCAATGTCCTTTTGAAACACTGCAGAGTTGTCTGACTTTTTCTTTCTGACTTCAACGTCGAATTCAGCATACTCGGGTGCATTTTCAGAAATCTCAACGTCCGATAGACATGCCCAGAGCTAATTGGTTGGAATTCGAGAAAATGAGCATTGGTTTGTGAGGGCAGAAAAAGTGCGCTCAGTTTGCAGGAATGCTGGCTGTTCAGACGCTCATCGGTGAATCAGCCTCTCCCTCAAACAACCGACTTCATTACTTACTGCAGTCAAAGCAAACACAACACTTGGAATTGGGTAAAACGTCCAACCCCATTTCCTTGCCAGAATGTCTTCCTCATTGAAAAACATGTACTTCATGGCACTTGCCAGAATAGGAGACCGAAGGCCCTACAAATCAACGAGGTTAACAATTAGAACACAACTTCAATAAACCTAGACAGGATACTTTTTTGGTGTTACTTTAACCAACTCTTACCGTATACTCTCTGGTCTCAAGCACTTCCTGACACCGAGGATTGAAATCGTCACCATCAACATCGAGGATTTCAGCAAGATGCTCCAATACTCGTTCTTTCAGACTAGCACGGTACTCTAGCAGAATTTTCTTGACCTGATTATGAATTGAGAGAGTCAGGTCAACAGTCAGTCTGTTTATGACTCAACACAAATCGATTCTAACCTCAGCAGTACTCGGGTTACTAGAAGTTTTACGAGCTGCTTCATCAATAAACTGTCTAGGCTATATGGTAGTAATGTCAGCAGTGTCACTAGCGAAACTACATCTTTCTGCCGCATAAATGACGGGCCCAGCTTTCCTTTTTTGTCCTTGTTGAACTTACAGTAGGGAAAAAGTTCTGCTGGCTAACCATCTTTGTATATACATCCGTGAATGTGTGCTGAGGAGCTGGCGGTGCCACATCATTCCCTTCCTTCTCTGCTTCTTCTGAAACTTTAATTGCCGTAGACCGACGAGTCCTTCGTGTACCTTCAGCAGGTGCATCCTTAAACCCACCACGAGATTTACGTGTCGCACTCTTCTTCTTTTCATCATCACGTCGATGACTTTTACCACTACTACTAGGTCCTCCATTCGCGACATGTTTGCCTTTATCACGATTATTGGGTGCTGGTGATTGCGAGTTATCTCTTGTTGAATGGTCAACTGAAGATAACGCTGATTCCCCATCGCTACGAGGACCATCATCATCATCATCATCACTTCGTGGCGTCATAGTACGACTTCTACCGTTTTTGGGAGCTGATGGTGGGTCAATTTTCAATCGACGTCGGGAGGTGGTTGATGATTTACGGGATTTTTTGGTAGCGTTTGGTGGTCGTCCACGGCGGTTTCCTGATGTTTTCGTTTCACGGTATGCCATTGAGTCTTCCAGGGCCTTCATTCGATCTCCGCTACATGGTTTGTTGTTGAAAGGTTAATTTTTTGTTTTTTAAATGAGATACTGAGAGGACAAAAGGGATTTCAGATGGTGAAAGTATTGATCAATTTATAAACCCTCAAGCAGGGACACTTACTGTGTTTTAATGAGAGATTGTAGCCTTTTTTCCAACTTTCCCATCATTCCGAATAACCTCTGATCAAGATCAGCGAAATCGTCAGGTGTACTACTAGAATCCTCTGCCATAGGTTCCTTCAAACACAACACTGTGTCAAGTTTCCAGGTTCCTACCATTTTTTCTTTTGCTTGTTCAAAATGATCAAAACTTACATAGGTCTGTAGAGCAGACAATGGTACGGAAGGTGGAGCAATTTGATTACTCGTTGTTGTCACTGTTCTTGTTCTGCTCGGAGTTGACATCAATGTGGGTGGTCTGATTGGAAGAAGTCTGGAGCTGGTAGGAGATGAAGCAGTGTAGGCTTCCTGACAGATCAAACAGTGAAATATTAGATCTTTCTCATTCAAGGCAGGATTTATAGGACTCACGAGAAGCGAGTTTGCTTGAGTTGCAAATGAACTATTTGGGGTTGGCCTCTTCAGACGGAGTTCATTAACGCCGTCATTATCTGATGCTCGCTTTTGAGGAGTGGTTGATCTTCCCCTTCCATCCATTTTGGATTGTTTATTTGGTCAAGAGCCCTTCAATTCAACAGTTGTCATTAGCTTCGGGTTTTGATAGAATCAAACAATGCAATACAATAGATAATACATAACAAGTCAGCACTTACAAGATATGAGAAGCCACAGTCCCCAGTCTCACTATCAACCGAGTTCCTGTTGCTGGACGAGAGAGAGTGTTGACAGATGTTTGGTTGATCGAATGTGAAGAATGTGTCAAAATAGACTTTGGGCATTTTGACTAGGACTTCTCAAGAAAGCCTCTTATGAAGGAATTGATTTGATTCTATTTGTCATGATATGAACTCTATTCAACGCGTGCGTGATATACACAGCACCAACATTTACCACTATTTTGTACATCACGCTCATCTGCCTTGTAAACGAGGGATCTGTCTCTCCGACGTGTCAAATCACGTGTATCTTGTCTCAAAACTGAGGTTGGCCTCTCAGATGCACCCAAGAATCTCTTCAACCTTTGCATCAACTCGTCATCCTCCAAACATCATCACCATCCAAAGCCCTGCCACTGAGGAGAGCTGTTAGATAGTAGATTGAACAATAGAGTAGTAAGAACTTGATTCAAAAGTGCGTACATTGTATTTGACAGGGTGCATCCGTATTGAGCTTTTATCATCCAACATGATCGATAACTCACATCTTTACACCAACCAAAATTTTACACAGATCCCCGAATCACATCATCTCGTACATCTCATCATTCTCTGATCCGCTGTCTCCATCTCCATTTGATTACCCAAAACACCTGGATCATCAACATTTCGAGAGTTAGGAAACACGCTATACATAATGGCCTCATTCCTTCACACCAAGAAGAGCTTGGTCTTCATTTTTCTGGCTGTATTGATCTTGTGTGGTCAGGTTAATGCTCAACGACGTCGTCGGTAAGGCTGGCAAGAGTTTGTTGTGTTTGCGTGTTTTGTGACTTTGTGTGCTGAATGTGATAAATTTGAGGATCGGTGACGCTGTCGCTAGTCGATCGCACTCATTCTGTGCGCCAATCATCGTATATGATCACTACACACGATCTCGTCATTCGAGTCCTTCATTGTTTCAAAGTGGTGCCACGTCATAAACTGTTTGATGATATTTATTCGCAAAATGAAGCCTATTAATAAAAGCTAACACCCTGCACGATTATCATAGTCAAAGTGCTGATCGAAGCCCAGATCCCAGCCCAGATCCTAGTGCTGCTCCTAGTAGAAGATTCAGGCCGTCCCCCTCTTCACAAATCTCTCCTGTCGAAGCTTCTCCTCAACCTTCTATTAGACCTTCTGCTCAACCATCAATCAACCCATCTCCTCGAGCCTCGATCAGAGCATCTGCTCAACCCTCTATGACACCTTCTCCCCCTGCTCAGTCATCACTGCCAAGCATCGTGCCATCTGTAGGACCGAGCATGGTGTCCAACAGTCGCACCTCAACACCACCTTCTAAGCCAACTGGATTGACAGTGAGTGGTAATCCCTTTATGTGAAGAAGTCCAGTCGGCATCAATCTTGTCGCTCGAACGAGGCGTTTTAGTTGATTAGCTGTTTCATCAGCAAATGCTCTCTGACACCTCGAAATAGAGTGCTCAAATTGCTTCTAATCCATCTGCCAAATACATTCCTATCGCTGGCATGGCAACGTTCTTCACAGATACAGAAACACTTTGGTGTGTTTTGTTCTATCCACTGCAAGACTCTATGAACGTTTGAGACACTCATGTTCTTTTTTCTCTAGTTTGGGAAATGGACCTATACCTCAGTATGCTGTGGCATTGAATGGTGCGACTGGGATGTGGGTTACTGGTAAGCAAGACCATCTGTTTCAATTTGACCGTCTGTTTGAATTGAATGAAAATGATTGTATTCATAATTGGACTCTATTAATCAATCTAATCACCATACATGTAGATTACGATCCAAAGGTGTGAACTCTCCCAATCGCATGTTTGTCCCTTCAAGTCTCCTTTTTTTGCCCTCTCAGCTCACACCATTGTTCACCAACAGTTTTGTGGCATGTGTGTTCTGGTATGGACCGCTAAAGGAAGTTTCAAAGCTGTGGTTGTAGACGTCTGTGATCCAATCAACTGTGACTACAACAATGCCGCATATCTTGATATTTGGGGTGAAACTGCATTCGCTATATTGGGAAATGTTATTGATGGGATTATTCCTATTACATGGTATGTGAACTTGGGCTGTTTTGTGTTTGAGACTTTCATTGAGTTCCATTTGATGCTGCTAGGGAGTGGGTGACATGTTAACTTATTGTATACATGTCAGTCAAGTAAAGGAAAGCATTAGATGGGACTGTTTCTAATGGACTCATTCAAACAACTATAAATATTGCTGCGTAAAATAACTAGAGTCCAATAAAGTTGTACATTTGAAAAGTAATTTGCTATGTCTGTTTCAAATCAACATTTGCTATTGTACAAGATTACAACTATGCTATACTGCTACTATACTAGACATTGCTTGCGGACCATAAGAATAGAGAATTTGAAGGAGCTCACTATATGAAATGCATAAGTTTGTGAGTCAACATCAAAATCGTACGGTCAAAGAAACACCAAGCCAATGAGGTACTTACATCACTTACGACCGTCTCCCCCTCCACCGTGGTGTCCACCGCCATGGCAGCCACCACCGCTGTGATGTCCACCACCAGCATGATGACCACCACCTGTTGTTGCAGAATGGCTTCCTGATGTGGCATGACCACCACCACCAGCTGCATTTCGATCAGTTGCAGCTGCAGCCCGTCCTGCAAACCCTGCATCATGACCGTGTGAAATGATACGACCAGCAGCGTCGTGACTCATTGGAGTTTGCTTCTCAGACATTCTGGTCTCTTGGATATAAGATAATTGATTGTTTGATATGTGGACCGGATATCCCTTCTGAGTTTGTTTTATCCTGGTTTTAGTGGCAATGATTTCTTGTTTTTGGAAAGCGATTTCTTTTGTGTGTGAGAGAGAGTTTGTGATGATACGTTGGAAGTGAGCAGATGACTGTGTCAAAGCCCGAAACAACACACAGTGAGAAGCACGTAACAGCAACATACAACCTTTGGCTAAAGTTGCATCCATTTGGTTATTGATTCCAATAACAATGTTATTCTTCTTTGAAAATCAATGACAAAAAGGTGTTTCGACCGACTAGTTTACGAGAATCGGCCAGGAACGACTGGGTGCGATGCAGATAGTCCACCGTCGACAGCTATAGGCTGTCCGTTGAAGTAACTGGCTTCGTCACTGGCAATGAATGCGACAACTGTAGCCATCTAAGTGTCGGGCAAAAAATATCAGTCGAGATCTTCCATCATACACATACATAGACCACATGTAGACTGTTATACGCATAGATAGACCTAAACCGTGATTTACCTCACTAGCAAGAGCGTAACGTCCGAGAGGGTTGAGTTGTCCGATTTTTTTGTCGGTACCGCGAGCTCTGGCGGCATCGAACGTAGGAGCAGTCTGGAATAATATCAATATAAATGTTAGACGTTGAAGATTCCAAGGCATTTGGCGCTTATAACTTCAAGGCTTTTTTACCATTCCGGTTTCAGTCAAACCTATTGTCAGAATTCAGAACGAGATTTCAATAAAACGCATTAATGCAAATTATGCATTGTACATACCAGGACACAGAGCATTGACGCGAATATTCGTCCTCGTTAATTGGTAGGCGCAAGTTTGTGCAAGATTGATGACAGAGGCTTTGCTAGCACTGTATGCTACACCACCAGCACCTGGTTACAGAGTGAACAAAAGGGACGTTAGGTGGAAATTCAGTCTTCAGAGTTTAGGTGACATCTCGTTGTGCATGTTACCGATTGGGCAGCAACAACACACTTCCACGTCCAACCACAATTGCATTCCAACAAGTACCTGATCGAATACCAGCTACAGATGCAGTAAGGATAATAGCACCACGCGATTCAGGCTTTTCAGGAGACGTGACCTTCATTCCTCGCGAACCATGCTTGACACCAAGGAAGGGTCCCAACGAGTTTACTTTCATGGTTTGCATGTAGTCGGCAGGTGCAGTATCTGTAATCATATGTTTGGGGCCAGAGATACCAGCGTTTGCGAAAAAGATGTCTAGACGTCTAGAAATAGGACCAATTTGTTGGACTACTATGCTTTTTTTGCCAACAAAAATCATCATACCCGTAAGCAGCCAATGCTTCATCAACGATTCCGGAGACTTGGGATTCTTCAGCGGCGTCCACTCTTCGCGCGTGAGCTTTAACATCTGGGTAGGTAGCTACAATCTTGTCTGCAAGAGCTTGGAGGTTTTCAGTAGCGAAATCCGTGACGTAGATTGCTTTTGCGCCTTGACGTGCGAATTCGAGGGCTGTAGCGTGTCTAAGTTGAGTAAAGACGAGATGGGATTAGCTACTTGTTGGTTCCAAAAAGTGACGTAGTGCAATGTGAATGTGTGTGATGGATGTAACGTGGGAGTTGATGTCGACCAGCTTGCTATCTTTCTTGCTAATTGTACGCGGCCGAATAGATGGCTTCAGCTTACCCGATACCAATGTTGGAGTTGCAACCAGCTATACGTGAGATGTGTCAGCTTCTGTTCTTGCAAAAACCTGAGATCTGTTTGGCTTACTGATGATGGCCACTTTGCTAGCCAATTTGCCTGGAACTGTGGCAGATGTATAGTTTGGAGTCACGAGCTGGGAGCTAACTTGCTCAATTCGAGCTGCTGCATTCTTGTTTGCCATTATGATCTTTGTGGTTTTGAACAAACGTGTAGGAGTTGGGGCAGTATGGCAGTGTGTTATTTTACAAGGATTGTGACTTTACAAGGATTGTGATTTTACAAATGTTGTTTTATACTTTTACAAGCAAGAGCAAATTCTAATCCACCAATACCCATACTGCATTCGTCGGCCTTTCTTGCACTTCCCAAGCTTGCAAGCTCGATACAAATCACATTGATGCAGTGGAGTATACTTGTCATGCCTCACACGTGGAATTGCAGCTCTCAACCCACACAACAACTCCATCTTGGATGACACTCGATCAATAAAGATTTGCTTACCCAAATGAGGCTTGCAAACCTTCTTGCACCTGGAGCACTCGTGACCAAACATTATTCACCCTGAATTCACCACCCACACCATCAAACTCATAATGATCTCAGTGAAGATTTGTCCACAATTCCACACTCTGCCGTTGCAAGAGTAGGAATTGAAGTCACCGACGACGTATGTGGAAGCTTCACGATAGGATGTCAAAGTAGACGAGTATGCCATGGGTGTGCGGGAATTCGAGATGATGAGACTGTTGAGACATTCATATTCAGAGCAGTCCTGTAGAGGACGATATGTGCATGTTTTCCTGAAAATCAGAACAAGATGTCTAATCTAGATTGAACTCTGTAGTGTTAGTCATGTTCTTGTTGCAAGACTCTTATTCCTCGAGTGCAATTCGTTCTGCTCTCTGACATTTCCCAGCCTGACAATCTCTACATCGTGCACTTTCAGGTGGTGGTGTTTTCTTCCCACGTCCATCGTACCTCGGCACAATCGGATCTCGCGACATCATAAGCAGCTCTAGCTTCGATCATACACCTTTTTATCCAAATCAGGCTACACCCTCCTTCATACAACAAACACTCGGACCATAGACCTTATCTTTGGATACCCCTGGTCTGCCATACAAAAAGATCACTTCAGCAAATATTGTACCGCTAGTCCATCCTTTGTCACAGACATGGCATGTAAAGGCACCGATTCCATATGTGGATGGAGTGTGGTCATTGAAGCTATACGGAGGATGGCGTCGGTATTGCATTGGTGCAAGCATTGGTGGTCGTTGTCTCATTGAAATCACTATGTTTTGCAACACACATTTACAAAATACGGGTACATTATTCAGTTAAGTCCGAGCCGTGCACGCCTTTGAGCTTTTAGAGACCGTCAGAGGCGATGTTCGAAGAATCTGCCAAAGGTTTTACATGATAGCGCAACACTAACCAGATGCAATTGTACTTTATTAGTCTTGACGTGTTTATCGAGCTGACTAACACTTTCCTCGTTGACACTAAAACACAGGTCTCATCTATGCGGTGGACCTTCCGCGTCTCCATAAGATTCCATACTGATAGCAGCTCTCAACTTCATTAAAAGCATCAGCTTGGAAGATGCTCTATCGACATAGACACTTTCATCCAAATCAGGAATGCACATCGTGTTGCATTTTGAGCATTTCTGTCCATAGACCTTTACCATAAATTTTCCTGGTCTACCACACTCACAAAAGATTTCAATGAATATTTTCTTGCTAGTCCATCGTTTGCGGCGGCAACAGGGGCATCTAAAGCTTTCCTGAAGATCTACGTTGATGCCAGTTTGGTAGATGAGGGTCTGGTTGAATATACCATAGCGATAGGAAATTTGGATAAGATACGAGCATTAAGACTACCGCATTCGAAGAAATCGAAGACTTTGGATATTTCATCTAACGGGGAAAGAAGTGGAGACTTGGAAGTGTTTGGTATTTGAACCTTCACGCATACACCCATCACCAGTAGACAGCCAGCAGCAAAACTTACGCCAAAGGCGATGGGGCTCGTCATGTTGCTAATCTTGCTGTCTAACTCACAGAAATGTGTCTTTGCTCTGTTTTGAAGTAGGTGTGAATGGATGTAGAGCATGATCCAGGATACGCGTCAGTGGCGTTAGTCATTAAAAATGGATTAAATCCATAATTTGATAATTTTCCAGAATATTTTCATTTGCACGTTCCTTCCTTGGCCTTCTTCCAAAGATGACACATCTGCACTTCTGCCAATCGCAAACCAAAAAGATATCGAGATACTCCACTTGCAAGAAAATAACAATCCAAACCAATTCACAAATCTAATCAAATCAGCATCTACTCACTGATCAATAAGCATGCTCTCGACAGATACTCCAACTCCCGTGCCCGAACCAATTGCAATTGCTGATGAAACCGCACCTGCCCATGCACAGACCTTGAAAGAAGCGGCTGCTCCCCTTGTAGACCACCTGAAAACCAAATTCAATGAGGCCACTGCCGCTGCTCAAAAGTTTGTCGAGGTATGTTCAAACATGGACATTTACCATTTTTGTTGTTTTTGTTGTGTACTGATTGAAACATCTACATTCTTTGTAGCCATATTATGAACAATACGTACCTCCTCAAGTGGTAATTGATTTGATCTTTATTTGCTACAACCTTGATTCTCACGGTTCCTTACCTCGTTTCGTATTCTACTCATATATAGAAAGCTGGTCTTGAAAAAGCATTGCAAACTACCACAAAGTTTGGTCACGACAGTGTCACTAAGGGCAGAGTCATTGTAGAAGGTATGTATCCCTTTACATTCATCTGCCAGTTTCATATTCTCGTCTCAGGTTGCTATCGCCTTAACTCGGGAACCTGAAACCCCCACGTGCGAGTTGATCAACTTTTAGTTTCATTCCAACAGCAGTCTCATCAATGAAATCATTGTCATAATAATAACCGTAATCTCATTCTGAAATCCTAGGTGCTACTACTACCATCACTGCACACACTCCTGCTCCAATCTTAAAGGTCGTAAAGGACGCTATTGAACAAGGAAAACATTTCGCTGAAGATCCAGCTGGCACCGCCAAACACAGTGAGTACTCTCTCCCTGTTTTGAGGAGTTGGTGTTCTCTGTTTTGGCACAAAATCTGAAGAACTTTACTGTTTGTGAGGATACGAATACTAACCGAAACACAAATCTGTAGTTGCGGAAGATATCAAGACTTATGTTCCAACGTATGTTTTGAACTATGGCAGCAGGACCTATGAAGTTATTCAACACACTGCGTGAGTTAACATCATCAGTATAGTTGCGTTGACACGTAAATTTTCTTTGTTGATCACCAAACGCCAACGGGCTTAATTGAAAAGCGTTGAAACCCATCAATACATGATATTGATACACTCACATGCAACATCCTCTAACATGCAATCAAATTTATCCCTACTAGTGAGACTCTCCGTACAAACACCAAAGAAACGATGGAAGGAGCCAAGAAATCCGTCGAAGACATTTCAGCTCGTGCCGTATCTGCTCTGGACAATACAACTGGAGTCATCGTCACCAGAGTAAACGGTGTTGTCGAAAAGGTTGTGGCAATCCCTCAAGTACATAATGTAGTAGAACAGCTCAAGACATTGATTGCTCCGCTCCAACACGAACTGTTTCCTGGATCTCCAAGCGAGGAGGATGCTCCAATCCCCTTCTTGCCAGAACAGGATGAGGCTGCTGCCACACCTCTTGCTGAAAAGCCAAAAGCATAGAAGAGATTTGATGAGAAACATCATAAAGCTGTGAGTACTGCAGGTTTGGTTGGAGTTTTTTTTGATCGGGACAAGTTTGTTGACAACACTCTGTACGTTAGGTTACATTCTGATTTGAGACCAAGGTAGTCCAAATAAAGTGTCTTTTTATTGTAACATAGACTTTTCGCCGACTTGGAATATAAAAACGTGAATATGAACAAAAAAGATTGCTCCTCCTATGGTGAAGCCCGCAAATTTGTCGTTGTAGCGATCCAACAAAGTTGTCTTTGCTGCTATGCGATATACGATAAAGTCGCGAGTTTACCAGTTCGGAACTATGTAGACTATCCACTTCTTGGGACCATCGTCGAAATATCATCACTCTGCGACATCGCAGCAAAGCCAGAAAACGGTGTTCTTTCTCGCAAGCACAAGAGAACTTGCCAGTCCCAAATCAGCTGGTTATATGTTAACGGTGCGGACTGACTGCGGCCAAAATCATCGTAAGTGCCCATCTATATATCCCCCGAGCTACCATTCTAACCAAATCAAACGATTCGTCCAATGTTTGCAAACTCTTTCCTTCTGAGTGCTCACCTTTACTCCTATAAAACAGGTGCCATATATTATAGAGCAAAGTTAGAAATCATGGGCAGCACAAACCCATGGTGGAGGTCATCACTGATATCACTGTATCTACCACTACTTGTCCTGGTTCTTAGTGCCACCAATGTCGACGCTGCTGTTGAAGCTTCGTTTTATCAAGAGGATTGTACGTCATTGTTACGGTTATGTTGTCTTGCATGCAGTTGAATTAGCTCCTCGCTGTTGCTATTCGGTGGTTGATGAGATTCCTCAAGCCTTGACTTCCACTAACCCACAAACACACTTGTAGTCTACTCATCAGTAACAGCCCAAGGTGCAATCGAAGCCGTAGTCCTAATTATAACAGGCCTTGCACTCTGCTTCGCAGGCTTCATGCTCTTCAGACCAGTCCTCTTCCTGGTCGGATTCTACTTTTTTGCCGCAGTATGCTTCATCGTCCTCTCATACCTCGAAGGATCAGGCAAAGTCACCCTCCCGTCTTCCCGATCGTGGATTTATCTCGTCGCGTGTCTGGCGGCAGGTGTAATTGGTGGACTCGTGTCAATGGCGATCTGGAGGTTGGGGTTGGGATTACTTGGTGGACTGTTGGGGTTGTGCTTTGCGTTATTCATATTGATGATTTTGACGGGTGGGCCGGTTGAGAGTCCCATTGGCAGGGTTGTGCTGATGGGTGTGTTGACTGCTATTGGGGTGGTGGCGATTTTCCTCATCGAAAAGGTACTATTGATATAACTATTTGGCGGGATATTTTGCGCTGTATCGTTTTAATATTTTCCGTTATGTAGCCGCTGTTGATAGCATCGACATCGCTAGTCGGCTCATTCGCCTTCTTTTTCGGAATCGACATGTTTGCCAGAACGGGATTCTCAAACTCCATTATCGGATTCTTTAAAGCACAACCATACCCTGTCTCTGGATGGGTGCTCTATGCCATTTTAATTGGATGGTTCCTGTTGGCATTGGCTGGATCTGCTGTGCAGAGTAATTATGGATCTGGAGGTAAATAGAGCGAGCACAGAAGATGAAGAATTGATTAAGTTGGAGCATCGACAAAAGCAGATGAAGAATGTATTGACGAAGAATGTATTGGGTTGGAACAAAACAAGCATGGGCCGTTGAGATGCATGGAGTTCAATGCTCCTCGTTTTACTCACATTGAACTGTTCGTATAGGACGTGGAATGTACCCATATAGTCAGTTCAGAAACAAGAAGTGGAGAGAAGTTAAACCACAATGGGAAAATTAAAAAAGAAGCAAAGCAATGTTTCGGGCATTGTGTGTTTTAGTATATACCGGGATATCTGTTTTTGTCTAACTGGAGCTACAGTTGGGGGTGGAATTTTGGGCTGGAAGTGTGTTGTGTAGTAGTGGTTGTGTATCTTTCTCTTTCGTCATATTTTTAATCTAGCTTTTGCCTGTTTTATGAGGAGAGAGTCGTAGTAAAATGGAAGGAGTTGGCCGTAGACTGTGGGTATACAATAATATTAATAATTCGACAAAAGCGCAGTCTTACTATGCAAATGGATATGGATTCTCTTCGTTTTTTAAACCTCTCTTCACATTGTAACCTCCTCGTTTACCACTATAATGAACTGGCAACATACAACACTAAGCACTTTAAAAGCATGATATCAGATATGGATGTTTTTTTATTAAATCATGAGGTTTTCAGTCATTTATTCAGTTACATCTCAACTGCCTTCAAAATCACCTAGGACTCAACTCAATATCTTCCATAGCAGAATTCTTCACCAACGAAGCATCTTCCCTAAAATTGGAAAATCCAGCAGATGCATCCCCTTCATCCTCATCATCTTGAATAGGTTCTGCTACCACCCTAGCAGCAACAGCACCATCACTCTTGTTCTTGAACGAGTTTGTAACTTCAGTAACAATATCAACCGTTGAGGGCGTGTTTTGTAGTGTTGGTGAATCGGTGCGTCCTACGCGTGCAGATTGTTGGGATATAACTGTGGGGAGTGAGGTTAGGACGCTAGCTGGACGTTTTGATGCTTGGGAGAGACGGTGGAGGGAGATTTTAGATGTGCGGGATGTGCGTGATGCTTGAGAGGCTCGTCTGTCGGGCTTTGCGGGGACGTTTGTGAAGAATGGGCGTATGTAGCTATATAAATGGGGTGTCAGTCAATTCGGAATGAGAATGAGGGCCAAAAAAAAGTCGCTCCAGATAAGAATTGGTGCGAAGGACTTCAGAAAGCCTGGAAAACATCACTTACGTAGCATCCATCCTATGCAACCACTCGAACAATGGAGCATCACCATGATGTACTGGATCGTTGTCATCATTCTCTTCATCCTGTAATTCAGCATACCCTTCATTACTCTTCTTGCCAGCTTCATGATGTTCAGATCCTCCAACACCTTCATGCTCTCCATGACCAGCACCAATCGTAGCATTCGGTACAGCAGGCTCGATAATCTTCAGCCACTTCAACATATAAGGCGTCAAACCGCCAAGCACCAGAATCGTAACAACAACCACGAAAACCGTTGTTCCAAATATACTGCCTTTTACATCATCAGGGAATACAGGGTGTTCCAAGAATGTAACTCCAAGAGCGAAAGCGACTGCACCACGAAGACCAGAAAACCAGACTAGCACTTGTTGGTTCCAGGGGACTGGTTTGCCATGTTTTGGGAGCAGGTTTGCAGTTGAGAGGATTAGGAATACGTGAGTGCGAGACACGAGGATTGAGATGCATGCGAATATTATGAGGGATGGGTTGTATGTTGCTTGGGATTTGAAGGAGAGGAGGCCGAGACCAAGGTAGAGGAAGATGAAACATTCGGACATGAAGGATAGGAAGCGGAGTGTTATCTAAATATATGTGTGGGCATTAACCGATGAGTTTCAATAATTTCTCGGTTGGCAACAAAACGGCCAATTGGGAAACATTGCATCTCTGTGCCAAATTTAGAGCCGTTATATCCAAATAATTCATTCACCGATTTCATCATCAACTTACACGAACACCGGTAAGTGCCTCCTCTTCCAAGTTGTGATGCGCATAGTGCGCCATCCCAATCCCACAAAAGAAGATAGATATAATACCAGTCAAGGCCATTATCTCAGCCGCCAAATAACTCGAATAAGCAAATACAAACAGCATGACTGTCTCATATACAGCGGGCTCATGATCCATCTTGACATGTTTGGTGATTTTAGCAAACACCCATGCAAGTCCCAATCCAACCAGTGTTGAGCCAAGAAACACACCAGCGGCGTTCAAAATTGATAAACAAAATGGCAAGAAATCCAGTCTCATTGTCGGATCAGCGAATCCGGTAAAAAATCTGTATAGGATTATAGCTACGGCATCGTTCAGTGCTGATTCTCCGAATATGATCATGTAGAGCCGCTTGTCTACGTTCGAGGGGAGGAGAGAGAGCACTGTTACGGGGTCGGTGGAGGAAATGAGGGAGCCAAAGACTAGAGATTCGATGAATGACCAGTTGTTTCCGGTTACTTTGGTGAAAAAGTACATTAGGATGGAGCAGATAAAGGTTGAGTAGAGGGCGCCCACGAACGCGAGGGCTATGATGACGAGAATGTTTTTGAAGAAGGCTACTCGTTGCAGTGTGTATCCTCCCTGTTGCGAAAAAAAGAGTGTTTGCTATATACGTATTTCGACACAGCGATACCTTCTATCATTACCTCAAAAATGATCGGTGGCAATAGAGCCATATAAAAGAATTTAGAAGATAATTGAATAGCCGTGTTTTCAGAATCATATTGGAGCAATGACCAGAATGCTGCAACACATAGTCCTAAGAAAATGAAGCGGATGCGCGTAAGATTCAAAGATCAGATACCCAAGATCAATTTTTGAGATCACATACCGACAAGAATCAGCACCGCACTCTCTCCGAAATAGTGAATGTGCTTCTTCTTCAAAAAACCAACGATGTTCATGGAAAGTGCAATCAGACCGAGCATCAATAAAGCTCTAACAAAGAGAAAGTGCTGGGCCTCTTCGGCCGATATGACCTCTGCTTCTGCAGTATGGTTGGTCATCTCTGCTAAATCTTATATAGATGCGAAATTCAAAGATGCGGCAACAGCTTGAAACTTTTTCAACTTCGGAAGATTGCTGCGCTTACGTTTTTTTGATATGATATTTAGCAACCAGATCGGCATCATATGCAATGTTTCAAATCTTTTGTTCTAGTTGTTTTGATAACTTTTTTTATGCTGGTGGTATGTTAAGAAATAATTAACTGTGTCTCTAGTATGTCAATAACAATTACAATGTGATTTGAGATTTTTTCGTATCCTACACCCGACTCCAGTGACAAAAAATCTCCCTTTAAGAAAAATCCAGTTTTTTTCTAATCATAATTACAGACTCATCTCACCCAACAACTTGGTACAGGCCTTTTTATAGTCCCACACACCACCGTTGATACGTTTGAACTGTAAACCTATTAGCTTCATCCTAGGCACTTTGCAGATCTCAATAGAGAATTGAATCGAGTTTTTAGTCTTTGGTCTTCCGAGTGTGATGATTCCGCTGTTTGATGCCGTAGGGACAGCAAATGATGAAGTAGACAGATTGTCAGAGAGGTATTCGAATGCCTGGCTACTGGCGTTGGTAGTTATTGACTGCCGTTGGTTGTTGGCTCCCATACCGTTCGACCGTCCTAATACAGAGGTTCTAAACGTTCCAGCAGTTGATGGCCGAGAAGATGACGGAGTAACAATATTCGATTTTGATGATTCTCGAGTCAACAATCCAGAATCAATCTCACAAGTGAATGTAAAATGCTCATCAAATCCAAACCGACATTGGTTTTCTTCAAGTACTCGTTTGACTTCGGCGATAATGTCGTGGCAGGGTTTGCTTGATGTCGTAGCTACGTTCAAAAACCAGCCAGATACAGACCGCATGTCTTCCTTTGACGTGGGGACTTTACTTGCTGATGTTCGACGACTGGCGTTATAGCTTGCGACCGGTGATGAGAAGCGTCGTTCGTGGATTGCTGGTTTGGGTAGCGTGCCAGTGGAGTCGTTGCTGGCTTTATCGTTTGTTGAATCTACAGATGACTTTTTGGATGGGTGAGACCCGGCCGGAATAGCCATAATCGTTGTATTGTTGGAGGTCAGCTCAGTGCTATTAGTATTTGTCTTTCTTGCTGATCCTTGACGAGGCATGGTAGTGTAAGCACTTGTTGGTTTAGACGATGTAGCTCTCTCAGAGCTAGAGTTTCTTGCCGAATCTCCATTTGATGGTGTACCGGGAATCTCGAGACGGGGTGTATGACCGGGGGCCACAAATGACGATTTGGCACTTGATCGAGTATCTGCTGATGAGGATGATACATCCATAGTTGATCTAGCACGGGATGCACTTGCAACAGTATCTGCAACTGATAGAGCAGGAGAATCTGTTGTAAGTCCTTGAGACCCAAATCTGATTTGTGTTTGAGGAGGAACCAAAGACGATGATGTCGATTGCTGCGCTTGTTCTTGTTGCGTTTGCTTTTGTTGAGGCTTCTCAACCCCGTCTTCATTGATAGCAGGTAACGTACTAGCACTAGTCGGCTCAATAGGAGTACTAGGACCCGAAGCTGAAGCCCGACTCTTATCAACACTTCTCTTCCTCTCGGCTTTAGCACGTGCTTCTTCTCTCTGTAACATTTCAACGAGCAACCAATAAGTGGCTCGAATGGGGTGTGGTTTACTTTGATCCTCGGTCGGTCCAAAAGCTTTTTGGATTTCTTCAACCTTGTAGCCGAAAGCTGTCAGCCGGTTTACTATATCCTTGGAAAGCTTGCTTGGGTCTGGTATTGTGGACCGTTCGGGAATGTAGTGGTGGGGTGGGCCTTCGTAGCCGTCGTTTACCCAGGGGTGAGCTAGTGTTTCTTGCAGTGTGGCACGTTTCTTCGGGTCGACGGTGATTAGCCTTCCGATTAAATGTCTGGCGCCTGGTTGAGAAAAATGTTTGTGAGATTGGGTGTGTGCAAAAAAGCCAAGCCTTAAGCATGGTAATGTTGCTGTAGTCAACGTACTTGGAGCTAGATAATCTGGACAGCTGTAAGTTCCTGCAGCAATCTTTTTATACAGCTCCTTCATGTTGTCGTCATCAAAGGGCAAATGTCCGCAAAGCAATGCAAATAGGATGATGCCTGATGTTTAAGCATTGAATCAGCACAGGACGCCAAAATTTAGTCAAAAATTGCCGCCTACCCAAACTCCACATGTCCACTTCAGGTCCTTCGTACTTCCTTCCCAGAATCATTTCGGGAGCAGCATAGAATGGCGACCTAGTGAAACAATAGGTGTCAGGAATCTTACGAATGCGGTCTCTCTTTGCAAACCACTGACCCGCAGAAAGTGTCGAGCAGACCATCGGTGGTGAAATTGTTTCCAAACCCAAAATCAATAATCTTGATGACCTTCTTCTCGTCCAGCAGCAAGTTTTCTAGAAATATGCAAAGAGGCAGATTGAGAATCCCCGCTATATGTCACTTAGGGCGATATTTTTTGCCGTTTTGGGACAAACCTGGCTTCAAGTCCCGATGAATCACTGAATTCTGATGACAATACTCGACAGCTGACAAGACCATCCGAAAGAAGTTACGAGCTTCCTTTTCTTTGACTCGTTTATGGGCCACGATATAATCAAACAATTCACCACCAGCGGCGTACTCCATCACAATGTAAATGAAATCAGCCGTTTCTACAACTTCATAGACTTTGACGATATGAGGATGGTGCAATAGTTTCAGGAAGCGGATTTCTCGTTGTAGACGCGCCACTTGTTTTGTTGAATGGATTGTGGATTTTTCAATGAGCTTCACTGCCACCTGCGTAAAAAAAGTGTGCGTGAGAAACAGTTGCGTATTAGATAATGACGCGTATGCTGTTATTAGCAAGAAGTGATACCTTTTCATCTGTAATCATATTGGTGGCTATTTTCACTTTGCCATATGTGCCTTGACCAATTGTTCTATCCAGTTTGTAGTTTCCTACAATGGTGTCTGGGATTGCACCAGACGGCCTCTCGTCAACTTGCTGCATTGTTGTCTTACAGAAGTCAACTAGAGAAATTGAATTTCTGGCAGACTTCTAGCTTTCGTTTTGGCGTTTCCCCTGTGTTTTGGGTAGAAATGAGTACCAAGTGCCCTGTGTGTGATTGTTTTCTACGCAGCAAATATGTGTACAGTCAATCAAAGAGGGGGACCCTCATAAAATCCAGGTTTTCAGGTAATATGCCTGGGACGTCAAGTACGACGAAGGGGCAAGGGAGAGCGCTCACTTTGCTATAAAGCAAAACCATATCCTATAAGTCACTTTTTGTTTTATTTTGAATTGCTTTTTTGATGTCTATGCGACTCAAAGCAAGTTCTGGGCTACTTTAGACCGGCATTATGTAGAAGTTATATGCTTCAGCCATACGGAATGGACAAATGGCAGCGACCGCTTATAATTGTGATAAGATTTGTCGAATGCAAACTGGGAGGGATAGGTTGTTCGCAAACTTAAAGTTCTCCTCCATTAGATACGGAAGAGCGTGAGTATTTTAACTCGTCAATTTTAAGACGAGTAAATGTCGTTTGGTGCGCTTCAGTATGTCTGTTCATCGTTCAAAATTACAAACTGATTTTCTGCAAGTGGGACCATGGACAATTGGACTAAATACGCGCAAACTTCCAGAAGGGAGAAAAACACTGCTTGATCCAGCTATGATGCCAGCTTCACGATTCATCTCAAATCGTCCTACTGGAGCGGGGAATAAGATTCGATCCACGATTCGGAAGCACAGGGCGTGTGTTTCTCAATCAATCTTCGAACAGATGATAACCAACCTATAAGTAAACATTCAGAAGCATCTACAAAAAAGGCAGGAAATGTTTTCGTGGTTTCATTGGGGTCGGCCTGCCTCTGCACCATCATCGACCAGAAGGGCATCATCAGTAGGCTCATCTCCATCAACACCAAAGCTTTTTAAACGAGGCAGAACAGAATCGAGAGCTTCCTCGCTACCAAAATTACCAAGATTTTTGTCTCAATTTGGAACTAGTAGTTCAGGCTCGAAATCATCTACTGTCTCCCGTACGGCGGGCAACTTGTCAACAACACCCACCAGAACTAAATCAACCTTGCAAACAGGCGTCGAAGATTCTGTGCTCACAGTGGCTTCTGGTAAATCATTACCTACGAATGAGACATCTGGTGAAATGACCAAATCAACACAACTCTCAAAACCACCTAAGCTTGAAGTCATATCAGCATTAACGTTGACAGTAAACGCAAGTAGGAGAGGATCGGCTGATGCTACCGTTGTGGACCATAATGTTATTGAGGATTATATATACCAGTCATCGTCACTTACCAGACTCGCAGTCCCTGATGATCAAAGGAGTCTTGACCAGAGGTCCATTGCGTCTATAAATGAATTGACTACTTACGCAGCATTTGGAGTCACGCTGCCTTCTTTATCAAGAAAACGTGCCATTGCTGCAAAGATAGCAGAGGCAGCAGCACATCAACAACCAACATCAGCCACCATACCGATACGGTCTGGCGAATCTATACAGAAAGACGTCTCTATTGCTGAGGCGGCTTCAACAGGCCAACCTTCGTGTGCGAAGAGGCGATGGTCGTTGCCATGTGCAGCGCTGCCCCCCACCGCTGCTCAACTAGGATTACCACTGACAATATCTGTTGAACCAACACTAAAGAAACGTCATTCTATTGGCAGTATTGCAGAAACAACACAAGCTACAGAACAAGCTGCAACATCAACGTCCGAGAACGAAGTCGATAAGAAGTCATCCAATCTACGTGGTATACTCCGTAACGCACCAAAGGGAGCAGTGCCACCCTCCGTCATTCCAGATCCAAGAGTCATTGCTGATTACAGTCGAGGATCGTCGCCTGCTGGCTCTGGCGACGTTGATGAACAGACGCCGAGAAAGAGGACGGATGGAGATGTGTTGGGAGAGTTGCCAGAGTTTGAGAGATTGTTGAAACAGAAAATGACGCCTGCTGTGTTCATGGTAAGGTTTTTGAAAGCAATTGCCTCTTTGTTTTTTTGATCACTTACTTATGCTTATTTTGATTATAGAGCAATGAATTCATTATTCGAAAACACGACATTGGAAAAGAAATGTACTTTCTCTCGCGGGGCAAAGTTGAGGTCTTGTCTAGTGATGGAAAGACTCAATACAGCGTCATCAATATGGGATCTTTTTTTGGTGAGGGTTCCGCTAGAATCGCCACAGTATTCAGACGATTTGTGTTTAACCCCTGCTCCAATAGGTGAACTGGGAGTACTCTTCGATATACCACGTACCGCATCCATCCGAGCTCTAGAAACTTGCTATTGTATGGTGCTGACGCGTAAACACTTGGAAGATTCATTACAAGGATACCCAGCCATATCGCAAAGATTCAGAGCCGTTGTCGAACAACGCATGCAAGAGGTTAATGCCAAGAGGGCAATGTCAAGGAGAGTCAAGATCGCTTTGCCAGAGCCGACAGTGGCTACAGTTGATGGTGAGTGACGCGTGTTGAGAACAGTGGCCGTGGTGTTTGGTATACTTACACGTTCAACAATCGCTATTTTAGAGGAGCCAGAGGACTGAAAACGCCCCATGTTTAAGCATATGTACATATTGATACTTTAATGGGGGAATTTTCAAAAACATATGTTCTGTGATTCTAAAAAATTAGGTTTTGCTTTTGTTTCCCTGCTCTCTGAATCAAAGTTGTTTTTTCTTCGCGCTCACAACAAACAATACAGACCGAAAATTATCTCTGAGAAATTGAAATCGTATACACTTTCGAGTTGCTACACATCGCTGGATATACTTGATATGAACTCCTTCATGAACAACAAAGGGAGCAAGCCTCACTTCAATAGCCCACTGGGAGCAGATTGTATCATTAGAGTTGTCGAAGCTGAAAGCCCAGGCTCGTCTCCAATTGTCCCAGAAGAGAATCTCTGGTTCTATGGTACGTACTGAGAACGCCTGTCTTTCGGTAGTTTATTTTGTCAAGCATCAGCCATTAAGTCTCAGCGACTGAATAGGTCACGAACAGATTTTGAGGCAGTCCAAGGCTCTATCACTTGTATATGATGCTGTCAACAATGGTTATGCTGAAGGATACATATACACAGACTCCGCAGGTAAGTTCCATAGGCAAGAAATTCAAAATTAAGCGAAAATGCCCAAAAACGTGACAGCGTGCCCCAAAGCAACATCAGACTCCTTCATGTTACTGTATACCCATCTAATCGACTATTAACATGATCTGGTTACGATAATAGGATGCATCATCTCATTCGATATCGCTGGCGTCGAAAAACACTTGGAACCAAAAGAAACCTCAGTTACAAGCCTACATTTACTCATCAGCATCTCCGTCCCCGTACTCGACGTCTTTCCAATCATAATATACGACGTGTACAATGGTACCGGAAAGCAACACACACATACTCTTGTATCATTATCTTGGAAAGGAATTTCGGCTGCTTCTCGTATCGTTGACATGATGGACTTCTCGGCCTCCTCAGATCTTAAGACTCGTGAAATATGTACTGAAGCTGCTGCTATGCTATTGAAGACGTCTGGAGGTTGGAAGGCTAGAAATGGAGAACAGTGTCCTCATCCACCACCACAGGCCTTTTGTCGAACAACCATACGTGAATTATTCACTACACAGCCACACACAACTTAAAGGGGAATTATAAGTGATTTTGGGAGGGAGTAGGAATAGTTGTAGTAGCAGTAATAGTAGTTTTGGTGTGGTGGTAAAAATGTAGACCTTAAGCACAGTAGAAGGAGAGTGGTAAGCTTAAGCAATAAACTTGAGTATAGAGTTCAGATCCGTTTGAACATGTAAAATTGGTGTTGCTGCTGTAGCGAAATGTAACTAAATAGAGAACTTTTGCGAGAAATTCAGGATTGCGTCCATATTTGACACTTTCGAACAGCCTCGGCTTTTGTGGGTACGGATAGGAAGGTAACGTCGAAATGGTATTCCATTTGCCTTACCAGCCGCCAACGTCTCGTCACGCGAGAAGCGCTTCGATATACGAGCAAGGGTTACGCGGAAATTCGCCCTTAAAATTTCTCAATTTCCCAATCACATGTCGAACACACTTGCCAGCCTAGTCTACTGAGTGTACAAGGATGACTATAGAGTCCAACGAGGCTCCAGGGCCTTTGACACGTATGATATCAAACATACGTTCTTCCTTAGTAAGGGAGGAACACGACCGACCAAATCCTACTAAACAACCCACAAACCACGCATTTGATGAGACACCAATAAAGCCAGCGAAGCCGATTCAGGACGACGAAAGACCTATAAAGCCTGTATTATCAAGAAAGGCTACAAATATTGACATAATGGAACAACCCGTTGGAAAACGCACGAAGGTTGTCATTGCAAAACAAGCCAGTAAACAGCCAGTCGTGGATGAAGACAAGGACGATGATAGCGATGATGAAGAAAGTGACGACGAAGTGGAAGACAACGATTTACCACGCGGTCGTCAAACGTCAACAAAATTCTCACCTCAAATCAAACACACTCCAACCACGTCGACATCACCCTCACCATCCAAGTCACCATTGAAACCTATTTTGAAAGATACTGGTATCAAATCACCGAAAACATCACCCAAATCAGTGACTGCTGTCAAGAAGCGAGCGGACTCACCCACACCGAGTCCATTACCAAAGGCACATTCAACAGTAGCTGAAATGGCTGCCGAAGCTACTTCATTGCCAGTAATACCTGATGAACCAATTCCAGCTGCTGCACCAGCTCAAACATCTCAAAGTCCAGCTCCAAAACCTGTAAGGAGGAAACCTCCACCAAGACAGTCGAAGCCACCTGAGAAATCTGATGCTGTTGTTGAAGATACTCTTGTTTCGGAAAGCACACCTACTGTAACACCATCTCCCATACCAGCCGCAGTGTCACCATCCATGAATCACGGTACTGTCACGAAAGTCGATGTTGCGTGTGGGCTAGATGCACCAGACTGGAGGTGGATGGCTTTAGAAGCCCTTGAAGTCGGTGCTCTGGATTATCAGGATGCAGAGGTATGAATCAAATTTCATTCGACTTGGCAGAATGATAATCTTGGCTCACACATTTATTTCTCAATAGCGAACCGGCAATAAATCATATAGGCCATTATCATCATCCATAGAGCTTCCTCAGGACTCTTACTACACCGATCTCCTGGCATCAGCTATATCACGACCCAATTCAGGAAATCCTGGAGACCTGGAACGATCAAGACAGTATGGCAGTAAAGAAGCATTGGAAGATGTGTCTAAACTGTTGCAGAGGCCAAGACCTTGGCCACCAGGTTATGCTTCTGGTGGTTTGATGAAGATTATAGTAAAACGTGGTGGTGTTGCTGGTGATCGTAAGCCAGTCGATGAGCGTAAGTTTTCGAGTTGTCCACTTGACCGCTCTTGGAATGGCATTGACACTCTTCGTTTGGCAGTTGCAGTACAACCTCAGATACAGCATCAGCCTCAACATTCAAATCATCAACCACGAAAATCAGAGGTAGAGCAAAAAGCGAAATTCGACAGAGGAAACAAACCACCACCACTTAGCATACCAACCCGAGGAGGCAAGAAAATGTCGAAACCATTATCACCACCGCCGCACTTCACGTCTTTACCACCTATAAACAAGGGCAAGGTAGCCAAACGACCAGTCAGAATGTCGACGTATAACAATACCAATTCAACTCCAGTCTACAATCAAGCTGCAACGTCAATTCCGAGGCCAAGCATGGCACCTGGATCATATGCATCTCCCACTCGTATACCAGTAGCTCAAACATCTATGAACTCATACTCTCAGCAGCAGCAGCAACACGGACAATCAAACGTATATGGAACATACCGCGTTGCTGCTCCAGTATCCGACTACTTGTCATCTCATGTTCATCATCAGGAACTGGCAAGTCATCATCAACAACCTACATGGTTGCCACGAGTCGCGATGATGGAACACCCACAGCACGATCCATATTATGGAACTCTTGGATCCAATATGGGATACTATCAGCAAACGAATCAGCAACAAGCAGGGTATGGACCAACACACAATGCAGCCGCTATGGGTCCCTGGGGAATGTATACCAATGTGCCACCAGCAGCTCTAGTACCCGTTGAAGAAGTGACCAAGAAGAAGGGGAAATATGTTCCGGCTCTTCCTCGTTCTCGAACACCACTCAAGACTGCTGCTTTCAGGAAGAGGTAGAAAAGAGGATAAAAGCAAGACGGTTTCTGATGTCAGTGTATAATTTTGCCAAATATGAGATATATACATATGTTAGACATTTTACCAAGGCTCATGTCAACGATACAAGAAGCAGCCGAGATTCTATTCCATTCCAAGACAAGCTAACAAGCGTATGCGTGTGTTGCTTTCCGACATCATTGTACATGTCGTATTGTATGATTGGGAAGACATGCTGAGATGCTGATGAGTAGATGGAACCTTGTCACTGAGCTTTCTTTGGTTCCAAGTGATTTTCGACGACAGCGATGTCGAATGAGAAGGTGCATCCTATCAAATGCCGTCTGAGTAAGGCGATAGATGGATATCAGGCGATGAGATTCTGATATTACTCGGGGCACGCTGTCACAGTTGGAGGAACTCAACCAGTTGATCATAGTGCACTCACTTTCCAAGAGCCAGGTGTGATGAGAAGTAAAAAGTTCACTTTCAGATTTGGGCTATTTGAATAGTAACCGCTCGTAGAAGTTACTATTGGTGGGTCTTTGATTGTGGTGCTGTTGATCCGAAAGTCATCATTGCTGCTAAAGAATGGTGCGTTGGTTGCTTCTGGCTAAATGTTAGTAGAAACGATATTTGTATCGATATTGATAGAGCCTCACTGTGAGTTGGAGAATTTACGTGAATGTCAGTGCATCCTGTATCGGTGGTTTGAGCATTCTTAAACGACGCAAGATCGATCGTCTCCCCGACAAGTGTGTGTAATGGTGACCACGTAATAAGATATGGGGAAATCTGCTCAGATACCGGACGTGGTAAAGAAACTTTGAAGTTCTGTTGACGAAAGTCTGTCCTGCAACGTTTTTCGCAATTAGGTTGGCACGTTCATCTTGAATCGAAATTAAGACGAACTCTTAATTCTTTATATTCATTATATTCTTTGCATATATTTACACTTAGACTTCCTCTATTCGAATCACTGGCGAATGACAATGGAGGTATGTTCGCGTCACAGATTTTTGAAATTGTCAAAACCTCGATCAAGTCGAATCTGCAACAAGCGCACATAGTAGTTGAGACATGTCCCGTGCCACATCATTTGCAGCACAATTTGGAATCATTGCTCTTGTATATTTAGCTACTCTATTTCACACTCAACTTGTACCAAGTCTCTCATTGCCAGCTTGGATTGATCAAATCGCTCCAGTGGCAAGTCTAGACTTGGAACGTCCCTGTGATATGATATTCTGAATGTATTCTAATCAAATCTTTCTATCCGTTCTAGTTGCCATGGTGGTGCCTAGTTACATTTGGATCGTATTCACTGGGAAGCATTGGATTTGCACTAGTCTCGTTCCCAGATGCTCCCAAGTCAGCCTTTGATTCATTGATGACTGTAGGAACAAATTTGGATGCGAAGTGGTTATATCACTCAAGGCTTTCAGTGCTGATCTTGACATTTCTGTGTAGGAGATTGATATGGCAAGAGCCGAGTTGAGCAAGAAGGGTGTTGACGTGAGCTGATCAGGTGGAAGAACGGTTCAAGAAGATGATTGCTCGTGAACGAACAGGAATGAAACGGCACTTATACTTACTACTGTATGCTCAATCCTTTGCAACAACATCTTTCGAACTCGCAGATCAATTTGAATGCAAGTGTACATAGTATATATAAAGCCAGTAATATTTTGCGTAATATTATGTATTGACACGTTCGACATCGCTTCTGCTCTTCAACTTTTGTGAGTCACGAAACTTGCTTCAAAATCTTGCAAATCGCATACAATCGCAAACTTTCAATTGACGCACGTGCAAAGGAAGTTTGTCATATATAATGGCAGCACCATTGACGTCGATATCAGCATTTCATTTGAATTTAACAGCACCCTCTCCAGAGTTATTTAAAGAAACTTGGGACTTCTATGCCTCAATTGGATTTAGATTGGCAAATACAGCCAGTCCATCTCAAGTCTGGCTGCAATTGTATGGAGATCCTCACTCGGATTTAAATGGAATCGCCATCAAACTCTCTCTGGTGGAAAACTCGTCTGACGCGTTCAACATTAAATCACGTCAAGGCAAACTAGCCGTTGATTTGGCTTCAACTGCAGCTGATCTTGTCGATTCTGCTATATTGACTCTGGTCGCAAGGAGTCTAAAAGTACTGCCGTCCTGCGTTGGGTTGTTTTGGAACTAATGTCAAATCACGCTGATTATCTCAAATCTCACGCTAGGATGTTGTGACAAGTCTTGTCAAACTACAACGACCACACGCAATGATATCTGGTCCACCTAAAGAACCAAGCTATGTCTCTTCGCCCTCATCGCCTACTGCCCATGCGGCACGAGCACACGCAGATGGGTGTGTCTTGACCTTTGACCCTCTACTCAACCTCATTGCCTTTACAACTGCTGCACCACCCGTTGCACCTTCTTCATATCATGGTATATCTCTCAAAGCAGCACCATCATCGCGTACAGAACCAGTAGTTATGACTGGTGCCAACGGGATTCCATCACCGGCAAACGGCCTGTCGGTCGGCTTGACACCTAAAAAGATTGGTATATTGACATCTGGAGGTGATTCATCTGGTATGAATGCTGCCGTTAGATCAATTACAAGGATTGCTCTCCAGAAAGGATGTGTACCATATGCGATCTTTGAAGGCTATCAAGGTATGTCAACGCCAGCGAGATCCAGATCGTTTTGTTTCCCGCAGTTTCGCAATACAAAAGTCTCTTGATTTCGTTCCTCCCGAAATTAGGATTGGTGGATGGAGGTGACAAGATTAAAGAGCTTACTTGGAATGCTGTTCGTGGACTTATGCCTATGGTAGATGGCTCAGTCTTGCATGCAAAAAATCCACAATGCTCAAATATGCTGAAACAATTCTTAGGGAGGTACAGTTATCGGTACAGCCAGATGTGCAGCGTTTCGGACTCGTGAAGGACGCCTCAAAGCGGCCTTGAATATGATTCTGAATGGAATCGATGCTCTGATTGTCATTGGTGGTGATGGTTCACTGACGGGTGCTGATATGCTGCGTGCTGAATGGGGTAGTCTAGTGAATGAAGTGATATCGAAAGGTAGATGACTATGTTTCTGTAGGCATTGCCAAATTCCAGAAGCATTATGTCTCAATCCACCTACTTTCGTTGTATCTCAAGGATTGGCGACAGAGTCTCAATGTAGTTCACTGCGTGAGCATCTCACCATTGTTGGTTTGGTGGGATCTATTGACAATGATATGTGCTCCACCGGTATGCATTATAATGCTACATTTGTCGAGCAGCTTGAAAGATTGCGGTGATAATTTTCTTCTCCATTCCGTCACCAGATATCACCATTGGAGCCGTCACATCCTTACATCGAATCTGTGAAGCTGTAGACTCTCTTTCGTCAACAGCTCTTTCTCATCAACGCGCGTTCGTGGTGGAAGTCATGGGAAGGCATTGTGGATGGTGAGATGTCTTGCAAGCCGTTGAATGCAATCGGATACGTATCCTCTTTTTTTCGCTCACAAAATATGTTAGGTTGGCATTAATGGCTGCAATAGCAGTACGTCTCATTTCAATGGCTTCATGCCTCGTATCTTTCAGAGTTTGATTCCTTCCTGACCTTCGATTTAGGTTGGTGCCGATTGGGTGTTCTTACCTGAGAGACCTCCTCCGTTGGATCCAGCTTATGGAGACGATTGGGAGACAGAGTTTTGTGAAGCTCTTCGCATAGTAAGATTGGCTTTACAGAAAACAAATGTGCCGAAATGAGCTCAACGGCCTCGCACTCCATTGTAGCAACGAGAATTAGGAAATCGTAAAACACTAGTGATTATATGTGAAGGTGCCATTGATCGACAACTGAAACCCATCAAGCCTGAATACATCAAAAAGGTCATTGATGAACGTCTTGGACTGGATACTCGTGTCACGACGTTGGGACATGTTCAACGTGGTGGTACCCCTTGTGCATATGACCGATATCTCGTATGTATTATATTGGACAGACAATTTGAAGTCTCACATGCTAAAACAACTAAAACAAAACATGAATACTCTACAGGCTACAGCTCAAGGTGTTGAGGCTGTAGAAGCTGTCTTACGATCAACTCCCACCACTCCTTCTCCGATGATTGGAATGAGTCAAAACAAGATTACATCAGTTTCACTGATGGATGCCGTCAAGCTGGTGAGTTAGTGAAGTTTCCCTCTGTGGGCTTAATGATTACTGAGACTTGGCACCAACGGTATTTTTGCATAGACTCATGAAGTCAGTGAAGCTATTGCTCGCAAGGACTTTTCACATGCTATGGAGTTGCGAGATCCGGATTTCACTGCTGCGTATGATGCATATATCGAAGCAACCCTGTTGGCTTCTGGACCTGGTGCACGAAAAACTGATCTGGTAACCTATTCGTTGATAGTCCCTTTGTGTCTTTTTCCCTTTTGCTCCTAGATTCAGCTTTTCTGACACTGGTTTTTTGCGTATACAGCCACTAAGAATCGGTATTGTACATGTCGGAGCTCCAGCAGGAGGCATGAATCCTGCCACCAGAACTGCAGTGCGTCTATGCTTGAATCGTGGTCATACTCCATTAGGCATTCGAGACGGTTTTGTTGGACTCGCTCGTGGAGACGTCCAAGCTCTATCCTGGAAGGAAGTCTCCAGCTGGGCTGTAGCTGGTGGTTCCGAGTTGGGTACAAATCGTGCTCATCCGAAACCATCAGTCAATGCGTCGCTTCAAATCCGTCCACGGGGAGTAGAAGAATGGGTTGAATTGGGTGTCGTCGCCTATCAGTTACAAAAGCATAATATCCAGGCTTTGATGATTGTTGGTGGATTTGAAGCCTTTACTTCTTTATTGACTATGGTGGCATCACGTAAAGAATACCCATCGTTATGTATCCCTATGATTCATTTACCTGCCACTGTATCTAATAATGTCCCTGGAACGGATTTCTCTATCGGATGTGATACCGCTCTGAATGCTATTGTTGAAGCCTGTGACCGTATCAAGGTGTCGGCTAGTGCTAGTCGACGACGAGTGTTTGTAGTTGAGGTTCAAGGTGGCGAGTGTGGGTAAGTGCCACGTGTTGTTGAGGAGGATTAGTGTGACTTTAAGTATCTGCTGCTGCTTTGCATTGCAAAAAAACTGTCTTAATCCTCATGTCGTGCTAACGAATTCTCGCTTACTCTTTGATAGGTACTTGGCTGTTATGGGAGGTCTAACTACTGGGGCTATGAACGTTTATACTCCAGAAGAAGGCATATCTCTGAGCATGTTGAGCACAGATGTTGCTCACTTGTGTCGACGATACCGTGAAGAAGAGGTTGCCCAAACAGCCTCAGAAGGACGTGTAGTACTTGTCTCAGAGTACGCTGCCGCCGATGCATTCAACACTACGGTGATATCCAATATATTCAAACATGAAGGAGCAGGTCTTTTTGATTCCCGAACTACTGTACTGGGTCATCTACAACAAGGAGGTATACCATCGCCACTAGATAGAACACGAGCTACTCGGCTGGCTGTGAATTGTGTTGATTGGATTCAGGAACGAGCTGCATTAGCAGTAATGACTACCCGAATTGGATACCCTAGTGTGTATGCCAATGATTCTGCTGATGCTGTTGTTATTGGTATTCGTGGTGCCCAGACCGTGTATACGCCTATCATGGACTTGTTGTCTGAAGTGGATATAAAGAGAAGGAGAGGGAATCTGACTGAATGGTGGGCACACTATCGAGACATTATAAAAGTCTTGTCGAAATACACCTTCAAGGAAAAGGAAGGTGTTATTGGAGATGCAGGTGAACAGTTGAGGAAGTTGGGTTGAAAAGAGGTTCTGGCTTGGGACTTGCTTCATAGAGTTTGTTCGTAATAAGAAATAAGAAATGTATATCCATATACCGTTAGAAGTTGCTATTCTGTTGCTATTCTGGAGCGCTGAGGATTTCTGGACTGAACATGACTCTAGCACCTCAAAATTGGATTTCCAGTTTTGGCAACTTGAAAATTTTAGGAAGGAATGATGTGAGGTTTAGATATCTAGGGTTACGGGAGAACTTTGAGGTATGTAAGACGACACTTGAAAAAGCACTTAGTGAAGTCGCTCAACTGCTGTTATTACCTAGTCCTGGACGATGAATGCACTGATCTCAATGCTGAGCAATGGACGGAAGTGGTCCCTCGTGCTGGCCCTACATATATTAAGGACGTCGCATGTAGACTTTTGGTTTACTCGTCCAGTCATGATGGCATTTACATTCCCTCTACTTGAAGCATAAAATCTTTCAGGAGATGTCATTGCGTCGTCTGGGTTCGCTAAATGGATTGAAGAACCTCAAAGTCGATACCTATTGGACGGCCGACCTTTAACTTTCGCTTCCTGGTGGATTGGAACTCTTTCAGTGAATGCTCGCTCAATTACAAGTATTGCCCGACCAATATAACCTGGTTTTTGGGGTTTCCATAAATGTCGCTTAACTGTGACATATGAGTCTCATTCCAATATTCTCTTAAGTTGGTCAAATCAGTCATATCGTGCGCACGCCAAGCTGGAATCTGAAAAATGCGAATGTCAAGTATGGGGACATGATTGCTGAAAAAGTGTTTGAAGCAATCAGAGCTCGATGGTGTGGAGAATTTGAGGTTGGGTTCGGCTGAAGCAAATTTCGCTGGGAGTACTTATATGGTCAAAACGCGTACCACTTTGACTTCTTTTGATGCCATGTCCGGCGGTCCGGGAATATCTGATAGTGACGAGGAGGAGGACAAGTATTATGAAGGAATTGATGGTGTCTGGGATGGTGATATGAGGCTGCTCGTTTGAAAAGGTTTGCTATGAATTGTCAGGCGTTTTAACATGACAATTTTGGTTATCTAGTTTTACCAGAGTATGAAATTGTGATTCTGGTTGTTTCGATTCTAGTGATGGAGTCGGTGATGATCTGTGTGTGTTGTTATTTGACACGGAGCAGAAGTATTTGCCCATAAGCTATATCCAATTAGACGGCGTCGAAACTCTTGTAGCCTTGTATTTGCTATTGCCATCCGCGGCATTGAAGGAAATAGTGATGGTGATGGCAGTGAGGAGGACGAGGCTCATAGTGAGTTTGATGGTGTTATGAGGCTGATTACTTTAAAACCAGTGTTGTTGGTACGGATGGTCAGACTCTTTTGGCACCTTAAAATATATAATACTTTAGCTACAAGATCAAATTGTGAATGCATCAAAGTTACAACTGGTTGGTTGATTCTCTTTTTGCGATTAGTTGGTTGTTTGGTGATCAAGTGGCTATGTGCTTTGTTCAAGCCAAACCCTGTTTTCAGAAGTCAGCAACCCTCATTGAGATATAGACAGTCCAAGTTAAGATGTCAAAGAAACCCGCTTCAAACTCCAACAATCTATTGGGCGTTCCTGCAGCTGGAACAAATGCTCCAAGGAAGAGCTTCGATTCAACATCCAACAGCTCACTCGCTGTACCTCCCGCATATCATGACGTGATAGGACGAAAGTCATTCGACTCTGTACAAAAGCATCTGCCTGCAGATTACAGAAATGGTGGAGAAATCGTTGTTGATAATGTCGTTTCTTCAGGTAAAGCAAACTCAAATTGCGTTTGCGGTGAATGGTGTAAAGTGTGCAAGATGGAGGTGGAGATGCTAACGTTGTCGTCAAGTGCTGGCTGATATCTGTATATGAATCAGCTAGACTCTCTGCATTTGCCCTTGGTTACGGGTTGGTTGGCTCTGTGCTAAACAACTTTCACATTTAGTGACCTGTGAAGCACATTTGTCGTTGCTCAATCGCTTCCGTGACCTCGTACACCCAGATCCCAACATTGATCTCGGCTTCCTATGTCGATCTGAGAGGAGATATATTATGTGGCTCGTGCTACTAAAGACTTACAAGCCAGATCCTGGTAACATGCCGATTCCACCTATAGGTAATTCATGCAGTGTTGTAGTTTGTCTATGCTTGCACTCATTTCTCATTACTATCATTTGTCCCAGATGTTGCTCTGTTTTGGCACGCACACATGCTAAACCCTGTTCGATACTATGAGGACTGCTACCACCTGTTCGGAATAACACAGAATGAATACACTATGCCCCTACTCGAAATGTATACAATGGACCAAGACTATACACCAACCAAAGAATCGGAAGACTTTTGGTCGAAAAGTGGTATGCCATACGCTATAAGACTGGACGACACATCTCCATTCGCCGTAAACTGTGCATTCTGTAGTCACTCCATCACAGTAAACCCCATGCAATACGTCACGTTTTATCGTGATGGCGGTAGCTTACAATGTCCCAGTTGCCAAACACCACAGTCGTTGGAAGTTGTATCTGCCGAACAGTTCCTGCAAGAGCTTGCAATGACTGCATCGGATCCGTTAAGTGTACCGATGCGAGGATCGATATTGGATGAACGTGATGGAACGATTAGTGTGGCTAAAGGTGCTAAAGATATGGAAGTCTTGTTGAAGGATTCATCTGTGCAAAAGCAAGTTGGGCATTTGCTACAGTTGCGACAGCCTGATCATGCACATGAAGTCGGATGGTATGTACACTTGTCTACAAATTCTCTTGAAGCGGCCTTCAAGCTTTCTACAACATTTTTTCTGATAATATAGGCCAGCTATCATGACCATATTCAAAAGCTTGACCGACACTTTAAGGTCTCATCGAAAGCTGCGAAATCTTCGCAAGTCAACGCTACCTATGGTGATAATGGCTCACCGTAACATTCCCGTAAGTCTGAATCGACATCAATCTCAAACACCATCTTTACACACTCGACCCTTTCTTTAGACTCCACTGACAATCGACTTAGTCGCAGCCGTCCAACGCCAACGCTCATTCAGTAACAAGGTGGCAGATGATGTCGCCTGGCGTAATGAAGAAATGATGTATCGAGCATGCTCTCGATACCAGAAATTCTTACTATTGATGGCCAAAGAACCGACCAAGTTCTTTGTACCAACGTTAGATATTGATTTAGGGTGGCATACACATCAGCTACATCCTAAAAAGTATCAAAATTATGGATTGCGGTATTGCCGCAGAATAATCAATCACGATGATGCTGTTGAGGAGACCAAGTTGGATAATTCGTTTTTGGATACTGGATTGCTTTGGGCCAAATATTTCAATGAACCTTATGCTACTCAGGCAGCACGTCCTATCAAACCTGGTCAGGTTGCTGCTGGGTGAGTTGCCCAATATGGCTTCGCTTTCTCCAATTTTTTCTTCTTCCAGTTTGTTCCATGTGTGATCACTATGTACTGCACAGAAACATATTACTGGAATCTGACACATTGCTACACTAGATTCGTGTTCCCACCATACGGCATATTCAAAATGATGCAAAATTCCAAAATCAATAAGGCATTGGGAAACGAAAAGGGAGGATGCAAGACACACAATCCGTCTCTACGAGCAGTAGTTGCAAACCCAGCAATGGTTGGTCAACAGGGACAACCAATGACTGTAGTTACGACAACCACTTCTCAACAAACCCGCAATGGATATGGAATGGTCGCTTGTATGGGATCAGTTTACATGTACCCTTATGCATTGATGGGCCCGCTTTACTGGGGCTATGCACCATGGGCATTTGCCCCGTACTGGGGATACCCTATAGGATTCGGATGCGGTGCGTTCTATGGAGGTTATGGAGGAGCATATGGTGGATGGTGAGTCCAAGCCTATACTTTTCGGCTTGGTCTGTCGTTAACTGTTTTGTCGCATTTAGTGGCGCTGGAGGCTATGGAGGATGTGGTGGTGCAGGATGTGGCGGTGGTGGAATGGCCGGAGGTAACATTGTCTCAGTGATATCTCGTTCCGTGTCACTTCTTTTTCCTAGAATCTGTGCTCAATGAATTCTATCTTTCGACCCTTTAGGATGTGGTGGAGCAGGTGGATCTAATTGTGGAGGTGGTGGAGGAGGTAAGCAATCTTATCATCTTGTTCGCGCCACCTTTTGGGAATTTTTGGTTTGACAATTTGAGCTTTCTAATAGGATGTGGAGGCGGTGGTGGATGCGGAGGCGGAGGTAAATGGTCTCACATTTTCTAACATTGAATTCCGTTACTTTGACTACTCGTGGTTTTCTAACATTTTTTTTGCATAGGTTGTGGTGGTGGAAATTAGCACCACAGGAGTCGTTCTATGTGTTTTTCATGGACAGAGCTTCTACATTTGTTATGTCTTCCTGTCATCATTATATGTCATTGTTAGATTTGTCTGAAAATATATCGCTCCAGTTTAGACGTTTTTGTCAATAGATTGGCAGTCAAAATTCTCAATAGATCTCATTTATTCTCAAATAGATAAAATTTGACGATTTCAAACGTTCCAACAACGCAACATGCGTCGGACAGACACCACAAAGACCACTCAAAAAACACGACTCTGCAATTCGGCTTTTGTGTTCTGCGCAGCACCCTCTTGATGGATTGATGAATCAGCTTGTAAGGCACATCCTCTTTTTCTTGATCTCAGTCGCGTACACGTTTACACTTTCATCAAGCGAGCAGACCAACTTGCTATTCACGTATATACCAACTCTTCCAACAAAATGGCACGCAACACAGAATTGAGCAAGCAAGGATCCACACCCAACGCTTCCAAGGACTCCAAGGCAAACCTAACAATTGAATCTACTAGGCCAAACTACTATAAAGGTGTTGCAGAGCCAGTGAATGCAATAGCATCATCGTCGATTGTTGGAATGGGAGAGTTGGACAGGATTAGGGAGTGGGCAGCTCGTGGACCCAATGATACTGATGATGAGGTTGCGAGAGAGAAACTAGAGGTATGCAAGTTGTAGTCTTGTGAAGTTGCTTTCTAAGTTATACTGTTCTTCTATGTGATGTTTTTTGTGCAATCGAAAATCATAACTTGTACGAAAGCTGACCTTGTTTTAACGAATTAATTCACAATTCCTTCTAGCTACACGCCAAATCAATGAAAATGGTTGGAAAATGGGCCAACACTGTAATGGGAAAGCGTATGAAACGTCTTGCTCAACGTGAAGACCGTATGCGTCTGATTGAGGTAGGGGGGATGAACCAAGTTGCCAAACAACCACAGTCAATCCAAATGCTCAAGATGCGCGCCCGTACTAATAATATTCTATATGATTATATAGGAGGAAAAGCTTAGACAAGATCAAGAGTGGGCAGGCATACTAAAGGAAGAGAGGAAGGCTCGTATTGAGAAATCTCAAAAACAGCAATTCTACGAATCTGATCGAGTTAGAGAGCTAAATTCGAAATTGCTACTGGCTGCTGTTATGCAGGTGAGAAAATCTCGTAATTGAAAACAGAGACGACGGGTTCTTTTGGGCTATTGCAATGCATGGATGTCTTATTCAACAATAATGTATAATAACATAACTTCTTCACCAGGAACGTGAACTCCAAATCTCCCTCCGCAAAGAACGTGAAGCCCTACTCCAAACCGTCGACGACGCACGCATAGCCCAAGGAATCGAAAAATCCAAAAGGGAACAAGAAGCCGAAGACGCTAAACGTGATGCACGCAAAGCATCCATCCGCGACACCGCCTTGCACCAAGTCTCTCAAGCACAGCGCAAACATTCACAAGAAGACGCCGAACGTAAAGCATTGAAGTCTTTCTATGCCGGACAGGATAAACTGCATGCAGAAGAAATGAAGACTCTAAATGCTACCAAAAAAGTGAAACATGTGGAGGATGCACATGTGTTTAGTGAAGAGTTGCAGGAGTGTATTAGGCAGAAACAGAATGTTAAGGATCATGATAGGGAGTTGGATGCTGCTGCGAGTGTAAGGAATGATGTGTTTAATCATCGCAAATCTGCTATAGCGAGGAGGCGTGGTGAGGTTGATAAGGAGCGAATGAAGTAAGTTTTGATTGTCCTTACCGTCTTTGTGTGTTTGGAGAGCCTACGCTGTCTTTCGTCCTGCGCCTCAAACAACTTACAAACACCATTTACATTTGCCTTTTTCTCGCCAACTTCAATAGACAACGCCAAGAAGCAATTGACGCCACTGCCGAACTCGTCGCCAGCTACGAGCAAAAACGATTTGCACAATTGGATTGCTTCCTCTCGAAAATGTCTGCTCCACGACGAGGACGTTCAGCCAAGGAAGAAGTCAATCAAAAGACTCGTGCTCGACAATTGGAAGCAATTGAAGAGTTCCGCCAACAGCAGGTACTATAGGTTATATGTTTTGTGGTTTGAGTGCTGGAATGTCATGATTCAGTCCTGCGGCAGTATTTTTTTGCGGTGCTACCAGTCAACTCACTCACTCTCTCTCTGTTTCATCACATTTCCATAGATCACAAGACGCCACGAACGTGAACAGCAAGCACACGAAGAATCACGTCGTGCAAGACTGGAACTCGATACCAGATTTGCACAATTCAGACATGAAATCCAGGACAAATCAAAGACGACATTTGAAAAAGCTAATGAGATCAAGCAGTTTAATATGCATCTGGCTGTAAGATTGCATACCACACACTTTCGGATTATTTTTTGCGTGGAAACTCACACACCTTGTGATTTGTCTAGTTGGAAACGCGAAAGAGTCAATCCAACGAGGTTGATTCTAAATTAATGTATCAAGCTAAATTGTTGGAGATTCGGGATCACGAGGAGGAGGAGTTTGAAGAGGTAATGTCCAATTGCTTTAAAATGAGATTCCTTATGAGGTTTTTGTTGAGCTTGGCAGGTTTGAAATATTGAAACATCTCACGCCCTCTCTGCAAACCCTTAGTATGCTGCTTCCCTGTTACGAGAATGGGTCGAAGCAGGACGAGATGTAGCACCAGTTCTACGTGCAATTCAACAATCGAATGGATTGAAGATTCGTATTCCAGTTGGAATGCCCAAACCGTTGAATACTTCTGCTCGATTAGGATTCACTCCTTGAGTAGTAGTTGTTTAAAAGAAAAAACTAAGTTAGAAATCACTTGTATCATACTAAATCCATCAGCATTCATTGTAATCATAACACATAACCGAAATAACAAGACACACAAATAATTTTGAATCAAACGAAATGTGTATTAATGCAAAATCTGTTTGTGAGAAATCATAGCCGACAAAAAAAAGAGATCCTATGATCTTTGATGGATGTGTACATCTGCAATATATTACCAAAAACACTCCCAAGGTACCAAAAACTCGTTCAATTAATTCCAGCAGCACCCATTAGCAATCTATTGTAACCACACCACCACCCAACACCAACATACCAAGCACACAACAAATACTTTTGAATCATCAAGAGAAATGTATTTATGAATGCATGTGTGAAATTCCCAACCAACAAAGAAAAAGAGATTATTAATGGCTCCATAATATTCTACAATATACTCCACAACTCCTCAAAAGCATTCGTGATCTTTGAGCAAGTGACTGCCGCCGATAATGGGAAATCCGATACGGATATCTTCTCATCTACAAGTCCATCGGCGAATTCGTCAGGACCAGCAGCCATGGCTCCTATAAAGACCACGATGGATGTGTCTTTCGGTAGTGTTGTTACGTAGGATGATAGGCGGGTTGTTGGTGCGTCTCCTGATAGAGCTGTGTGTGGAAGAGCGATGTGCGAGTTGAGTGAAAGGAGAAGGTGTAGAGAGGCAAAAAAAAATGAATCTAACAGTAGATGCATACGTACTGATTTTGTAAGCGTTTGTTGGCAGATGGTCCTGTACTGGGTTTTTCACGACCTTGAGGAGTTTGTCTGGACCGTTGACTGAGCGTATACTCAGTTTGTGGAGCAGTTGGACTAGATCAATGGAAAATAAATATCTCAGGTCTTGATTTTTGAGACCAGCGATTAATTACTTGCAAGCTCAAATTCAATGATAATGCCCTCCTAAATGCTGTATACATACCCATCAAGCCCGCGAATCTCTTGAATGTCCTCGGTATTCTGACCTGAGGGTTGATTTCAATCAATACATTTTTGGTAGTTCGTACATAGACTTGTAGCAGGCCCGATTTGTTGAGTGGACTGTCTAGTAATGCTAGCAAGCACTAATGCGGTATGAGATAAGGAGAAAGTGTTAGAGAGAATCTGTCGGTAAAGTCAAGCAAAAAAAGCGACCACAACTGAGCCCACGATGCTCGACACAATACGACAGCAACAATGCAACTCCACGTCTGCTATTCTTTACCTAAATGTTAAATGAAAGTCAGAATGGCGAGCAAAAGACGCTAGATCAGATCAGCTGGATTGCTTTAAACAACAAGACACATTCCAGTGCAATGAGAACCAATGACAGCACACGTACCTGATGAGTGATGTCAGGCCTTGAGTCAGCGATGTCTCTTCCATGTTTGCGGAGGATATGTTGGTGGTCGTCGCAGTTCAGCAGAGCATAGTGGCCTTCCTTGCCCTTGCCCAATTTGACTGTTTCCAATGATGCCTGTTCAAGGACTACTATTAATCGTTTGGCATTATCCTTTTCTAGTTTGGTTTTCGGCAGCTTGGGTGCTCGTAACGGCGCTACGTTGTCCATTCCTATTATATTGTCAACTGCTGATGACTTCGAAAAAAAAAAAAAAGTTAAGATGACAAGGTTATACCGCTCGTGAGTCAAAGGACAGTGTTTGGAACGTGATATTCGATTATTTTACACGTAAAAAATCACCTACATGCTCCTACTTTAGTATGCGGCCTTTGTATTTGAACGAAAAAAAGGTTAGCATCGACGTGGCAGGACTGGATTTGTAAAACCCAGTTGCAGCAAAGAACACGCATTGTCTGCCGACCAACTTACTGTAAACTACTGCAAATTCACATATCTTCTCTTACTTACCGCTACTCTGTCGTACAAAATGGTCCACTTTGTCCCTACAAACTCGGACCTATCTGGCAAGACTTACATTATCGTATGCCCTGAAGATCGCTTATGGTTATACTTGTTTGATACTCTTCCAAAATGAAAACGAGTGCTCTTCCTCATACGAACTACATCTCTTGTTGCAAGCATTGACATTTGCTCCACTTGATCTACTAGACTGGTGCAAACGCTGGTATTGGCAAAGAGGCTGCACGATGGATTGCCGCTCACAAGGCAGCCAAAATCATCATGGCTGGTAAACGATGAGCATCCGTCCAACTTCACTCTCACTTCCAAGCTGACATTTCTTTTGGTTTGCCACAAGTACGAACTCCTGCCAAAGCTGAGGCCGCAAAGAACGAAATCATATCAAAAACTGGTGTAGATCCCAATGTCATTGAAATCCGCAAACTGGATTTGGCTAGCTTGGCGTCTGTGCGAGAGTTTGCTGCCGGAATCGTCAGTGACAAGAGGCCTGTTGACGTGCTAATCAACAAGTAAGATAGTGATATCCCTTAACCTCGTCCAAACTGGATAGCCAACCAACCTCTGCTTGTAGCGCTGGAATGACAAACGCACTTGGACCACAACGAAAGACCAGCGATGGTTTCGATGAGACATTCCAGAGCAACCATTTAGGTCACTTCTTGTTGACTTTGCTCCTAATACCTGTACTGGCTGAAACTGCTAAAGGCAAACCAGCTGGATCAGTTCGTATTGCTAACGTCTCGTCGGATCTACACTTTAGGGTATGCGAGCGTCCTTCGTGTCATTTTTTTCGCACAGTCTTGCTAAGCTGCTGATACTTTTTAGGGTAAAGTGGATTTAGGAAACCTGAATGGTGAAAAGAAGCCCATCAATGGCAATGTTCAATGTGAGTTATGCCTGTTAGCAAGTGGCAGGCGGAGGTAATACGATTAGTGCTTAAAAACCATTTATTCCAGATTGCAATACCAAACTCATGAATGTGCTCTTTACTCGGGAATTGGCTCAGCGATTGGAGAAACATAACTTGAACATTACCACAACCTCCCCTCAGTAAGATCTTCATCCCTCGTCAAATTCCTCACATTCGCATCACCAACACTTTTTACTCGCATCTACCAGACCTGGATTCACAATATCAGACCTAGGCTCAGACCGTACATCATCCAACGGATTCCTATACGGCATATTCACCACAGTACGAAACCTCGTTGGACGAACCACCGAGCAAGGAACCGCCACGATCATAGAAGCTGCTACTGCACCAGCTGCTGGTAAAACCAATGGTGCCTACTGGACTGATATGAAGGCATATCCAGCACATAAAGATGCTGATAATGCAGATTTGAGGAAGAGGTTTTGGGATGTGTCGGTGAAGATGGCTGGATTGGAGGCTGATCCTTTGCCATAAGACTGTGGTAACGCTGGCTTTCTTTTCTTTGCAGGGTGAAGGCATTTCTTGTTGTATTCTTTAGAAATTTATATTGTCGGGTCTCGACAATATTAAATGTTACAACAAATTTTTATCGCATCAGTTGGGTTTGTGGAAGTAGATTGATTTCGTGCAATGAACACTGCTACACCAAAAAGAAAAATGAACCCGCCGACACAAACTTGGCTACTCAACCTTTCAGTCCGTCAAGAACTGTCAAGGCCATGCTTTGCAACCTTTAGATGAACGATTCAGTAA